CAAAATATAAGGAATAAGTTGAGTTAATTTAATGTTGAATTCCATACTTTTTGAGGGCTTTTTGGCTGATTAAAAGCTTTCTTTCATTTATGATTGTTCTCATCTGGGACCGATCCTGGGTAAACAGAAATGGTTTTGGATCGGATCTTGTGTGAACACATTGATCAGATCTGATCCAGCTCGCGATGAAAGCTAGATTTCAAGCACTTTGTGACAGGTATCAATAATTAACAACTGCAGGGGCGTACCTTGGCGATTTGGAGTGGGGGGGGGATGTAAACGGGTGATTTTACCGACCAAAATTCAACTCATGCTAATCAATGTATAACTTATTCTAAAATTACATATTGTGAATTTTAACAGTCTTATCAATATGATCTTGTCAATTACGAGCAGATGAGATCCTTCCACGTGCTATCAAGATACGCATCTACCGACAATTCATAAAATTTACCGACCCTCTGTAAAATTTACCGACCAACCTTCCAAAAGTGGGGTGTACCAAATCCCCCCCCCCACCCCTCCGGTAGGTACGCTCCTGTGAACAATCATGGTAGTAATTCTGATGACAATTTACAGTAAGTGTGCGGATGGCTTATTGGCTAGGGTTGCGGAAAACATATCCAAGGGATTGGGGTTTGAGTCCCTATTGTCACTAAACTTTCACGTACAGTGAATTGGATCGCCAGCCCTCTAAAATTCCAAGCATAGGAATCACGAGGTGTTGTCATATCACGAGGTGTTGTCAAAGGAGAAGGCCAAGACATGGGCTCCGACACAGGTTTGAAAGTGGAAGGGTCAAGGTAGAATTTAACAACCATAACAATAGATTTTGAAAACAACTCTATTGTTTTGCAAAACAGTAGGGGGAGGAGCCATGGCTCCCACCAGCCCTCCTTCGTCGGAGGCCCTGCAAGACACTGCTAGAAAGCAGCAAATACAAGTATAACAACACCTGGATGGACTAGCTTGGCTTAAAATGGCATGTCTTCTGCTCGGTGATAAAAATCTTGATGTAAAACTCAATAGAGTTAAACTGGAAAATCATTGCGATTTCTCTTCAAAACAGGTGAGTAGCTTAGCAGTCCCTCATTTTCAAAATTGATGTAATTTAAATGAAGCACTTGTCCGCATAGTCTTAATTTTAGTATTTAGTTTCAACAGCTCCTCAACTTTCAAAATAGCACATGAAGCTGAAAAATACTAAATTAATTTGTCTTCAGAACTGCTCAGAGTATAAACGTTTGCAAGGTTGAGTAAAAAATAGTAGAAAATTAAGATACGAAGAAGCGTACGTAACAAAATCGCATATGAAATTGTTGCATTTTCAGAGTTTCAGAGACCCAGCTTGAAAGCTTGAAAATATTTCTAATGAACAATGAAGAAGGTGGCGTCTTGGTCCTTTAATTTCTTTTATCATCAATGGAAGAACGTTTTGCGTGACTTCTAACGTCCACAGTCCACCATGTTTTTTAGCATTTTGCAATTTTAAAGGAATTGTCTCGTAATCTTGCCTAGATAATCTATGGCTACAGTTGATGATGACCTTGCAGTATTTGTTTGCAAGCGTGGCTAGAGAGATTCAAAATCTCAGCCCGAATTCAAGCGAAAGAGTCAGGCGCAAAACAACCCCCAACAAAGTAGATTAATAAAAACTTCAAAGAACAACTGACATACCTATGTAGGCTCGAATTTCTTTGAGCAGACAGTAGCTTTCCTCTGTAAGAATACGTTCGACATATATTCGAACAAAATAAATTTGTGTACATAAATACAGGGACATTGGCTCTGCAGCCAAGCCTTTGTCGCAAATGATGATGAATTTTAATATTCTAGATGTTGTATTCTCAAATGAAATGTAGCTTTGTTGAACTTGAATCGAAACTTGAGGAATAGCAGGCAATTTTTACATTGTTGTATTTTACGTCTCTAGAGCATTGTCACAGTTAGCAACTTCAAACAATCAACTTTCTCTGAATACAGAGGATGCTTCTTTTGGTAGAGAATACAAGCATGATTTTGTGCAAATTGCAAAAGTCAAAACCTTTGTAGAAGAAAACCGTTTTATTGTAATTTTCTTGTAAAATGAAATTGAGTTCGAGATATGTATAAATAGAATCCTTTTCGAGGTATTGCTAGTAGTCTATCAAATATTGGCCTAAATATGGAACTTCTCAAAACTCAATCGTTAAATAGGGATCAATCTTTAGGCATTCTGTTCACACAAAACACTAAATTTCTGTTCTTTAAGGTTGTGTTTGGGCCTTTTCAGTGAAGAAAATAATCGAACCTGTGCACTCCTTGACAATTCGACTCAAAATTAGCTGCCGAAATTTTCCTGAGCACTTCTATCTATGAGTCATAGAATTTTCACACTTCTTCCAACGAACCATCATAATTTTAATTTCTTCTCAAAAACCTCCGAGTCAATAAAATGGGGTGCAAAAACAAACCACCCATTGATTTTTCTAAGATAAGTTGAACATAAATACATACAAGATTATAATAATTCTGTTCAAAAATATTTTTAAAAAAAATAAAACTTTTTTTTTTCATTCATGGGAAAATATGATCTCGCAGGGTTGAACAGAATGTGGAAAGATTTCCAGCTTTTCTTATTTTTATCTAGAAGTTGGTTGAAGTATTTACTAGCTTCATCTTGAAAAGTTCCATTGATTAATGATGTTTGCAGTTTTAGTTCGGTGCTGTTTCATAGTGGTCTACTCGTAGTTTTGATCTCCAGCTTGTTTATATCGGGCCAATTCTCACTGTAAATTGCTTATGTTAAGTTGGTTGAATTCTCTTCGTTCTCTCAGTTCTCTGATTGGTAGCCAATTCAATTTTCTTACGTCATCTTTCAAACAATGCATACAAAAAGGGTATCAGAATTAGTCTGTCACATAATATGGTCTGGGAAACAATTTCAACAGCTTTGAAAAAAGCAAATATTTTGAAATATGTTACTAAGACTTTGGTAACATGTTTCAAAATTTTTGCTTTTATCGAAGCCATTTTTAAATCCTGTACCAAAAAAAGATTAATTCCTGTAAATTCAAATATAAGAGATAACTTAACAGCATCAATAATGCAAAACAATCCTTAGGTTTTTTTGCTTAAACATTGAAGAGGTTAAGAAAGTTACCGCAACCGTAACAGAAATTAATCCTGTCAAAAAGTCTTCGGCTGTGGGAGGACGGGGGGCTCCCAATATCAGTAACGATAACTAGAACTCTATGAAAACCTGAAATTACTATGATTCGAAGTGCATCGTTGCACTAGTTGTCTAAAAACAAATCATTTTCGACCAAACCAAGTAACTTTCGGTTCCAAGAGCCTTACAGCCATAGGACCTCAGATCTGGAACTGTCTGCCAAATGAACTAAAATCAGCTGACAATCTGAACAGCTTCAAACGTATGATAACACGATGGGATGATCCTAGCTGTAAATGCAACGTTTGCAAATATAATGATATCAATGTCCTGTAAATTTATCCATTGATATCCAATTTGCTTCAAATATTTAGCTTATGTATGTACGTATTTATTTCCTTAGTTATATCCTCTTCATTTGTTATACAGTAGATTCGATTTAGATTAGTTGTATGTGTATACATTCATATATATATGTATAGCTAGAAGCAATATCGAATTAAAACAAGGTTACAAACAAACAAAAAAACTAGTACTCTAGTCTCTAAAACGTTTATTTTACTCGTACAATCTCACCTTAACTTCAAGTTAAAAGCGAACTTCTGCGTGCAAACAATTTGTTTAGGTTTTCCTGTGCTTTCCTAGACTTTTGTATTCGATCAGTATTTTTAGCAATATAGGCAACCATGCCAGAAACATTTCCATCATTCAAATCTTTGAACCATAATATTGCTGTTTCTTCAATAAATACGACATAAGTACGATTATTCATCATAAATCAATGAAAAACCTCTTCAGAGGATAGTAATCTTAACAAGAAGTATGCATTTGGTTTTCATTGGTGATCACTGATACCATTTTACATTAGATTATAACAAAATGCCTTCCTTTGCGCTCAATGATGAGATACAAGATTAAATTCTTTCAGGCCGATTGAGCAAATTCAGGCCAAGAGTTAATAATATTTCACATTCATATTTGTTACAAAAAAACTGGCAGAATACTGATAAAGGATTAGCTGAAATCAAACATTTGCTTTTCTTTTCATTAAAAAGACTTTAACAGACAGGTAAACAGCTCAGCTATGCCCAAGATGAAATGGAGAAATCCTAGTTTCGGAAAAGTCACTGTCTGATTGTTAAAAAAGCCACTGATGACTGAAGTCTCGAATGGGCATCTTGGCCAGTATTACTCTGTATTAATCTGATTTATGGCCAAACATAGTCATCTAATTGACAGGTCTCTGCAAATCGCAAAATATCTCATTGATTTATTTGTTTCACTAACTTCCTTCCTTTATTCACTACTTTCTCAAAGCGAATGGGTGAAAGGTGTGTTGGTGCAGACTTGCAACCCTGCACATGGTGAGGAAAAAGAACATCGGCTTCTGAAAAACATCTAATCATCATCATCATGATCTCATCTTGTTGGGCTGGTTGCCCAGACCAATCTGATTCTGTCTTTCCAGATTTCCCTATCTTCCATTGGCTCTTTCAGAACTGCAGGTTCACAGTTGGCGTCATGTGCAATTTGGCTTTAAGGTTCCCCTAACTTGCAGCTTGAATGTCATTTTATTCGTTTTGTGTAATGGCCTCAGGGTAGACATAGCTTACTGCTCCCCGGGGTATCGTTCTAGTAGTATTGTATAGTAATTTCATAAGTAGAGTATTTCGTAATCTGTAAATTGTAACTTTTCAGAGGAATAAGAAAAATGTGCAATTTGCTAGATTCAGGTGGCTCTGGGTTGTCTAAAGAGAAAACTTATGCCCGAGAAGGTTCGTTCCCGAAACGTATATAGAAACACGTTCCTGACTACAAAATTTGAAAATAACAAGAAAAAGCGGAGACGTAACTCATTCAGAATATTATCATTGTAAAACGTCAAACGTAGACCGTTATTTTAAGTATATGCTTCTACTTTCTCGTGCCAGTTTAGAAGTATATTTAATGTATTTTCACATTTGGTTAATTCATAAATGTTTTACTAATCCATCTTTCACCAGTTCAAAAATATATATTTAATCGAAAATAAAGAAAAAGAAGTGCAAGAAGCCAACGTTATTGTGTTAGGTTCAAATTCATCTAACAGCGATATTTTTAACAAGCAGGATACCTGGTAATGTCAATTTAAAAATAAAGTCAAGAATCTATCTATTTACACCCAATATTGTTTCCTGTACGACAATTTCACACAAATTTATTCTGCGTAACATGTGCATATTTTTATTTTGACACTAAATTTGTGGTTAAGTAAGAATAAAACATTTAAATAAAACAGTTGCGTAGCCTGTCCATAATAAATGGACTTTTTTACATTTAATTTTTATCTTTTCTTCATACATTTAGTGGAGATGATTCAATTTCCATCCTCCAAACTATCTCGGATGGCGTTTGAAGCCTCGTTGTCCTCAGTAGGCTTGGAGTTTTCGGCAACTTTATCGTCCTGTTCATTGTCATTTGATGTCTGAAAACAAAAAAAATTATTTCAAAACGCAAAACAACCTGAGTGCTGATATCTCCTGAATACGGTAAAGGAACACGATAAAACATTAGGAAATTCGCGTAATTGCCATTCTTGACGCTAATTTCAGCCTATTCTTGATGCTATCTTTCCGATGTGCTAGCTATAAACTGTGCATGAAGGAAACCAACATCATCAAAATCACTATTTATGCATTTAACAACCCTTTCGGGTCACTAAAAATGCCTACACGTATTCAAAGTTAAACTTTGCCGAAGTCGTTTACGTCACAATTTTATCTGGCGGGCTGTTCCATACAGAAATGATAGAATAAAAGAATTAAAACTTTAAAATATTAAATTCTCCCGAATTCGAGCATTATCTTGAATGGTTTTGGGTTCCTTATCATTGGAAAAGAAATCGTTAGGAGTGAAAACAACCCTTTTTGTAAACATTTTATGAACGTATTTAAATTGAAATAGTAATCTACGTGATTCAAGTGAGTCTCTTTTCAACTGTAGCGACCTATCTGTCACACTAGATCTCTGACGCTAATCTCCCACAACAAAACGTGCTCCATTATCAATTTATTTCTTAAAATAATCAGCTAACCAAATTTTTCATTAGCTATAAGGCAGCCTTTCCGCTAACCCGGCTTAAAACAGAAACAGGTTAGAAGTTATCCGCTAACCTACTAACCCACTTGAAAAAGTTCAAAAACGGGTCTCCGAGTGGATCAGTTTTAAGCCGGGTATCTTTTACCTACCTGTGGGTTAGTGGGAATGCCAAAACCGGGTAACTTTTGATCAACTTACAACAACAACAACGACGAAGACACCAACAGGAACAGCAACAACAACAACAGCAATAGTGCTACTCAAAAAATTCAAGGACCTTTGTTGTAAATATTGATTTCTTTCCAGCTCCGCGTGCTCCGGTTTCTGTTCATAACTATCTAAATCTGATTTATCTGAAGAGTAGAGGGCTAAGGGTACATTTTAAGCCTGGATACATTTTTACCCACGTGAATGGAAACGATAAAAAACGGATTAGAACTAGTTTTAAGCAAACTAGCGTTTCCATTGATTCACTTTAAAAACGGATACATTTTAACCTGTTTTTGTTTTAACCCAGGCTAGTCGAAATTCTGCCTAAATATTCAATTTAGAATGATGGCAAACACAGCGCAGAAGACCAGCATTAGGGTGGCTGTAAAACTTCTCACTCGTCAGAATTTATTTGAATATCATTGCTTATCTTATCAACACTTCTTTAAAAAAAACACCTATGACAAAGCCTTCCCTATCGATATCAACCATAAAAATAGCCTTGCAATCAAGTTTAAAATGCCTTCAAAATAGGAGCTTAAAATCCCTTCTAACGAAACAAAGACTGCACATGAAAAAAATTGTTGTTTTTAATACCATTTTATCCAGACATTAACAACACATCGAAGCAAAAAGACACTATCTTATGAACAAGAAACATACCACAAGATACGTTGATTTTGCTTTGAAGCGATTTCTTTGGGCAAAGGCATAAAAATCATTGTTCACCTTGGTATTTTCTTCATCTTCCTTTTGCGTTGCATTTGCTTCTAATTCCTCCTCAACTTCTTCTGCTGGCAACATGTCCACTGGCTTGTCTACGTTAGTTTCTGCGAGGAAATAATATCATTGAAACCGTTTTTAGAGTACTTAGTCAATTTACTTACCAAAAAATAAAGTTTATTCTGACACGACAAGTTCATTACAAACGAAGAATGTATTTGCTATCAAGGACAGGTATACGTCACCCTTCTGAAAAAGTGGTTGAAAAGGGAAGATCTTTAGGGAGTAAAATGACATGTAATGGGTAACTTCAGAACATAATCAAGCAATTTTACCAACAACATTGTCATTTAAAGAAACTTTTAACGAACTGATGACTGAGCTGACAATAGATTTTTAGGTAAATAATGGGTCATTTTAATCGTTAGTGACCTGCAAACAAAACATATTCTAAGAGGCTAAATTTTTTCTTATTAGATGGAGGCTTGATTTCAAAATTTCGGTCTTACGTGCCTAATTCACTAGGTTCTTACATGCCTTTGCTTAGTATGCTCATGACATTAGTGGACCTTCCAATCACAGTTAAGTCATAAAATTATAACGTTTTCGCAAAAACAAAAGGTCCCTTTTTGTAAAAGCAAAATATAAATAGCCTGGAAGTAGATCTAATTCGAGTCAAGCATAAAACAAGTAGGACACATGCCGGTCGTTTGCAATGGTGCGTATCGGTGTAATTTTCTCAGAAAGCCATTCTCAAAATGACAGCTAAACCCAAGGTAAAAACACAATTCTAGTTGGGCCTTAGCTATACGAGAGTAAAAGCTATGCTGGGAAAATGCTTCAATTTCATGTGACAAATTATTCATTTTGCAAGTCTGTGAAATTTATGTCGCTTGGGGTTTTAGGAACAAAAAGGACACTTAACATGACAATCAATTGAAATTATGCGATTCATCATGCGATGCAATAAATTATTCGTCTAGTTTTTTGGAAAAAAAGAAAAACGGGAAAACAGTTGTCAGCTGTAAATGACAAAAATGCCTTAGCATTTACATTGGAAGTTCAACACTCAAAGACAGCGCATCAATGCATAAATTTACTATCAACTTTAAAAAATCTTCAGAAAAAATATCATCCCATGTGCTAGAATCAACAAAATATTCTTGAAATAGAAATTTCATATTACTGATATGGTGATGGTTTCTTTGAATTCGGCAAAAACAGGACTAATGAAGGTCAAATATTTAACACAAATTTTGATTCAGATTTTCGTCTGCATTGGTTCATTTTGGATTATCAATTACTAGCAAACTGAATTACGAAGAAGAATATGATAAATTTGATTAATTGCAGCATCAGTTACCTTCGTTTTCCTTAATCATTTTACCACTTTCTCCCTGGTCTCCTGTCGCTTTGAAAACTGATGGCTCTACAATTAAGATTGTACATCATGAGCAATAGAGCGAAAACTTTATGAAAAGTTTCAAGAAAACAATTTCACAAATGGAAATATAGGCTCAGGTGATCTGTAACAGTCGTTTCCACAACGTAGAATATTTTCAACGAGAGAAAGCAATCAATAAGAAATATTATTTTAGAGCTTGCTGAAAAATTGGAATTTTAGATGTTGTAGAAAGAGACACTAGATTTGCAAGCAAGTACAAAATGGACCAATGAAGAGTTCCAGTGAAAACCAGTTGAAAACTATCGAAAGTTGGTTCACGAGGGAAAGCTCAAGGATTGAATATAAAATGCAAAGGTAAGAACAAATTTTAACTCCTTCGCAACGTTGCAGAGGTGGTTGGACGAGGCCTTAATTGTGGTTTTACTATAATCTTTTAAAAAAACATGGTTGAACTTGCCACCACGTTTGTGACAATGAAAACAGGTAGCAAATACTTTTTATATAGAAACACGAGATTGAGATTAACAGTAACTCGTGTAGGTCTTAATTTGCAGTTGGGTTGAAGCTATCGAAACTGATAATAAAGGATATGGATAACATATGGATAAAAAGTTTTATGTCATCAGTCAGCTGAAAAAACCAAAAAACTGTCCAGATTAAATATCACTTCACAACTAAAGCATATTCAAGAAATTAAAACCATCGAAGACAATAGCTGATATCAGATTACAGAATCTACAATGGCCATCAATACCTTAAGCTTGTTAAGTTCGTAAGGCCGCATCCTGTGTACTGTATGAAAGATTTAAGTTCTCAGATGAAATTATTCCTGCTTAAGTTATGATCTATTCACTAGCCCACGAAGCATTAATAGGGCATGGTCCTCGTCAGATCAATATACAACAAAGCAACTGACAAGACGGTTATGAGATAGATCTATAAGGCAAAGCCTAGGCAATTTCTTCTCATCGAAAAGGCCAACAGTTTCGCTTTAATGAAATCTCAGAGGCATAATGAAATCTTGTAATAGCCAGGTCGCATGACCTTAAATGCCACGTGATTAAAACGAGACGTATGAGTTTTCCAGGTGTCCCTGCAGTCAGTACAATTGTCTGCATATTTGCGGCTTAAGAGTGCTACATGCAAATAAAAGCTTCGCACACGAACTCTGTTCGTCTCGTTAATGCGTATTTCATCTTTGTAACAACTTAGAAATGGGAGTGTAAATACAAACAGGCAACTTGTCCTTTCTTATGTTAATTCTGTATTAATCAATTGTCCCTTCTAAACACAAAGGAACAATCTTCCCCTCTTTGAAGCATCTTTATCTGTTAATAAATCCCACTATGACTAAACATTTGATTAAACATACTAAAATTCAAATACTTTTCTTGATCCAACTCTTCTGTTTCCTGAAAGGCAGTCCCTAAACTCCATAAAATCAAACAAATCTTTCAACATAAGATAGTTTTCAGGGCTGACATGTATTTGTGACCTTCAAAAAATCCCCAGTCCATCTGATATAAAATCCAAAGACAACACATCGTCCTCAGTTAAAATGGGAAGGGACATCGCTTTCATTGATTGTTAATATATGGTTGCTAAAGACATGGTGAGTTGCCAGGCAAAAAGGCTACCTACACATACTACCATACGCAACACTCGCAGAATTTCAGATCTGAAAGTTGCTTTAAGTTTAAAATGCAGAAGTAAAACAATTTCCTTAAGAAATTTTGAACATTTTACATAATATCATGTAATAAGGGGTTTAAGGAATTATGGGAAAATATTAGTATGACGGATAAGACGGACACGACAAAGGAAGTAAAGAACGAACCAATCACAGAATTTGCGACGCTTATGTTCTGTATTACCAACTAAGACCAGCCCGAATTTCTCATTTTCATGAATTATACATGAATTATAATCCTTTGATGATATAAGCAAACCTGTACTGTAAAGTGTCCTTTTTTGTCACTGTATTGGATAACTGACTCTCTTGTCACAAAATTGTAACAAATATATCAATTTAACCAGAGAAATGGATAGGGTACGATTTTGTAATGAAAAATAGTGAGTATAGATACAAGAATTTTAATTAAAATGATATCCCTGGCTACGGTAGTGATTGCTTTAAACATCTTGGAAAATTTATTTCACAGCCAAATACGAAACGTTTTGAAGTGGCCTAAACCAATAAATGCATAAGAAATGCTTTACTCAAGGGTAAGGTTAGAAACACCATCTACAAAGGCATCTTGTTTTCAATACACATTTAAAAACGCCGAGTGACTGATTTCTAACAGCCTACTCATAAGGGAAGACTTCAACCGAACTTCATGGGTAATATTAATAGAAATATTAATAGATAATAGAAACTGCCTAAAAATATTCTTGGCACGAACATGTAACTCATGGCATTGCAAAATTTGTTAGATACTTTATGTCCATCATATTTTGCGATTGACAAGATCTTGTATCATTTTAGCAAAAGGAAAAGAACTGTTCCCTCGCATCTTTTGAGGACCTTTTCTTTCAATCTTAGAAAATATACATTTACTATACATTTACACCGGAATATCGAATCATCTTCAGCAGTTAATTATGTTGTGGTTTTAACTTTTTTGTCCTGATAAGTCAATTAGACCAATGTCTTAACATTGGAATGTCATTGTCTAAAATAGTTTCATGCAATAACTGGCTATGTCTCTCTTTCATGATTATCGCCTCGCTCTTTCTTATTTCATAAACACTGGATGGAACTTTTTGAACGCTTTCAAGTAACTTTACGAAGAATCTACAATATAACGCATTTGCAATTGAACAGTCATATTTATTGTTTCAGATGTAGCAGCAACAACTGCTATCCAACCATATACGCATATATGCTTAGATAACTGAAAATAAGAAGAAGCAGAACACGTTTAAAGCATGTAGAACTGTTTGCAAGAGAATACTTGGTCACGAGACATTCTGTAAAGACAGCTCTCTTTTTTGGGCGGAAGAATCGATTGACTTTATTCTCAAAAAACTCATGTTAGACAAAGAAAAAGTCAAAAGAATAAGGTTTACCATTTTGTTGGTCATCTTCCTCAAGATCTTCCACTTTGTCTTCCTTTTTATCATCTTTTTCAGGCCGCGTCTTCTTTGCGGCAGCTTTCATTTGATTCTCGCCTTTCAATTTCGCTTTTAGCTCTGCTTTCCTTTGCTCTGCAGTTGTTTTTCCTTTCTTCTCTTTGGAAGAGCTCTTCTCGGGGGTACTGACTTCTTCAACGGCATCATCTTTTGCGCCCCTTTGCACTGACTTCCTGTCCTCCGCAGAGGATTTCCTTCGCGACACTGCCTCTCGATCGTCACTGTCGTTGTTGTTTGCCTCTTCATTCTGTCCAAGCGGCGGTAAATCTTGCGTAAGACTTCGTTCTAAAGAAACATCGTTATGATTTGCTTTGTCTGATTCTATGCTGTGTGCATCTGATGGTTCCTTTGCAGAGGTCGAGTTCGTCAAATCATCTTTATCAGAAAATGCTTTGTCGCTTCTAACGGGCGTTTTCACATGTCCCTGAGACTAAGAGGAAACATATGTGTTAGAAACAGACAAAAATAGTATTCCTAATAGGGTAAGCTTGATCGAGCCATGGCTCAGAATCTTTACTATTCTTCCATCATAGAATTTTTATCCAAGATTAAAATAGATCTTATAAATGTTTGACATAGATTACAGCTGCCACAGAGGTACATCAAAAGGCCACTGTTAACGCAGGTTCACCCCTAAAACTGCAAACCTAACATTACCTTGGAAATCTGATGTGATAAGAAACCTCTGACACAGAGTATAAAACAAATTACGTACAATTGAATTTCGTTCTTTTGAAAGGTTGAACAATTCAAATTTTTGCAGTGGTAGGTTCATGAGCTTGTAGACCACCAGGGAGATTGTCTGAATCACTCGCGAGAATGGATAAACGATGGACAATCTAGTAACTTAACTTAAGGCGACAAAAAATCATTGTATGCATTTATAGTCATTAACAGATTTCAAAGGTTCCGAAGCTAATTTATGATTCTAATTATGTTTATAAATATTATTTTTCAACCTCTAGATTCGAGGATCCCATTTCCTAAACAGTGACAACAAACAAACGAGGGAAAGGTGCTTCCAAAACAAATCCTTTTACAAAACCCTTGACTGTAGGTTTTCTGAAAAAATTAAACTGTTTAATTATAATCTTAAAATGTATAGTTACAAAGGATGTTTTCAAAACGATGTAATAACGGTAAACTACTGTAAAATGAATAGAAAGTAATGTAAACCATCAGCCAAATACTCACTAGTGCTTTTACAGGCGGTCTTGCCCTTTTCTGCAAAAAGAGACCAGAGAATGTTAAGGCTACTGGCAAAAATCTAAGGAAAACCTAATGGTTGAAAAGCAACAAGCAAGCTTGATGACGACATGGTAAATAGAGGAGGATATGTGCATAACATTTTAGCTTTTTAAGAAAAGAATCGCAAAAAGTGGTAAGTATCAATGGAAGATAAAAACTGCAATAGTAAAGGAAGATAAATACATGTAAATACTATAAAAAAGAAAAGTAAAAATTTGACAGTGTTGTTCCTTGAGTGTGGGTGCTGCGATGTAACCAGGGGCGCCTATCCAGGAGGGGCAGAGGGGGCAATACCCAGGAGGGGCAGAGGGGACAATCAGTGCTCTTAAATATACACTCCTAAGATTATTGAATCTTTTAGATAATTGATAACTAGTTTAGCCATTCTCATTATGTTAATTCCAATTAGAAATTCAAAAAAATAGAAAAGTTTCCCGTTTTTGCTGTCAGACTTTTGATAACAGAATATTCTTTTTCAGAAGATGATAATAAACTTTGAAAACCAACGGTGTCTTATTAGACACTGACTATTTTGCCCATCATCAGAACAAGGATGTTACGCTTATTTTATTCCTTAATATAAGAAACGCGCTGAAGTAAAAAAATAAATTTACATTTGTTTCTTGTGATTATTATTTTCCTTTTTGCACTCTAAATGATTCTGCAACCATGGAGTGTTGTTGAGGCTAAGCAGACAATCAAAGTCTTACTGGCAGTCCATTTATATTTGCCATGATTTTCGTAAAGCAAAAAATTTCGAGCTTGATTTTGTAGGGCTAAAAATACAGCAAAAACCAATGACTCTGCCATAGGACAACACCTTTAAGACAACCCAGCAAAACTCTATAATGACGACATGTTTCAGATAATTGGGAGAGCCCGGTCGTCTCTTTTTACCTAGTAGTTTTGGAATCGATCTACATACAAACGAAAAAGTCGCTATTGTGTAGTAAGAAGGTAGTTTGTTTTTGGACACCAGTGGTAGCTTTTTCTATAGGCACGCACCACTGACTGGACAACTATGCCGGTCGTGTGCTCGCGTTTTTCTGATTGGCCTATTTCGATCTTCTGATTTTCTGAATCATCATTATTACGTTTTTCTGATTGGCCTACACAGCTGGGTATATATTTTCCATCGTGTTCTTTCGGACCCTTATTTTGACGTTTTATACTCTGAGGAGCGTCTTTCAGATGAAAAAACCTTTAGTATGTTGCAAGATGTTCGCTTTTTATCAAAGCCTTGCCTTTTCAAAGCCATTTCACGTTCTGCACCGCCAAAAAATTTCTCACAACAATTTCGAATAATGACAAGGCCTTTTAATACCCACTTGCATGAAGAATATGTCAACAATTTGCTCGATTCGATTATTGTAGTGTAAAAAATTTTACTGTTTGCCCTCAGCACCAACACTGCCCCCCCCCCCCTGATTTAATCTTGTGTAGGCGCCCCTGGATGCAATGACTCATTCTTACTTATAAAACTTAATTACCACTGGGTTAAGCGCATCAGGATGCACTATAAAATATAAAAAGAATTGTATTTTTCAGAAGGAACGAAATTTTTTCTATCTATTTCGCTATGAACTGGATGTCAATCTTATAGACTATATGACGTAATCGATGCAAATAGGCAATGGACTACTGCATATAAATAGCCAGATCGAAGAACATGACTAAGTTTAAAAGTTGTATCAGAACAATGGTCAATCCCAACACATGCTCTACCTATCCAGATCAGTTAAACAACCTAATTGACGTCATATTAAGATCAAAACTGTAAAGATGATTAAACAAAATATTTTTAATTACCCGTATATAAAATATTGAAATAATTTGTCATTCTTGAAACTGTCAGGGAATATCTAAAGGAGCACCTTGTTGTCAGAAATTTGAAAAGTACAATGCTATTTAAACATAAATTTTTGTTCTTTTTTAGGAAACTTCGAACTATATGCAAGACAAGAACTACTGGCCCTATTGCACCTCTGGGCTTTCGTTGAAGTATTTCTAAGACCTATAATATAATGACTATGCTCCAACCGACAGTTCATGAGCCCATTCTATAAATTGCCCCTCATTATTACGGAGTACACATAAGTGCTCTACCAATCAAGATTCTGAAAGTCATTTCCACTGCATATATAGCAAAAAAGAATCCCCCGTCCAAGCAAAACTGTTTTTGTCCACCGTGTGTGTTTGGCGGCACTAAAGTAAAGCGAAGTATAACCAAAAAAGCAGACGACAGTCTATTTAGTTGTTTGACCCAGCATCTTGTCGGGCTAATGGTTCTTCAGGCAACTTGTCTGTTACCTTATTCTATTTTATCAGAAAGGACATACAAATCAATTCAACTTGCTTTTTATTTTATTGCCGCCAAATTGTAGTTTAGGACAAAAACATTTTATTTCAGGGTCGTCGTCCTAAGAACAAGTTCAATAAAAAGCTGCATTTTCCACCTGGTGTTTAAATAGCTCTTGTATATATCTCACACGAAAGCCGTTTTTCAAGACATGACTTATGAGCATTCTTATAATGAATATAAAGCAAGAACCGATTCAAAACTTTTTGTTTAGGGAGGTCAGTCCAGTTAGGGAGGCAATTTTTATTAATATAAAGGTTTTTCTCATGCTATTGGAATTTCTGGGGGGGGGGGCAAGACCCCTTCGCCCCCACCTGCATCTCGGTCCTTCTATAGAAATCCAGAAAAAACGCATACCTTCCTATGTGGTGGTTCCGAAGACATCGATTTCAGCTTTAGCCCGCCTTTTCTTGGTGTTAAACTTGTTGATCCATTTTCACTGTATGCCATTTTTAAAAACTTTTTACCGTAACCAACTGCAACATATTTCTCTAAGCTTTTCAGTTGAGCAGGTTCCAGTACTTCTATGCCATCTAATGTATATAGACTGGAAAACAATTTAAAAACACAATTCAAAAATTGGCACTATTTCATTTATGAATTTGGTTTTGATCTCTAATTTTTGCTTTGAAATTTTCTTTTTGAAATAAACAAACTTTTCTGAAATAAAAGTTAATTTGTGAAGGCTAGAGGGTTGTCTTGAAAAACTCCAGCTTTACCAAAATTGTTTCTGAAGCTTTATCAGAATTGATATTTCTCAACGTTTAGGTGTAAATTAAAAGTTTTCTTGAAAAATATCACCAAACTGTATTCAGCAAACTGTATTCTCTTTCAATTGCTTCCTAATATGTCTGTGAAACATGAGACATTCTCGATAAAAATGACGTATCTGGGAAATAACGATAAACATCTATGACCGCCACATGGTCTAACCAGCTTATCAGTATCTCCTCTCTTGCATACCTCCCTCTATTTGACAACGCTCTGTTTGAGAGCGAGAATCTTGTGAACAGGACCAAGTTCTAACCAGATGATTAATTTTGAAGATGAAATATGGTATAACACGAGAAACTATAAGCTATCAATGAGATCGGGTTCTGCATACTACAGCAAAAAGGGTCAAAAAGGAAAACAGAATCAACGTGCATAAACAATAATTCATATTGCGAAATGACTAATAGCACTGGCGAAGAACTGGATTCTACGTGTATGAAACTGGTGAATGGAAAATGTGGAGAACCCTATTTTCTTAAAAGACAATAAGATTTTGACGCATCAGAAGGCCCACAGTTAAACACAGAAGACCCACAGAAGACCCACAGAATAAATAAGGCCAAAGAGAGTGGCAACACGTCAAAACAAGTTAAAAATAGCATGCTCGTGGGTCACTATCTTTTACAAGCTAATAAACTGGAGTTTTAGCACAGAATGCTGCGAATTCATATGAATAATTAACACAATAGTTGTCTATCGCAGAACTGAAAACCACCGTGCGATTGATTTCGCATCCTTTGATGTCATCATAACATCAAATTCGAAAAATAGTCGCAAAGTAGCACGCATTGGTACGACACTGGTCTGAAAATGGCATTTCTTTAGTTTGTTATTAAACTTTCATGAACATTTTGTTTCCTATAGTTCGCATTCGTAATTCAATTTTTCCCCGAAATTAAGTTGTGTTTTGCACAGCAAACTAGTCGTTTTGCATTGTGACTGGAGAATTCGAATCAAAAACTTCATTGTGTCTGGGTTCATTCAGTCAGCGCATTAGCAACACGACTTATGACACTTAAAAGCAGTATTCGTACAGCTATCCTTTGAAAGGGCTCCAGCACTTCATGTTGCGTGATATAAGAGCTCAATCATACTTTCTCTTTCCAACTGCTGCTGCATTTAAATCATTTGAATAATTTTCTTGATTAAACAGCATTATGACGAAAGCAGCATTGTGCTGACAGCTTTGGGGCCGTACAGATGTAAAAGTAAACTGCAAATGTAAGCATAAACTGCAAACATTCAGTCTCAGACACAAGCTATCAACATGACGAAACTCCTTCTTCTCGAGTACCTGACGAGGTCTAGTAAAAACTCTCTATGTTTGTTTTCATTTAGCAATTAACTGGGTTCACTAACATACATATTTCTCTGTCCAAAAAAACTGGAGACAAAGCGACTAGGTGTATCTTTACTAACAATCCTTCCCAAATTATCTTAACGCTTTGCAAATGTTTGAGAGCAGAACGCGCAGTCAGTTACAAATAAACGATCTGATCTGCTTGAATATGACTGCAAGGTAGCAGGACTGGCTTGACGGTCTTATGAGGATTAGATTTTCATATTCTGGGACTGTTCGCTAACAAAAACCATCTTGATATTCATCTAAACACAAATAAACTGGAACTGATTTTTCACATGATAAAAAATCAGTTCATTGCAATGCAATTTGACGTTACAAACCTTCTTACAGCCCCAGTGCGAAGTCTTACTTTTTCTGTGACAAACTGAAGAATCTGTAATGAATAAATAAAGAGAAAGATGAAACGTCAACAGAAAGGTTGGAAAACAATGCATTCCTAATGCAGCCCTAATACGCCGTTCAAATTTCAAAGCAATTTCACTTCTGCAAATTTTTACAAAGATAAATTACACTCATGATGCGCCTATGGCACAGAGGGGAGGGCATGGACACTGGGTTAAGCCCCCTTCATCGACAATGTGCCTTTTCAGTGTTGGGATTTCCTAATGCCTATCCTCATCAAATCTAGGTCCGATAAATATCTGTACAATTAAGAACTGTCTCTGAAAAAGGTCTATATAAAAGGAAAACTGGCCTGTTCAATAGATGGGCGTGTTCTTGGTAGCCACATTATCCCAACTGTTTTCATACTCCCATAGCCACTGCACCATAACTCTTTTGTCACTGGTGAGCCCTCGAAGGTTTTCAATCAAAGGAGCGCCACCACACACGTTATAATCGAGGAAAGTTGCTCTTAGGAGCCAAATATTTGAGGCAAATAAACAAATAGAAGGGCAAAAGTTATCTAAAGGTGGTTCACGCTTTTCTGTTGGCGAGTAGCTACTATTTATGCTCGGTTGTACGCCCAAGAATGAATAAATAGTTTGGCCGATAAATCTCGTGGTTAACTTCTCGAATAAAATTATAACAATATAAACACTATTACTTTGGTCGTTTAAAAATTACACGACTTATATCAGGTACACATAACATTATTTCTTCGTTTTCATATAACATATATATTAAGTATCCAGACATTTTACCAGCTTCATATAATTCATCCATTTTATACCCATCTCGATATTACAAAGAGAAAATCCAATCAAGTTTACTAAGGGCCCGTCTATACAAAGTTTCGTGAGCTACAAGGAATTTTGTTTTGTGAGCTAGTTGAAAGGTAACCAACTACTGCGGATATACTAATTTTTCTAGTGGCTTTATCACTAACAAATATTAATCACTAATTAAAATAAGTATTGCAGATTTGGCGTTATAACACTAATAAATATTAGGCAGATATGCTGATATTATATTCCTTTATATCAAAACACAAAAACGAAAGAGTACAACAACTTCCTGGATTTTCTGTTGCTAAGGCACAGCTGCAAAAACCAAACTATAGTTAGGCCAAATGTTCTTTTATAAGCAGTCCATTGGTAATCTTATGTGAAATGAATATCTTACGAAACTCTGAAGAGTTTAATCTGCATGCATACGCAGCATTAAATATGCTCTTTTGCAGATTCAATCATCTACATGATGGAATTCAATACGCCAGATTATCAAGATTAGTGCCAATCTGTTCTTTCCAAACAGTGGATCGGAAGAGCTGTTTAAATATTGACCACTGATTGCAAAGATATAATTATGATTAATTGCTCACCGTATCCATACCAGTGTGCAAGATACGTTTGTCAAGGTGAATTTTGAAGCAAGGTTGTTTGTCGTCTCCATTTCGAAAGACGCTAGGGAGTAAGATGAAATTATCAGATTGGCATTGCATGAACTGTTGAATGGATCTGGAAAGAATGGCATTTTCAATGTTTAGAATTCAAAGAGCAAAAACACAGACTGATTAGAACATGCATTCATAGATAGCTGAAAATATTTTGTGTGAATGAGAATGAACTCTAGACGCTCTAGCACTTCTAGGAAGCTTCTTGGAAATATAAATCATGGCTTTAATATTTCCCTAGAAATGATGTCTGTTTTCTTTATGATGGTTACAAAAACATTCTGTGATTCAAATTTTTAGGAAAAAACAGGAGCTTCGAAATTTCTTCGTTTTTTTGCGCCATCTTAATGCAAATGTAAGTATTTACTAAATCATAGAAATTAACTTTCAAAATGTGGAATTTACCAAATTGGCATGACATGCTAAATTAGGCATCTTTAGATTTTCAGTGAGCAGAAATTCTGACTATTGCCGACCTCCTCGTGTTTAGAAGAAACGTCAAACTCAATTGCAAATATTAAATTTCAGGTGACGTTGATTGTTTTTAGACAGACATGAAAATAATCTCAAAAAAACACAGCAGTTGCAATTGTCTTTACACAGCTATCCAAACGGACGTTGCAATCGACTCGTGGCTTGAGAATGTGACCAAACCTGACGGTCAACACATAAACAAGTTGAATGTTGTTTCCGTCGATGAAAATCCCATTTTGTTTAGGGCTTACAAATCCAAAGACAAACTTCTAGTCGCATATTGGACAGAAGGGTAGTAGGTCATGGTGGCTAACCTCTGTTCACATAATCCTCAATACATAAGAAAAAACCATGCAGATTCTTTAAGGTCATGTTCTGATCTAAGCCTTACAATAACTCAAAACAATATAATAAAATCTAAGGCGGAGTTAACGCAAATCGGATGATTGGATTGATGCTGCAACATCTTAATTACACAGGGCATTAACTCATCTTAAGTCAACAGCATTTCAACGGACAAGTTGTGTTTAATTCACTAAAAAACTGTGCATCATTTTGTCGAAAGGTGAAAAAAGCTCAGGAAAGTGTTCAAATGTGGAGAAGTAGCCATTGCGGTCGCAAATTTTGACCAGAAGGGTGGCATCTTGGTTTTTCAGATGCAAGAATTGTTACCAAATAAACTCCTACAATTCTCTGAAAGAAAACAAATTATGAAAAAACACGGACGACCGAGGGCACACCTATGATATTTCGTACTTGAAAGCCTCGGGTATTCAATTTTTGGCAAGAATAATCCAACATATAAGAAAAATACGGCCAACAATAAATAACCAAATAGCTTCTTTTCGTTTTACACAATCGAAAAATTTTCATTCTTTTGCTAATTCAGAAATAACTTATTTGGCATTAACACAGTGGCTCTACCTTGTGATATTGATCCAGATGTAACTAACACAGGGCGTAGACATCTTTTAGTTACTAGGAGCCTATTTAATCATAACCTTGAGAGTCAAAAAAATTACGAGAAGAAGTACTGCAAATACAAGTTTCACAAGTGAAAAATAAAACCCCGTCTATGACTATAATTTCATTAATTTTAACATTTGGTGTTATATTTTAACATTTTAACTATAATTTTATGCTAGGAAATTTTCCAATTTTTGGTCTACGTCTTCATGGCCTCAACCCTATTTCTATGTGCAACCTACAGATCTGGTAATGGGTTTGATTTGGATTGCGGCTTCAGCATAAGATGCGTCTTGCGTCTTTTGGAGTTAATTGGCAATAGTAACAGTTTACGGCCGTTTTCAGTAAGTATAAGAACAAATTATGCAATTAATAGAGGTTGAATAATGGTCCACCCAAAGCAACATGAAACAAAGTGAGAGCCATTAGAACTTGCCATAAAGTTACTTCTAGCAATTTTTATTATATTTTAAGCGGGAATTTCACTTTTTGTGGCACGGGACGTTTTGCAATCGCTGCTGCGTCTTTGTACATTATTTCAATGCAGATTGCGGATTTCGGCTGATTTTTGCTCAGTTTTGCGGCTTTCAAACCCCTCCTATATTGATAAATTTTCACAAAATCACAGTGTTCTGGGTTTTTCCAAAACTCAACTTTCAACAAAACTCAAAACTCGTACTGAAGTTTCCTCCTTTTTCTGTTTGTCCAGTATTGGTATCTTATACATGTTTTTATAAATGGCTTTGAAAAAAGCAAACATTTAGTAAACTAAAGCTTTTCGTCTGACACTCTTCAGAGTTTAAAACGTCAGAACATAGATCGAAAACTCTACGCTAGGAAATATATATATACCCAGTTGTGGATCGAAACACTACCCAAAGATTGGAGGATAGGATAAAACAACACGTTCCATCTAATATTAGAAACAAAACCCATCCGCAAAGAGAACAGCCACCTCGGTCTTGCAAATCTAAAATTACAACTAAAACCTGCGATTCTGCTATCGGGCAGCATTTACTAGAAAACCCAGATTGTGCAAAAAACTACAATGGCGACATGTTTCGGATTATTGGTAAAGCCCGATCGTCGTTCCACCTAGCAGTTTTGGAATATACCTACATAAGCACGAAAAAACCGCCACTGTGTAGACAAAAGGAGTTCGTTTTCACCTTAGGACTCCATTGGTAACATTTTCAATAGGCAAGTGGCACTGATTGGTCAACCTATACAGTCATGTGCTCGTGTTTTCTGATTGCCTATTTCGATCCACAACTGGGTATATATATTTCCTAGCGTAGAGTTTTCGATCTATGTTCTGACGTTTTAAACTCTTAAGAGTGTCAGACGAAAAGCTTTAGTTTACTAAATGTTTGCTTTTTTCAAAGCCATTTACAAGTTTTGTACCACCAAAAGATTGTTTACATGTTTTTATAAACGCAATGAGCACATCCTGCCTAGTTCCCCCTATGTCCTTGAGAACCACTCCCGATGTGCAAAAAGGACTGCACAGCTTCAAAGTAATGGCCAACAAAGAATTCTGGTTCTGTAAAACCAGCAAAAAGCCTCATTTTTATTATTTGCATAAAATAATCGTTAACGGTGAAGAGATTTTGATTTAAGACCTTTCTATTCAAGAGTTCTAGCTTTTTGGCAAAAACAATCCAAAGCAAGTAATCCATATCTCACTGCTGGTCAAACTTCATCCAGTAGTTAATCTTTTATTATCCTGCTAGACACATGGAGAGGCCAAATTTCTATATCCCTTAATCTGTTCAGAATCTGCCCCTTCTCAAGATATCAACACATCGTTATTGTTCAATTAATGGATTTTTATAAAATCAAACGGTATGATCTTCATAACTTTGAGACAGCTATAAAGCTTTTGAAGATATTATTCACTTCTCTCAATAAATGAGATCAAGATATCAAACCAAGCACCAATTGGACTCTAAATATTGACTAGAAGACAGGGAAGATGTTATAATGCTATCATTGCTTTAATTAGCCCTGTGTGCAAAATACCATTTTGATTTTTTTTCATTTTTGTCTATTTAGCAAAAAAAATTTATCATCGAAGAAAAGGCCAGTGTTGCATTAACTTTTTGTTTACTAGGTTCCTTTTTTGGATTTGCTTGTGTAAAAACTTGCTGTGAAGCTACAACAATTATTTTTGCTATAGTCATAGAAAACAAGCATCTTTAACTAATTAAAAACAGAGCAAAAACTAAAAGCTTTGCAAGCCCCTTTTGACAGCTTCCAATTTAGGCTACTAAGATCACTGGGGTATGAATGAAATATTTCAAAAACAGGATAAAAGTAATCAAGGAAAAGAGCCTGTGAGCAAGGTATGATCATTTTGAAATCAAGCTACCCATAAAAGCCCCTGAAAGCTAATAGACAATACTAAGTAAATTGTGTAATACTAATTAACCACTAAAAGCTATAAGACATTAAACTTCATTTTCATATTTAAAGGAAGGAATATGATTCAGTTAGATATGGCAAGCAAAACATTCAAACAAACTTTCAAATTTTCAGTTTACTATTGTAAATTATGGTAGACAAATATCAAACCAAGTGTAACTGCCACAATAAAATATTCCTCAAATCACTCACAAGATTGTTTTGTTCGAAGAACTTTCAGCAGCAGCAACTTTTCTAGCTCTTCCAGAAACAATAACTCTGCTATGGACAACTGGCCTGATTAACTTTTAAAAAGAAAAAGATACAAATTAGTTACCTCTACATGACAAGAGCCTATCGGCCTATAAGACTGAAAAAATTGAACTTTACATAGGCTAGCAGATATACTTTCATTGTTAACTTTCTCTGATAGTTAAAAACAAACTCTAGCAGGTAAAAAAGCAAGCATTCCTAACAACTTTTTCTCTTACATCTGATAAAATTTATTTCATTTACAATGCGGAAACAGTCTACAGATAGTATCCTATTAGCTTAATTTTGCAACTTATCGTCAGGGATGGCGCCAGAAAGTGAGTGATCCACCCACAAAGATGTAATATAACACCATTTTCGCTGTGGTAATTTTAGTTCAAAATATGAAAAAAAAAATTTAAAAAAATCAAACAATATGATAAAAAATAAAAGTAAATCACAAAGTGGAAGTTATGAAAGTGCCGATGTTGCTTAAAATTTTTCAAAAATTGAAATGCCGACGGGGGCGCTCAATGAATTTTTTGGGGGGCTCTTGCACCCTCGGTGCACCATCCCTGCTTATTGTTTTAGTGCATTTTTTTGGAAAATAATTTTACTGTGTGCCTTTTAGAGGTCATTCTTTTTCTTTCAATGAATCACACATCACGATTCTTTGATACTACAAACAACTGAGTTCTTGATGCTGAAACAAGGTCCTTGCTTGCTACAAAGGCATGAAATTGTGAGCCCATATGAAATTACTGTGTGTTAGGTAGTCATTGTTATTCCATCACTGCAAGTTATAAAGCTGAATAATCCATCCCTGCTGTGATAAATACACCTTATTGAAGAGTGCCTTGTAGTACTTGTATGCATCCTTTAGCATGATCTAACCACAAAACCACCAGAGAGCATTCTGAAGAAAATTTTCTGCTGAAAATGTAGCCCAAGTACTTAAATAACTGATCTAGAGATAAAAATGTAGCTAATGACGAACAGCATCCCAAAAACAGTGAAAGATAAAATCTGAACAAGGATTTGAAATCAAAGTTCATCAATAAAAAATGACATAACATGAATCTGTTTGTAAGAGCTTGTCAATGGAGTAGTAATGTTTTGATTCTTTGTAAAATTCAATTGTGTAAATAAGTAAACTTTCTCCTTTGGATAAATTTGAAGAAAAAAACAGAATGTTGAGGGTTGTATAGGGGGTCCTTGTTCCCATGTTCCCTTAAAAAATTGTAATTTGTTCCCATGTTCCCAATGAAATTTTTAAAAATTTTCCTGATACCAGTATACACTTCTCTGCTTTTATCCGTTTGAATACTTTCTTTTAAACAGTCAATTGTTTTAGCGCCAATGTTGATAATCAAGTTGTTTTATATCCCTTTTACTTATCAAAACTTAAATCTTAATTTAATTGATCATGTCATTGATTATTTTTTCATCTGCTAATTATGCATGCAAGATTTACATGTATGCAAGTCTCTTTTCAAGAAACATTCAATGTAAAGAAAAAGATAGACATTTCTAATGTCTCGTGTATCAAATTATTTAATCAAATCTGTGCATTAAAAACCTTCAGCAAATGCAAAAAGGAGTGTCAACTTGTAATATTCTGCATGTTATTGATATAAAGCTTTATCAAGCAGACAAAACATTCACAACGTCTTATTATCACTTGCCTATAACTCAAGTTATAAAAATACAATTAATAATGTATTGGCATTGAGAGGCATAAGATCAACAAGGGGTCAACAATTCATCTTCATCAAGTTAAGATCACATTCATTGAGCGATTATTTGAATCGATAAATGCTGTGCATCTGAAATTGTTTAACTCGTTTACTAAAAATAGAAGTACCTGCTCGGGCGGTTTCTGCTTGTGGGTGGGGAGAGTGCTTGCTTCTTTGTACCTGTAAAGATAAAATTTTCTCAGTAAAACCTATGAGCATGCTAATAAACAAAAGATAACATCTTTATCTGTAGTGCTGGTATGTATGTTTTCGAGTTATACTTAAATGATTATTAAGCTTTTGGTTGAATGTGCTGCTTCTGTACAAAAGTGTGCCTAACTAAAGATATGTTTGCAGATCAGCTTCATGAATATAGTGTACTAAAGCAATATTTGGATTAACAAAGCGCGCTTTAAAATTTTATTCAAATATAACTGATCTTTAAACTCTTGTCATGTCGCAAAGGTTTAATGTTTGTGGATGGCATGCAAATAAAAGGCATAGTGCCTGCCAAATTCACGACAGCGTGGAAATATGATCACAAAATCATTTCCTGCAATTCACAAGTGAAACGTGTAATTTGTTGAATTAAAAATTCAGTATATCTATTTCTAAATGTATTAAATGCTGCTTAACAGGTAGGCAGACTAAGAAGTTCAGAAGCCAAGGAAAAGAAACGGAAGAGGCATTCGGTCACATCGGGGGTCAAACGACAAAAAGAATAAACAAAAAGTGGGCTTATGAAAAAAACAGCATGAAGTACTCACTCTAATTTCTTGAACTTTTCTGGACCAACGGCCACATATATGCCGCCATTTTCCAACTTGTCGAGTTCGTTTACTCGATGGCCGTGGCTTGGTGTTCTTATACTACGCACAGCGACTTGTGATCTTGTGTCCTTGGTCACTCGGTCTAAAAACGCATCAAAACTACGAATTTCTTTACGATTTAATACCAGACGTTTCCCATTCTGATACGTGTCTCCATTTCTATAAATGGTTATTACAGGTGCTGCCATCTTTAGAAATAAAATTACTCAAATTATTTATGTCTCGCCTTCTAACTTCTTGTAGAGTTTTAACTGTGCACTTGCTTAGATACTCCAAACTACGTCAATTCCTGTGTCATTGTTCTCAGGGTGGTTGACAACTCTATTTGCTTTTTTAATGACGTCAAAATTTCAAACTATTCTCATTTACAGGGATGACATTTCTTCAAAGACAATTCAATCATTAAATCGAAATGCATTTTGGGGTAGGTGAGACAAAGCAAGAAATGTTGTCAAGGAAACAAAGAAGTAAATAACAACAAAATCAACACGTAGAAAATTATGTTATTGGAAGAGGTGGCAAATTGATGCCATTAGTGATATAATTGATATTCCATAATCGCCGTGCCGAATCTACGAACAACAGGCATTACACCAAATTAATGTGGCATCCCGAGAAAGTTGCATACGGTTGCGCGAATGATAGCGTTTTCGCGTACCCCGGAGCTTTCCAATTTTTCGAACGAAACTTCTTGGAATGGCAGGCAATTGATCCTGTGTAAACATAGCCCAGATTATCTAAAATCTCTGTCCTGGAGATTTGTTGTTTTCAATTAGGCTTTTTGATTTGTTTAACGATTTATCAAATGCTACGATTTCTGACCAAAATCTCAGTCAACAATTTTTTTTCTTAAACTGGTTTAGTGTTTGTCATTTTGGTACGTGGGTTTCTTGACTTGCCTTTGTCATACTCACTCAACTAGAATTTAATCTTTCACATATTTTTGTCGCCTTAGAAATAACTTGAGAAGAAAATTAAATCTGTTGAAGAGGCATTTGAAATCTGTGACCCCTTAAAACAACCAGTTTAGTTGTATGACCTCTTAAAACAAACATCAAGTCTAGGATCTCTTCTTACAACGTGCTACGCTTCGAGGTTCGAAAGAACGGTGCAATAATACAGTTTGGTGGTCCATTCTGAGTATTCTAAAACGCCTAAGAAAAGCAGTTAAACCCTATTTTTTGTCATAGCTCCTGAAAGAGTTCTTCGTTTAAGCGTCACCACCCGAAGGCAGAAAAGACTTTGAATGCAAAACCAAACCAACAATTTGCATCAGAAGCTCTGCTCATGTGTTACTGTCAAACTTGCATTAATCAGGTCTCTTTAGACCAGACAAAGAGTTTGACTTATATGATCTCCGATTTAGACCCCGTTTACAATGTGCCGGGTAAATTTTATCAGCATCAAAATTAGTTCAGATAGGCGTCGCGTACTAGACTCACGCTACCCACACGAATTTGAGAGCGGCTATCAGAACAAAATTAGTTCAACTAGGAAAGTGGATTAAATTAGTTCCGATAGCTATGTGATACAGTGTAAACGGTTTCATCCAGATAAATTTTATTCACATCGTATTTTGCTCGAAAGCGATTGGCTATTTCTTCCTATTTAGTTTTTACTGTTTCCTAATGAAGACCTTTCGCCATCTTTGCTGCCTTGTAGAGGATAAATACTAAAACTAACTAACTATAGTTAAAACTAATTTTGCCTAATTTGTTTTGACAATATCTTCGGACTTCCTCTGAAAGAGAAGCAGACGATTTTGAAGAGAGAATTGAAAGTATTTTTAAGTTGGCGGGAATTTACCTGTTATTTTGTTTCCCAGAGATGGCTTTGTTTTGGGCGTTCTGTGCACGATTTAGGTCACGTGACTGCAGTTATCCGGCACAGCGTACAGTGCAAAGTGGACAAAATTTGTGCGGCACAGTGTAAAGCCTGATTTACACGAGATGAATTTTTTGTGCGAAGCGAATTTTTCGCCGCGAATGCGCAAAAAATATGCGCAGAAGTAGAGATTAGAAAATTCGCAGCGAATTCGCTGCGAAAAATTCGCTGCGAAAAAGTAGAAACCATTCCTACTTTTTAGCTGCGAAATTTTTCGCCTTGTAAAATAAACCAATCAGAACAGCTTTGGAAGACACCTGACTTCTGTTTTGGTTTCAGCCTTTAAAACGTCAATAAAATAGGTTGGTAATTATTCATTTCCTGTTCCTTGTACACAATCCATGTATGTGGATTCATATCAGTTTATTATTCAAACATTTAAAGTTCAAATTGACGAAAACTGGCTTGAAAGTTTCATCAAGCTTCGATGGCGACCTTTGAAAGTATTATCCTGGTCTTATAAATGTAAACGTAAATCTCTCTTACCGAAAGATGGAATTTCCCCTTCTGAAGACGTCCTGAATAAATTTTTCTAATCCAGTATCGCTTTTTGCTGGCTTTTTGATAAATTTAAAATTTAAAGCTTCCTGATAAGAGCACTCTTCGGACAGTCGCTATATTCTTTTGTAATACTCGCAGCGAATTCGCATAAAAATTTCTGCCAGTGTAAATTCGCTTCGCATCAAATAAGACTTTCTGTATCATTTGCATATAAACTAAACAGCAGCGACCCTAGACATGATCACTGAGAAGCAACACAGTTGACATGCTTAGTTCTACGGAAAAAAGGGCCACCAAGCAGCAAAATTGTACCTTTCCAATCATTGTATCTTCTTAAAATCTATAGAAAGCATATAGAAGGACAGGTCAATAAATTATAAAGTGATCTATGTCTTTGTGTTCAAGAGTGATCCAACGGCGTTATGTAGCTTACAATAGGCAAATTGATTATCTGATAAAATACTGTTTTCCCGTAAACTGGTTAATTGTTCGAAGAAATTTCTTACATTTGTGAAAACTGCAATTGCAAAAATTGGTCCTGTTTTACGCCTGATTTGTAGTGTAGTTGCAATTTTCCAAATACACACCAATCCTTCAATAGAAGAAGCATACACACAGGAAACTGAAGCCAGCAAGTATACAGAATACTTTCTCAGAAAACTAGACAGTCTCTGATTTGTACCAATTTTTAATAATCATGCAAAATCGAAAAAAGTTCATCAAAGGTTAAATATTTTGTCAAAAATACCAATTGAACCAATGGAAAAAACCTTCTAGTTGAATCCAACTGTAAAATGAAAACTTGATTCAAGGCTATGCATAATCTACATGTACAGGCTGAAATCAGGGATGTTCCATTAGAAGAAGGGCCTGGAAAACAAGTCTTGGCAGTCGACAATGTATGTCTTAAACTCCCAGAAACATGTTGCCAGACGAATATACTGCCGATTTTCTGTTCCGCTTTAGCAATAAATACAAGGAGCATATAAGAGAAAAATTGCATCAATCAGACAAAAGAGCTCGTGAGAGGAAAACGAGGCAACTGCCAAAACAGGAACTGAGGAGCATATAAAAAATGAGAAGCGGTGGCGCAAATAGTTTCAATACACTTATAGTTTCGGAAGAAGGAATTCAGAAGACAGCTATCATGTATTGAGAATAATGGGGGATGAAGCTCCTAGCTCCGTATTCTCACTTTTAAATTAAGCAACGACTCTTTATTTCCGTATCAATTTGCGATTGAAAATGACGTGTGTTGTAAGCAGAAGTTAAATTTGCAATGACTCCTGCGATACTTTTGAATGCTTAGATAATGTTTGAAGGGGAATGTAGCAGACATCTGATAAGAAATGATATGAAAAGATGAAACACAAAAAAAGCCAATTTTTACCAACTTTAGATGTCATTTACTTTATGAAATATGTTCAATAATTTAATTTTTAATGCTAATCGATACATATTAATCTATAAATCATTTCGTATATTAACAAATTCAGAGGTGCAAGAAAGAAGAAAGGTTTTGTCACTTACAGCAAAATTCCAAGATCTTAAATCTGATTGGTCACAAGAAAGCTGTCAATCAACAACAGCCAACCAATTAAATATTTGCTACTCCTGGCGATGATACTAATAACGTATCTGTGATCTAGGCGAAATATAGACATGCGTTTTTGATAAATACTTTTTAATAAAATCCGCACAAAAGAACCAACATTAGATTGACTGACTAGGCCCTTAGTTAACAAGCGTTGTTCGAAATTCCAGTTCCAGCTTGTGGGTTTTCAAGGAGTTTGTGACAATCAGAATTTCAGGATTCAGTATAAAAACAATATGGTTGATTTTGAGAGGTTTTATCGCCATTCAAGGCTGGAAATTGAGCCAAATTATTGTTACAAAATTGGCACTTTTATGCGGATCCTTTTGCGGATGTCAAAATTGGCACTTTTATGCGGATGTCAAAATTACAACAAGATGTCTAAGGACAAGGGTTAAAGACTACATAGAACTGTAGTTATATTAGCTGACAGAGCAATTAAAACTAAATAAAATCACAATAAAAATATTGCTAAGACTTTTAATGTTCAAAAACATATCAAGGCATGCTATTTCAGGATTGCTTAAAGAATCAAGTCCCTGAAATAATTAATACTAGCGAAGATCTACCAAGCATCCACGAGAGATTATTAGATACTAAAAACCCCATTTTCTGTTGCAAATCATGGCTGAAAAGTTGTACACTTGTAATCGCAGAAGAAATGTCCAAAGAAAGATAGCTGAAAATATACAAACCTCGCTAAAACTGCGCCTTATCTTAATTAGTCTTTCGGAGTTGTTTTTACATTTTTGTTGAACACTCTTCATCCCTTCACCTAAGGCTATCGGTTTTTAAAGCAGACGATAAACATTCACCTGTCAACCTGAAGCTCGGAAATGTATTTGTAAATATATATAATCTTGGGGGAAAAACCAATTACTGTAAATCTTAAAATAATTCGCAAAAATATTTTAGGGTGTGGGATTATTCGAGGGGAAGGCCTTTTCAAGGCTTTACGACAAAACTGAAACAAAACTCTAAAACATTTATTCCCACTCTCAAAAATTCGCAGTTCCACTTTAGTCTCCTTTCCATCCTATTTGCATATATTATACACGCCTCGTCTATGCTATTCATAAATTCTATTCAATAGTATAAATAGTATAAATTTATAAATTAGTGCAGAGCGTTACTTTTTAAAATCAGTTTGAACTGACGTGTCAAAGATGAATGGCGAGATACTTAGAGATAGATGACTCACCACCCTATTAGCATTATTGTTGCACAGTATTGTTCAATAACAGCTTCGTCAGTGCCTCTGCAGGAGTTATATTTAGATGACGTGCAACTTCTTCAACGTGACACAAGAAGGTTGGCATCTTTTGTGCAAGTTCTTGATTCTCCTTATCAAACAAGCCAATATCATTGAAAGCCTGATCTATGCTAAAGCACTGACTGGCAGACGTTGTAGGAGTGGTGGAGACACCGGCTGCCTGTGGATTGGTCACCGTCATTGGGTTGCTTTCTGTGCTTGCTATAGAGCTAGTAAATGCAGTGGTTGTACTAAACTGAGCATTAAGTGGACTTGAAGTAGATGCCAAGTCCACCTTTTCGCAGCTATTATTTATTCCGATCAAACACTCCTGTAGCTGACTATTAGTTGGTTGAGTTAACGATCTTGTCAAAGTCTGGGACAGCTGAGAGAGGTCCTGATATCCATCTTGGTTTTTCATAACACTGCTCGTTACGTCGATAGTGCCATCAGATGTGTTTGAAACTGGACACGAGTAGGAAGTAAAGGGTATCGATGTGTTTTGGCCTTCGTCTAACACTTCCAAACTCTCATCTACAACAAACACCAGTAAATACTCTTGCTACAAAACGTTACTAACAATGCACAAGTTACTCGATTGAAGCAGCAAGGGTCAGTTTTATCAAGCTTATCTTATGATTTGTTTCTATTTTGATAAATCAGCTGCATTACGTACAAGCAGTCATTCATATGTTGCTTCGCCTAGCTTGGTTGTCATTGCTCTAGCCTTTAAGTGGCTGAGAGATCAATTATTTGATAACTGTCTACAAATGCCTGTTAGATTAATTGACTCAAAATCTCAATGGCTATCTGAACATTCTGGTTAAAGTAAACCCACACAACCAACAAAATTCAGATAGTTCGTTGTGTTCTTACATTAGATAATTATATAAAAGGCGTATTTTGATGATGATAAACTTTATTGGAGAAAGACCCAACATGCAGCTCGTTGGCTGATTGGTAAGGTTCGTCCTTATATAAATTTTTATGATTGGCATCCTATATCTAATAAATGACAAAAATGTATCAATCAAGTGGGATCATACCACAAGCATGTCAGATCACTTCTATTAGCAAGTCGGATATCACCAGAGTGTTATGTAACCATTCTATACAAAGAACATAGGATAGGTAATGGGTTTAATATGATGCCTATGCATTCACACTTTGGTTTCTGCAGGGGTTGGTTTTAGGGTGAGACAAAAATAGAACCACTAACTGGAAGGTGTGTTGTAATTGCAATGTTAACATGTGATGCATTTAGCCACCCCCCCTCCCCACCTTGTGTAGCCAATGAGCTGGCTGAAGTTGGTAATTCTCCTTCAGGCAAAGAAAAACTGAGAGGAAAAAACATAATTACCAGTGGCAAGGCTCTTTTGAGATTCGTCTGATAATAGCCAGTTCACTAGAGGAGGAGAAGAAATGTCACTATTATTGGGCAGACTTGTATTTCTTTGTGTGTCTGTTTTCAATCGAAGTTTTTTCTCAGGAGGCACTGTCTGAAATTGGGGCAGGCTGAACAACAGTGGAATTCCTTCTGAACTTGTCTCAACAGAAGTCATGGCTGATTCACTATTTTGATTTGTTACAGAACCATCCTTCACACGCCTTCGCCGTGTTTTCTTGTCTTTTCTATTACGCTGAAGAAACCTTTGCATCTATAAACAAAAAGAGTGCTGAATTGTTAAAATCTTATGAAGAAAGATGTTAGAAGCGTTAGAAAATGCATTTAAAAGATTAATAACAAATATCATCGATCAACAGTTTTCCATATGGATGGATTTTAGTTAGTGCCCTTGTGAAAAGATCCATCTTCTCAATTCTATGAGCAGTGCCTTACTTTAAAGGGTTATACCTTTAAAGGGTAAAACATCAGGGTAACACTTTTTCCTGTCTTGAATTTGCTAACTTTGTTCCATTACTGGATTTTGAGAGCTTTTCAATTCCCAGAATTCCCAGGTCGAGAGCATCAAAATTATCTTAAATGAAATAGTTCCTTTGTTGCCTTTAAGCTTAAAAGTGTCAGGTGGAATGTGTCCCCAGTTCTTCTTTACTCCATTTTCGAGCTATTGACTTTCACAGGCCTTTTCGTTTGACGCGAGCGATCACTCGCGATCGCGTCAGCACTCGCGCAAACCCAACCACGCGAGCGTTTAATTGCACGCGCAAAACGGTAAATTGTGAGGAATAAATGTCTCATCAATTAACACATTTCTAGTCATTTTTTGTGACCCAAGCAAGTGACATAGACAATACAAAGCCGGTATATCAAAACACAGGAAATATAAGTAAGCTGAATTAACCACATCTCAACGAATAAATGCATTTGGAAGTCAAATTCCACAGCGAATGTTTAAGAACAATTGGGTACTAGTATTTGAATTACAATGGCACTTAGGACATTCTCTGGGCAGCCAGACTGTAAGGTATTTTTTCTGCGCGGGGAACGCCAGAACAACGAACGTTTCCCGCGAAATCGTGCGCGGAAGCAAAAGCTTTCGAAGAGACCTTGTATTTTTTGTTTTTTCTTGTTATCAGAAGTCAGATGTTTAAATGGTGGAATATTCGCAGGGAACATGTCCAGATAAACAAATATTATGCGCGAAATCTACAGCAAATTCTTAACAACATTTTTCAATCATCCGGCAATAACATCTATACGACCTTCATGATATACATAAAGTTTATATACGAAGCACATTTGTATTGGGTATTTATTCTTTCTTGGAGAGCATTAAAGGTCATCATAACCATTCATTTTCATTTGATATTACCTTACACAGAAGTACCTCAAAATAAGATCATATGATTTTTGTTAAATATTACAGAGAGGCTTTTAGCATTGTTGATCATTATTATCCTTTTTAGAGCAATTGCTTGTGCAAGAGAATTCATACCAGTGCTCCGCCATATGCGTGAGTTATTTCTTACGAAAAGGCCTGCTTTCATTGACTCATAAACTTATTGTTGCCATGCTAAATAAATGCAGTATAATGCAATGGAGAAAATGTGCTGAAACAAACAGCTAATTAATTACAGTTTTATCAGCACGGTCATGTGGTGATTGTCCATTATGGTTTTTCTTATAGACATCTGCTCCATTCTCAAGCAGCAGTTGTGCCAACTGGCGATGTTCTGCATTTGGAAGTGAATGAAGAGGAGTGTTTCCTTCAATGTCAGCTGCATTGACATCCACACCTAGCTCCAAAAGCTTTCGAATCATATCCTCATTTTCTTTTTTAACAGCATAGTGAAGTGCATTTTCACCAGTCTTTGCATTCTATAAAATGTAAGTTAAAATTAAAATAGCTCCATAAACAATTTTAGTTGAGGACAAGGAGTAATTTTTGGAAAATTATAACTGTTATACAACCCCTAGGCGTAGCCTGGATTTGCAGTCAGAAACTAAAGATCAGAAGAGCCCAATTTTCTGTTGATGTATAATAAGTACATGCAAATTATGCCAAATATAGGGTAAAAACTTTTTTGCGTGACTTAATATTGAATGGTCCCTTTTTGCAATTTTCCAAAAAAAAGATGTAACGTTTTAAACCTTGCAATCAAACAAGGACTACAGTAAGAAACCTAGTAAAAACTGTTATTAGGAGTTCAACGCCCTTGACTTTAGAGCTTCACAAAAATGACAAGCAAAAGGTTTTTATACCTGGTTGTATACAGTATATAAAATCAAAATACATTTTATTTTTATTAGATCTCTATGCATTGACAAGAAAACCTAATTATCCATACCTACTACAAGTGATGTCAATATGAACTTTGAACTTGTTTGCTTTATTGTACAAACTGTAAACATGCCAAGGCATGCTTACTATTCATAAGCATGTGAGCCATTATTGCTGGGAATCACCATTAGTATGTGTAAAACAAGACAGGCATACAAATTTTAAACAAAATAGACAAACCAAAACCAAATGAATACTGACTACCTTTTGTAGAGAGAAGTCTCAAAGTTTTATTTGAAAAGCAGTTTGAAATGCTTTCATATTTCAAAATGCAGAATTAAAAGTAAAATGCACAAACCTGAAAATTAATGTCAGCTTCATTCTTAGCAAGAATGCTTATAGCTAAGATGTTCTGAGTTTCAACTGCTAAGTGCAATGGAGATTTTCCTGCATCATCTGGAAGATTGATAGTCTGTTTATCCGAATTTTGAGAGAGAAACTCCAGACAATCATTTTTTCCAAGTTTGGTTGCCAGGTGAATCGAGGTGTCTCCTTCATTGTTTCTTGATGCTAAATTTGCTCTGTATTGGGTAAGCAACTTTGAGATTGCCAGCTGCCCAGTGATGACTGCTAGATGTAATGGCGTCTATAAAAGGATAACAAATTAGCTAATTGCCAAATAATTTGCCAAACATATTCATGAAAAACAATAGGCTTTCATGTGCTTCTTGCTGTTCAGAACTCCAATACATCAGTGTGGCTAGCATAAAGAAAGTACAGGAATGCAGAAGCTGCCAGGAAGATATCAGGTAGGAGATCCAGGAGACATTCCCTTTCCTTTCATTAATTTTCCAAAGCATTTTCAAAGAAATTTGACAAAACTAGGAGGGCAGCCAACCTCATCATTTGTCTGCCTGAAATACACAGTGGTTAATCATATTTTCTGTTGCTAGGTAGCAAAGAAATTTGAATCATTGTAAGGAAATCACCTGGCCAAGACAGTTATTGGTATTGACTAAAGTTCTGACTATATCTTCTTTCAAATTCAGGATCTTTGTAACAAGGTCCATTCTTTGGTTTATCACAGCTATGTGCAGCAAGCTAAGAAAAAATGAAATAAAATAAGTAGAGAAAATTATATTACACACAAAACTCTAGTAACTCAAATCTATGAAAATATTTCACACACGTTTTATAAGAACTTGTTTATAAGAAACCTGCCACAAGGATGACAAAACATTAACTGATCAACCTCAGCCCCAAAGAAATGCTCTAGAATTATTTCTTTAGATTATGAGGTATTCTTTTAGACTTTTAGACCATTTGTCAATCAATAGATGCAGAAAATATAGATAAGAACACATTGCAACAGATTATTTATTCATTTTTTTTGGTATCTAAAATCATAGCTTTTTTCAGTTGCATAACCAGTGTTCTTGAGTATATTTCATTTCTATCAAAAAATATCCTTTTCAGAACTCAGTATAACAGAAACTTAAGAAACTGAAATGAGAAAAAAATGGTGTAAAAATGATAATAATACTCAAATCACATTTATTAAAAATGTAAATTATTTTGAAAACATATCAGCTAGCTAACAAAGAGCAAGTACATACTTGTCACCAGAATCATCTATTTTGAGAAGATCCGACTCCGATGATTCCCCTGCCATTTAAAGTTTATTTTTAATTATTATTTCACAAGCCAATAGTTGTTTCACTAACGAAACTGGAAAAATCTTAAAAGCAGTGGTTGCAACGAAAAATAATTCATGTTTGAATCGATGAATTGCGTGATGATCTTTATAAAAACCCAAGGGAAATAACAACGGCATATATAAATAATGCAAGAAAAAAATCCCTTAGCTTTAGAATTGTCGGAAACATAGGCCACCGGGACTCCCCTTGGCGTTCGTAAGAAATAAATGGCACGGCTACAAAAGCAAGCACGGTACTGCATTTCTCTTATTTGTTTAAATTCTTAGCACATTCACGCATAATCTATAAGCTCTTTTGACAGAAACATATGTCTATGCTAGGCCCTGAGTATATCTTAAGTTTACCTGAGACATGTTTTCCTTTCCCGTAGAAGATGAGCAGATCGAAAAGTTCCTCAAATTCGTAATTAATCATGACGGCAACTCAGTGGTCTTTAGCTGAAAAAAGTGTGTATCTATAGCATAGATTTTCACTTCCTTTTGTGCCATAGTTTGCTAATGTAATGCACCATCAGACATTTTGCATGTTATAAACAATATTTCACCCTCAACAGAAGTCAGAAATTCTTATCAACATCCGGCCATCTTGGAAAGTCCCGCTTTATCTCCTTCGCAGAACAATGGATGGGAAGCTGCGACAGTTTCTGTGACTCATAAGGGCATGTTTTAATAAATTTTGCTCTCGATAGTTTTTCTATCGATTCACTTTTCAGATAATATGTATTTTATGATAATTTGATAGATTTATTTTGCATCTTAATGAAAAAACAGAATTCAAGTACATGTATTTTTCTCATCCAACAACGGCTCACTTTTTCTACTAACATGGGCAGCCTAGCCTAACTACGAAAAGAGAAGCGGTTGTGTGAAATTCCTTATGATTTCAAAGAGGTGTAAGAGAAATGAATCGACGCTAAAGTCTTCTTTATGCTATGTTATATAATAACTTTCATTGGAAGAACACGCTCACGCAGAAAAGCCTCTCCTTCTCTTCTCTTAAAAGTGGGGGGTAGGCTAAAGCTTCTTTTCCCTTTTTCTTGAGCTTTAAAATTACTTACTTCGCAAAACAGTGGGGGCCATGGCCACCCCAGTCTCCCCGGTGGCGTGGGCCCTGCTAATATTTCGGCTGCCTATTTTTTTCCTTTCCTTAATCGGCTGCCCATTTTCAACACGTCCTAATATAAATCGAAGAAAATGTCCATAATTTTATGAAATAAATCGTAGCATGTACTTTCCCTAAAATGAGGTCACGTATGTATTCGGTCTCTATGGTTACCAACAGCTGCAAGTTTATCGCGAAATATTTGCTTTGTCCGGTAAATAATATCAGATAATTTTTCTTATTGGGGTAGAAGCAGCTTTGCTCAAGGATCCTAGGGATGGACTATTATTTCGGAAACTTTTCCTTTCTTTAATCTGCCTATTTTTAACACGTCCAAATATTAATCGAAGAAAATGTCCATAATTTTATGAAATAAATCTGTAGGTCGAGAATTGTTATTTGTTTACAGTCCTTCAAAGCACTTTTACTACAAAGAATGTAGCAAAACTAAAACTATAAACCTCGAATTGTTTATGATAATGTAAAAAGGTGCATTGGAAGCATTCAATTCTGCATTGGAGGTTTGAAAAACAGTGACAATAAATTTAGAAATTACGTGGATTGGTAAGCCACATCCTTGGAAACCACGTAGGAGCCGCGTGGCATGTACTTTCCCTAAAATGAGGTCATGTATGTATTCGGTTTCTATGGCTACCAACTGCTGCAAGTTTGAGCGCCCAACCTAGCGCAAACTGCGGATTTCTTTTAGCTCTACCTGCTGTTTAATCGCTGAGCTGAAAAATTGTGCTTTGTCTTTGTCCGTTAAAAAAGCAGTTTGGGTAGTCATGGGTAATGCCGGACGCTGGGCAATCACGGACAAACCTTCTTAGGAATTTTTTTTGAATCTGTCATGAACATTTATTGGCGAGATCCCCTTCTTGGGAATCTTTCAGGCAATACACCAATCACGTTGCGAGAATCAACCTCAGAAGGCCAAATTTTAGCATTTTAACCACTCCTCGTTTAAACAACACGGTGTACAAGTTGCTAGCATATTTTGGTTATTTTTTTCGACTAAACTACTCTTGAATCTTATATCTAACAATGAATGATACAAGTTCGGATAAAATCCCTGCTTTTCTTTCAGAGCTTATTATTGTCAAACTTTTGATTGTACATGTTTTCAACTAATAAAGACATTTATCGGGAAAATATAACCATTTCCCACCCTAGAATTAAACTCTTGCATTATCCCTGGCCTTATATTCTTATTTAGATCGCCAAAACTGTGTTGTGTTTCATCTGCCTGTCCGGCATTACCCATGGATGCCTGACATTATCCACATGGAGTGATTAGCGCTGATTTCAGAAATACATTAAACTATTTAAATGTAATGTGACAATAAATTCATCAGCAAATTTCCTAATAAATATGGTTTCCTAAGAATAAAGAATTTCTTCGAAAATAAATAGTGGCATTGACAGATTGGCAAAATAATTGAAGGTGTCCGACATTACCCACGACTACCCTCGTGTGTAACCTATGTTGTTCTGGCTTGAGATAAAAAATTTCCCTGTGTGCGTTGTTAAAACCCACAATAAAAGTTGTTAAGTTTGTTGTAAGAAGCAATCAGCACACAATGGCACCCTCACGATAACCCTTTTTTAAATGGACTCACTCCCATTCATTTTATAAGGAACCCCTACATATAGATGGCCAACACGTTTAAGAAATTATTTTCTGCTAAGAACAAAATCCCTAAGGAACTTGTCGACTTTGAATATTGTCATCCCTGAAAACTATAGAAATTAAGGAAGCTCTTCAACAAAACTGGCATTAATTGTGTCTTATGCCTTTGCAGGGTGTTTTATTGAGAAGTTTCCACTTACTCGCTACAATTCATCGCAAAATTCTGAATTTGAATGTCTTTCTTGCGTCTGTATTATTTTCAGGGCACTAAAAAATGTACAGTTAAAATTAAGGAACTATTAGTGAACTTTGGTTCTGCAATGTGTTCAAAAGCGGTCAAAAATAAGGGCCTTGGCAAACTACAATCTTTGCTAAACATTGCTGAGACATTTTGACGAAAAATGAAATACAACGATTAAGCTTTATGTGATGGACGCTAGTCGCGCACACAACCTCCCACCTCCCACCCCCAGGTCAATGTTGGGCGACATGCTTTCGTGATAATGGGGGGATGCACTGCACTCATAACAACATTGATTTGGGGGAGGGAGGGGATGATTTGACACAAACTTATTTTTTTACAAGTGTTTCGGCATATTTGCCAGCTATGTATGTAAGCCTTGAATTAGGTTCGTTATACAAATAAACATGAACATAAACATACCAAAGTAGCTACCTTACGCTTCTATACTTCGTTCTCCATTGCTTGTCGCAACAAAAAATAAAACATCGACCCACCCAGTTAATTAAGACCTCTCTTTTCACACATTTATAGAAATAGTGACAATCTACACCTTACATACAAACTCTCGTCAAATCAGTCACCGAAGAGAAGCAAAACAAATGGCGTTTCACCTCTGAAGAACCCCTCTCCTTTTTTTGCAACTATTTCCCTCGTTCGTAATTTGTGGCTGCAAATGTTCCACTTGGACAGCAAACCAGATGGGGTCGGATCCACAAGTCCGGTGTAAACGCAACGCGGAGCACTACTAGCTCGAGCACGGATTCATCCCACAATTTAATATAATTATAACAAAAAGTGGAACTATACGTTTTCGAAAGTAAGATACCATCTTGGGCCTCGCGTTTACAAACATTGGTTCTGGTCTTTCTCCATTCAGTTCTAGTTTCGCTAAAAAGGTTAACTTTTGGTTTCATTCAGTGTAAAAGGATGAGGGGAAAGACGGGCGAAGAATGTTCAGGATAAATCTCATCTAGATTCATGAAATAAATCAAGACTTCAGTCCAGATTTATTTGACTAACACATTGACCATGTAATCCCGTTATCAAAAATCCAACTCCAGATATCCGAAAGATAGTTGATAAGAGTTGTAAAACAATGGAATTCATTTAAGTCCGTATGTTTAGTTATTCTACTAACCACTATTTACAAGTGAAATATAAATGAATACCATTAGGTAACTTTTTATTCTTAAATTACACTATATCTATCAGTTGAATGTTGCAATAAATATTATGCATTATTTATGCATTATGTCATTGTATTTCATATTTGTTTCTCTGTCAACTGAAACAAAGTCCCCAGTCTATTGTAATACCATGCCTTGGCATATGCTTACATCCGCCAATCAGTTCACTTCATGTGTTTACATGAGAGGCATCATCAACCAAAGCATTGATCCAGTGTCATTTACTTTGACTGCACAAGCCTAGGCATGTTTTTCTTTGCTAATATTCTCACAATGCAGCCATGGCAATAAGAGCGGGCTTCAACATCACTATCAAATGTATGAAATTAGAACTACCATTACCTAATGCATTTTGCATGCATCTCACAGATTTGAAAGCAGTAAAACAATAGAAGGGTCATGGTTGTTTGGAGTCTTGATACCTATAAATAATATCCAAACTGTGGTCTACTAAACGTATAGGATAGCCAACACAATTTTGAAGACACCTTTAAAAAAAGGAATTTCATTTTGACAGCCAAGAAAGGTCACCAGAGGTTATAGGAATTACCTCTGTAGAAAAATAGATCCCATCAATATAAAAAATTATTGGGGCAATCAAATTTGAAACTATGAAATACAGAAAACAGGGCTGGAAATCTTCTGTTTCAGAAAATAAGTTGCATTGGAATAAAATTGACAAAATATTACTTTCTGGCTTATCTTTTGGTCTTATGTTGTGTAGTACTAGCTTCAGTAAAAGGTTAAACTTTGCTTCCTGCAACCACAAATCATGAAACTCTGCTTATGAGGCATGGTCTGTGATTCATACATTTAATATGAGTTGCAGATAGCTCTTATTTTACCCATGAAAATATGCATTGTGAGAAATTATCCTCATCCACCTCCAGACTGATCTGAAAAAAGAAAAACAAATTTACCAGCCAGACTTATATGGGACATCATGGCTTTGTAGCAGAGAACATAGCTTAAACTGAACTAATTTGACTTTAACAGAGCAACAAGTATGAATGAGTGATGCTGGATCTTACCTCTACGTGAAGTGGGTCTGTAGCCATAGCTTCCACCTTGTCCCATTAGAGGGTTGTAGTCTATAGAAAACAATGAGTGCAACTTTGCATAAGAAAATTGTATTGATCAGAAGGAGACAAATATGAACACCTTTGCACTATACACATATCAAGCTTCATTTTTTGCATGCCTTGCACATTGGAAAAGTAAGAGCAATACAATGAGTAAATAGAAACAAGAAATAACTAGGTAGTGCAATGCATTCACATATAAACTGTGAAGAAACAGTAGAGAAAATATTTGCACAGATAATGAGATAACTATTCAGAATGGGATCAGCAAGACAAACCCACTGTGAGACAATGAGATATACTTTTGGTACAGAATATGATGGACCTTCATGGGCTAAACCAGGGTTGTCCAACCGTATTTCAAGAAGGGCTACTTTCTGAATAATGCAGTAACTGGGAAGCCGCTTATATGTTTATCAAACAAAATCAAACACATAACAATGTCATTTTGCTGAGCTAAGGAAAAATTGGTTGTCCCGATAATTTGCAAATGCGTTTACCAAGTTCACTATCTCTCCCTCTTCCCCGCTTTTGAGAAACATGGCTTGTACCAATCTTGAACTTTTTAAACAAGCGCAGCGTGTTCATAGTTTGGGCACAACAAAGAGGGTTTGGTTCCCTGCGTTGAACTGGAAGTCGCCAAGAGTATGTGTGCGTAAATAATATGAAATAATAATACCGTAAATAATATGAATCAATTTCTCTCTTACAACCTTAATAAATACAAAGCAGTTCTTTATCAACTTCGACCCAAGCGCAAGCCACATTAGACAACATCATGGGCCACAATGTGGCCTGCGGGCCATGCGTTGAACAAGCCTGGGCTAAACTGTTGCATGTGGAAAATGTGGCTAACTGTGCAGTCAGAATTATCTATTCAAGAACAGACATGTTCTTCAGACTGGTTGAGATCATATGGAGTTAAACATAGTGCCAATATTTTGGCACAACATTTTTTCTCTGTATCCCTTCTCTGTTTTGTCATACAATACTACCGAGAATGGGACCTCTCCTGCTACAAGTTGTTCTTTTGCAGTTCTTTTGCAGGACCTGCCCTTTGCAGTACCAAGGCCTTGTTTTCTAAAACCTGTTAATTGTAATCAACCAAATGATACCTCATACAGTGCAGAAATTTTGGACACCTTTTGGTAAAAACGTCCTTCTGAAGATAAATTGCAAGATAATATGATATTGAAATCAAGAATTTTGTTTCCAACTTATGAAATAACTTGAATTTTGAATTCTGTAGAATGATCACATTTTTTTAAATAATTTTAAGGTCTGTCTCATTTCCAACTATAAAATAATCTTAAGTGAAAACCAAACTTTATGGGGAAACCAGGTATCTTATTAAGCCCTGGCAAAATGACTAAACATTACACTAAACATTTCACTCAACATATGTTTTGTGAAAATGAGAGAAGTTTAGCAAGGCTGGCAAAACTTTGAGCATTATTTTGAACTGCGACCTGTGTAGGATGCTGTGGGGTTGTAGGAGATCTTGCTTTCTGTTTGTTCTGTTGTATGTTAGCATAAAAGACTGCAAGTGCAAGAAGTGGGTAAAAAAAATACGAAGGCACTAGAGATTTTTGGTCACATAGAGAGAAGAAAACTGGGAAAACAAGGAAAACAACAACACTAAACAACACTAAACAGCGCTGTGTTGTTTTTCACAAGAATCAAACTTTGCTCAACAACACTCAACAGGACTAAACAACACTTAACAGGATGGTGAAACAAATAAACTTTTCACTAAACTTTTCATTAAACAAAAGTTGAGTGAAATGTTTAGTGAAATGTTTAGTCATTTAGCCAGGGCTTTAGTCTGTCTTAGCTCAAAATCCATCTTTCAAGCTGTTACAATAAAGACATGATAATTCAATTAATAGATGACAAAAAAACAATACAGACCATCAGGTCTCAATGGCTTCTTTGGTTTTGGTTTTGGTTTACTTGAATCTGGTGCTGGAGTTTCTTCCTACAAGTAATGGAAATAACAAGTGGAGAGGTGGGGTGTATTTTTGACAAATAAAAAACTACATTACATTTGCAACATAAATTTGGAATAATTTGTAAAAGAGTCAGTTATGCTGCATACTAATACAATTGCAAGACAACTGCAAGGTTAAAGTCACATTCTTTGTCTTAGTAATGTTATCAGCTGCAGATTTCAAACTATGGTCCTATCATACAACATACTTGTTGTTTCTTATATGACAATAACAATCTTACATGTGGTTTCTTTATCTTTGATCTATACCCTTTGCCAAGTTGATGCCTTTCCCAATCTTCAATTTTTTCTCTTCTCTTCTCTGCTTCTAACTAGGATGATAACATTATTATTGTGAAAATGACAATCATAGAACGACTCCAAGGAGCACATACATTAAAGGCTCTGAAATTAAAATTTTTTTTGTGGTTTGAAACTTTTACTATCCAAAATTCTTTCACTATAGAAAAATAAGAGCTAAAAAGTTTTTCACTATTTGAAAAAAGGAATGTCATCCTCCCAAAAATTTAGCATATAATAGGAACACACTGTAATTCTTTGAATTGATTATGTAAGGCAGGCAAGATAACTTTCACCTTTCATCTGCTATGGTGAACTTTGCCGCAATCATGGGATGATTTTGAAAGCTTTTGAAACTGAGTGTATTACAAAATTTAACTTTTGGACACATGGTTTAATAGAGGCTGCCGTTTATCAGAGAGAGGCGCTTAATGCAAAATTAAAAGTGCGTGTCAAATTAAAAATGACAAGAAAAGTGTGATAAAAGAGCAAGAGAAGTGTTCACATTATGGAATTGTCAAGGAGTATCAATATCACTTTCTCAATCAGAGTTTATCATCCCTATGACATAAAAACTTTCATAACTTTCGAACAGTAAGCTTTTTTCTAATGAATGCCACCTTTCAAAAGTCAGCACTTTAAAAAAGGCCGTGTTTATCAGAGGACGGCATTTATTTCAAATGGTAGGCTGAAAGTGCAGCGTTCAATAGTGGGAGATGTTTTTTCAGGGGGCAGTGTTCATTAGAGGAAATATAGTATGTTGAATGTCTGGATTCCGATTCAGTCTTGAGTAAATGGAGAGTAAAACATCAAAGATATTACATTTTGTTTATAAACCAACTGGTGTAAGTACCTGCTATTCTTAAAATAATATCATATTTCATCCAATCTGCATCAGAGTTTGGCTGTATCTAAAGATATAGTTGAATTGTATGTCTGGTAACAGAAGTAGTTTCACTATATTTGGGTGGGTGCCTATAAATGGCTAACTGTTAGGAGTTGATAGCTTTCAAGACTTCATACAAAAACAATTATTGTAAATTGCCTTTGCAAAGTAAACACACCTGTTGCTTTCGCTCTTTGGCTTTTTCTACATCTAAATCAATTTTTTCTTGCAATCTCTTCCTTGCTTTCTCCATTGACTCATGCTGCTGATATATATGATTTGGATCTGAAAAAAATCATAAACATTTTATATAAATTAATTTTAAAAATGAAATTCTGCACAAAACATGCTAAATTCAATGTTTAGATCTACAGAGAGACAATTTATGATTTGATTTAAGGCTAAAACCTGCAGCATGAACCTGTAAGTTATATCATTTTTACACATAGCATGATTTTGTTTATATGTAGCACATAGCTTGTGGTCCCAGTTGCAGGGTAATGGCTCCAAAATGAAGATTTAGCTTATTATTATTGCATTATACATCTCAATTCTTATTTAAGAAATCAACTTTTATCAATGGTACAGTTGACTTCACTGATAGTCAGTTTGCTTAAACTCACACTTTAAGTTACAGTCACATTAAATTTAGACCCAAGTATGCAAAAACATTCAAGCTAGCTCTGTTTACAGTCTTAATCCACTTACTGACACAGCTTTTCAACAAAGATTTGGTGTGACAATCATTGGATTCTACTGCGAATTTAAGACTGTACTTCCAATAGCTATTAGTAGTTTTAGTTATATGTATGTAAACCATGTATGTACAACTTATTTACATGTATACAGACAGGCAGCACATTGCTTAGATTAAGGATACCTGTACAATATGATTAGCAAACTTTAAAATAATACAAAGGGACCGTGAATGCAAGCAAAAGGGTAAGTCTAGGATGTCATCGTATCCCAGCAGCCCTTATCAGTTTGCCCCTGTATTTACCTGGTCACTGCTGAGACTCAAAAATAAATTCAATGATTAGATCTAATACGAGTTGTATTATTACAAATTACCTTTTGCATTCACCTAAATTCTGTATTACTATAAGTTAATCATTTGTTAATTATGTTTAAAAACTCTTTCTTTGTAATCAAAAGTTGATGCCAAGAAGAAGGTCTCAAGCTTGAGTTTCAATGAAATATAATTAAAAATCACCATCAGATTTCTTATTAGAATAGTCCTCCATCTGGCTTTTCCATTTCTGGAAAAATGGCTTTAGCTTCTTCAGTACAAAGAATAACAAAACTATTCCCAAAATAATAAACCATCCATACTTTTCCAGAATGTTTGTGGCTGAAATGAAAAAGTGATAGGAAGTGAATGTAATAGTGAGTGAATTGGACATATGCATATCTGCCTATAGCAAGAAGCTTGATTAGCAAAGTTATGATGAAAACAGAATATCTAGGAAGTACTTGTTGTAAACATTACAACACGTTAGTCCAATAAATAACCATCTTTCCAAAATAAAAACTGGCAAGGAACATAGGCTTAAAGTGCCTGTGACATGATTTTTTTTATTCTCTTAATTGAAACGTTGCACTGCTCTTATAGTAGATCTGAACTTTTTTTTTGAAATAAAAGCGTTTTGATATTGAAATTAAGCGAAATAGTGCGGCCTAGCCAAGTCGCTTCATCATCATTCGGAGTTCTCTTGTGACGTCATGGGAGGAACTCGTTATTGTAACAATGTAAGCGCTACCTTCGAAAATCTCATCCTCGCTGCCACTACTTTCTCTGGAGATATCGCTCATCTTGGACCTGTTAGATTTCCCACATTGACTACGATACAAAAACTCGAAGGAGAAGGCGATCGGGTCCCTCCCGTGACGTCACTGTCTACTCATTCTGAAAACCAAGATGGCCAATTTTGGCGTAGAAGATCGCCAATAACTCCTCAGAAATGAAAATAAGAGGCTTTTTTACATAAAAATATATATATAAACCCAAAAGTACAAAAATCATGTCACAGGCACTTTAATATACCAAAAGGAAGAGATACTCAATATGACTCTGCTCAGATTCACCAAGAAGGATTATTTCATTTTTATACTTTCACTCTGCAAATTACTTTAAAAAACAACAATAAAAAACAATTTCTTGTCAAGTAGAATAGTTTAGAAATAGATACAAGAAGAGAAAAAAGCCTGTCTGTGTCATACAATATTAATTGAATGAAAACTGTGACAGCAAAAAACTTTGGGCACAACAACTATTTAACTCATTAACAACAGTGATGAATCTACAAAGGATTAAAACTGGTACATGACATAGGTAAAAAGTAAAACTCATTTTCCTTGCATTTTATGTTTTCTAATTTACTTGATAGTTTCAGATATAAAACAGTCCAAGGTTGGAACTATATATGTAGATCTTCTGTACACCGGTATGCCAGATCAAATTTATTTTTTTCAAATTTTCTATGTCTTGACATAATCATATATACTGGAAAATTTCCAGCATAGATTCAAGCAGTGCAAACTTTATACCATAAAAAGCCAGGTAATATTTTTTGCCAAATGTGGTTTTGGTTTCATTCAATATATACAACTTATAACAAACTAATCTTAGTTAAACAAGACTGGTGAGGCAAAATAAACTGTGCAAGGATTGTATTTAAGATTTATTGATTAAGGATATCAAGCTTTCTAAGTAGGTTTAAATAGATGGCATAAGTTTCTTGTGAAAGCGTTTAATAATAATGACAGAAGTGGCATTTGGATTTGTCAGTGTTTAAATTTGTATCTGTTGATGTTAGAAAAATGCCTTTCTTCCCAATATGAAAGTTTGTCTGTCATACTTATCACAACAAATCTATTTTTGACTATGTTTCCCTTAGCGTTTGCATATTATTCATTTTAATCCATAAACCAATTTATTTTCTTTCCGTTGATTCAATAAAAACTTCAATGAATGAAAGCTACAGAGACAATGTGCTTTTTTGATCTATAGCTTTAACAGAAGGACACCTAGCAAGCCTTTATTTATTAAACTTTAAATAACTAACATTATAGGTTTATAACTCATTATTTGAATTTTGTACTAGGTTTTTACTAATTTTTACTTCTTTATTGGTTAAATTTAGATTATTTGTCCTTTTAATTTGTGAACCAAACTGAAAAAAGTTTTCAAACTTAGTTTGTTATTCACATTAAAGAATATTATAGGTACATACATTATACATAGATCAAATTCCGTCTTCTTACAGCAAATAATAGAAAATAGACATTTATATAAAAATAGAATACACAATATCCTTATGACCACATTCTATGTTTTGACTCTACTTGTAACAAGCCTTTCATAAAAGTAATGTTTACGTCATTTCACCCTTCCCCTCTGATACCAACCTAACAACCCCATTCGAACCAGCGTGTCTGGCGTGGAGTTTTGCAAGTTATTTGCATGGGCAGGCTTTTCAGCATCACCAAATGCATCGTTGTCATCCATTACTTTTTGACGTGTCGTTCCTTCGATTTTGAGTCCAATTTTTGCTGACTTCTTGTTGCCCCGTTCTGAGGATTGTACGGGTTGGGATAGAGGCTCAAAATGAGAAGGGTCACGGACTCACGGAGCAGCAAGGAAAGGTGGGGTCACCGAGATCAGCAGGGGAGGCGTGCCTAAATCTTGGCATTATAACTGGGTTATCGAAGCTATAGCCTCTCCGTTCTTCAAAATAAAGTTTAAAACTATTTTGGAAGAAGAATTATTGCAAACCTTAGCGAACACTTTGTCAATGACAATAAGTATTCTCAGTTAAAATATCTTGCTAGATTTGGTATGAAAATTATCTTAATATATATCTCTAACTTTCAGGGGTGGCAGACCAAAAGACACAAACTCAATAAACTTTGAGTTTTTGCCCCCAACTCAACCCCCACCCCAAATCCCGCAATTTCCGCCACTGGGTGGAGCAAATATTGACGTGGAGGGGAGAATTGAAGCTAGAAATGTAGGAAAATAATACGAATTAAATAGAAAACTCGTCAACACGATTTTTGTAGCTATATCAGAAGAAGAAACTGGGTTGGCTAAAGCCTCCGCCCCTGAACTTTGAGACATGATCGGTACCATGAACTTCCTACTAAAAGTTGTATACTGAAAGTGATAGGTTTTGAAAAAATCAAACACCTTTAACAGAATATGTTTCTATAGCAAATACTTTGGTCTTAGATTTATTGAGGAAGAAATTAATTTTCTCTTCTTCTGCCAATAATAGAATGATCGATTTACACGACTTCCTAATAGATCTTCACAAGATCAAGTCCCAAAGGTTAATTAGACGGCGTCACGGCAAGTAAAAGTGAGAAAAAGAACTGCTGTCGGCAATTCTCTCAAAATCTACCTTTAAAAGTTTTGAAATAAGAGCTTGGTGCTCTTTGTTACCGTAAATCCTCGAACTAGCCCCCTGGGGGCTTATTTATTTTTGATATTTTTGATTGGGGGCTTATTCGAGGGGGGCTTATACGAGGTGGGGGGCTTGTAAAATTATTGTAGACATTAAAAAGACATTATTAAAAGACCTCGTTTATTTTAGTAGAAATTTCTTTATGAGCATTTGATTAATTACTACCAAAAGTATGAGTTTGTTGTGGTTATTCAATAAAACGCCATAGGCAACCTCAGATGGCAAAAACCATCAAATGGATGGGGTCCAATTCGAAAATTTACGGTAGCAGTGGGGGCTTATTCGAGGGGGGGGCTTATTGACAATTTGTATTTGTAGTTAGGGTGGGGGCTTATTCGAGGGGGGGGGGTAATTCGAGGATTTACGGTATTTAAGGTGTATGGTGACTCTTTTGTAGTGTCACTACTGCTGCTCTTAGATACTGGTGCTGTTTTGATATTTTCCCTTTTCCTGTTAAAAGGTAACGGGCTATCAGACTCTAGGCAAAGGGTGAGCAATTGGTTTTTCTAAGGGACGACATGAAAAACCTGAACGGCGTTTTAGGGTCGAACGATAACTTAATTTTGCACAATTATAATTCTCATTTGATGTAAAAAGTAACAAATTATACCACATTTTAGCTGGTACAGGTTATATGAAGGATATATGTATTACTTAAAAATTGCTGTACAAGTCAAGTAGAAAAATACTCCTACAAAAGTTTATATTCCTTATATTCTGATTGACCACACACTCGCGCGAGCCGGACAGGAACATCTAAAGGGCCGGTTGCCCGCGTACGATTGCCCGCGGCCACACCCGGCCCTGCTCTAAGCTATAAGCTATATTTACTGGTGAATTTCGTGTAGTATTGAAAAATGCATAATATAATTTGTTGAGCAACAGCCAGCTCGAAATAATTATTCAGCTCTAATGATTAGTTTTTCAATTTGTAAATATAAACAGCTGATCATAGCCGATAATGATTACATTGGTTTGGTTTTCTCTTCGTACATCCAAACCTGCTAATTTGTTATGCTTTCTTGTAAATTTTTGAAGTCCAAGTCTGTTTACCAAAAGTATCTATGGTTTGAGGTTATCAAAAGATTGCATTATTAAGAAGCTTTGCTGATTTCACCTGCCCAAAGAAACAGCCACGATCTGTTGGTAAATCCTTTAGGGTAGGCGAATCGAAAAGTCTTCCTGTGATGTCTTTCAGGGTGAATGCCCCTTTGTGAACTTGCTTAGATAAGTAAATTGCATCAGTTCTTAATAAGCCGACTGATCTTTGCATTTTATACATAACTTTTGATATCTGTATGTAGGCATCGCTTTGGGTTGAAAAAAGAGATTTATAAAAACTTCAGTTGAAGGACTAATAATTTGGTTATAAAAGTGTCTATAGTCTGTACCAATTTTGTGAAATTTGAGGAAGTCAATATGGCAAAGAAACAAATATAAACATTTTCAAAATTAAGATTTTGCGAATAGATTTGCGAAAGTAATGGGTAGATTTGCCTCTGTTATTTTTTTTGAATTAGTGGGAGGTATTCATAGTATTCACTTCAATATCATTGTGTAAAAACGGAGGCAACAACAGCCTTCCTTGGAAACAACTGTAAGTCAAAGGTCAGTAGTGTACTTGCAAATGGCGGTTTGAAAGATGATAACACAGAGGGTCCATGGCTTGCCGATCAAATGCAGTTGATATGATATGGCACATGAAATAAACTTCGTTGCCTCATCGCCAATTTTAGCAAAGGTAAGTCCTATTGTCCCGGTATCAGCTCCAACCAACAAGGTCTAGGCCTAACAACACAAGGACAATTTTACACAGCCTGCTCTGCAGAGTTTGTGGTGTACACATACAAGGTTGCCCAATATTTCTGCACACATACACACATCTTTACTTGCTCTGTCGCACATAAGATTCTTTTTCATAATTCCCGTACTTTGCAGACTTGGTCGGCATCTTAAATTGAGCAGTAGCTGTATATTTTTCAATGCAAAATCATATGTAACGAATTGCTGTGAAATGAAATATTTGAATATAAATTTGTGAGCAATGTTATATGTATCAATGCCTTTTAGTTTCAGTATACAAGGCAAGTCAGTTCAGATGTATTCTCTTAATTGTAAATTGCATTACAGAAAAATTTAGAAACGGTGATGTTTTAGTCGATTTTAAACAAAATCCTTTCAAAATTCGCTTGTACTTTCGAAGTAATAATGAATTTATATCAAGCAAAACATTGCAGAGCTGAGAATGTGAATAAAGTATCCAAATGTGAATCTCATTCAGCAAGCTTATGCTATCTAAACAAGGGATTGAGAACCTGTGAGCATTTTTAAAAGAAGATTCACTTCTCAGTTCACAGTCAGTGCTGTACTCCATCATAATAGATGCGGTAAATAAATTTAATTTTGTTTGTTCCAGTTGAAAGAGGATGTAAGGTTTATTGAAATATGCAAATTGGCTAATTTCTAATGCATGATCCACTAGTTTTTACCCCGTAATCCAGAAATCAGTAATTTTCATGTTCAGTTATCATGTTATACACTTTGGCACCAAGTACACATGGTTTTTTCACTAAGTGACACTAAGAATCCCCTCTCAACACAATCATTAGAATCCACCTCAGAAAGAATCTCCAGATTTGAGAATCTGTAGTAAAAAAATCAAAAGTCCACGATTCATGTACAAAAATTCCCAAATCTGCTGATATACAAACCAATCTGCTGATCTGCTGGTTTCAGGAGCATGGTGCCTCCTTTTTTTCTGGTATGCTATGCTAGCTGCTTAGATGCTGTTATAAAAATAAACTGAACAAGTTATCGGCCCAAATGCTCTTTGAACAAATCTTCAAAAAACATGGGGTGGTTACCAGGGTCTTTTATTTGAGTATGCTAGCCCTCTTTCTTTATATTATTATTTGTTTGCAAACAGCAGTATCTGCTATGCCAGTCGACAGATGTATCACAAAATGCTATCCCCCTCTCCTAGCCTGGTGGGAGCAGTCAGCCCCTTTGTCTGATAAATTCTGATGGTAACCAAATTCAATATTTCAGCTACAATGGGCTAATACAGTTTGTGCTGTTTGGGTGCAATTACCTCATTTGCTAGAGACAAATTTTCATGTTGCGACTTGACTTTTTAGTCAGCATTTGCTTGCTAACCTAAACTGCCCGTTGTTGAATTATACTAATCATAAATCAATCTGACTTTAGCTATGTCTTTCTATGACAACTTAACATTTCATTAGCTTAAGATTTTCTATGAACCCAATCTGATACACAAGTGGCAGTTTTAGGGACTGCTAGGCCTTGGGCCAAAAAGATCAGAGGGAGTCCCTTTTTATTTACAATTTTTTAGGTGCACGGCTCCTTTTGGCTGCCATAGGCCTTGGGCCTTGACCCCCAGGATCCCCTAAAACTGCCATTGTGATACTGTAATATCATTTTTGAAAAATGCCTCATTGCTTGAATAAAGATTTTTCTCGTTTGCAAATTTGCAATTCAAGTCAATTCAATTCAGTTTTCTTCATACACTACAGAAGGTGAGTACTATATTAAAACTGTAATTTACAAGTCCGAATGAAAGACAAACTTCAGCTAATGCAGGATAGGAGATATTTTTTAATTAGTTATTTGAGTTTGTGGCCCTCCTCTCACTTTTAAACTTGCATCAGAGGCTTTATGTCTCAAAATAAGGGTGATAAAAACTAAAATCAACATGCAGGTTGCTTCCATTTGACATGATACTTTTGGGCAAAGGGCAAAACTGAAAGCTGTAAGAAGCATCTTGTTCTACCACCAATGCAGGAAAAACATGGTATACACATAATTAAGTAAGTTATTAAAAAGGTAATGATAGTTTCATTTACAGTCAAATGTCACTTTATAGGTTCTTAAAGAAACCCAGCACATTAGTTCAGAGACAGGACTGAGGCCTGGGAGCTCTTCTCCTTCCAGAGATACTTCACCGATTCACCGACAGGTTTGAATTGAGTATTAACTTACATGTGAAAGGAGAGACAGCTTCACTGCAAATCGTATTTTTGGACTTTCAATTGATGTCTGACTATTTTGCCAACTCCTTTTTTAAACAACAAGACTAAAGAAATACAATACACCTTTGAAGTTTGTCAGTATTAAAAATTACATTTATAACAGTTCCTTTTAGTTAACTGATATAATTTGAAACAGAAAGATCAATTTATCTCCAATCCTAAAGTTAATTAGTATCAACTTTTAGACAGCAAAAGTCAAATTGGGTGTAACTATTGCAAAAAACAAATGGTATCACTTATACAAGTGCAAGTCTGTAACTGTATCATTATTTTATACTGTTGCTTTGAAATACTAAAATTGCAACATTTCATATGCCAAATCATCAGTTCATTGGTTTATATATTCTGTTTTTCATAGGAGAAAGATGCTTTGCCAGAAAACGCAAATAATACTGCTGCTTTTGATTTGGAGGGGTTTCTTGAAAAAGTGCAAATAAGTCCCAAAAGGACAGATGATTCAGTAGAACCAAAGAGCAACACTAAAGAAACCGAACAGAAAGAGGAAGGAAAGCAAGTGTTAAAGAATGGTCAAGGAGAGCTTCATATTGGTGGGCATTCTCAAATATAAATCTTGTATCTATTGACTGGCATAATAATGGAATTAATATGGGAATGAAACTAGTCCTTCATTCCATACAACCAGAACCCCCCCCCCCCCCCCTCCCCTCCAAATTATCTGCATATTCATCTGATCATAGCTTTTAGGCACCTTTTAGAAGCATTCAAACAACCTAAGATTTTTATTGAAGATGAATTGCTGTCAAGTTTTTTGTAGGATGTAATCTTGATTGACTGTGTTCTTGATTGTCTAAAAGTCCTTGAAAGTTTCGCTGTTATAGTAAGATGGGAAAAACATTATTTCACCAGGAAACAGGAACTAAGACATTGGTAAATCATTCTTGAGGCTATATTTCCAAACCATTTAGTGGGAGTTTGACTGTTGGTGCATCATCACAAGTTGTCCAACCTCCCTTTCTTTTTTCCAGCAAGATGCCAACAGAAAATTATATTGGTTCTTTCCAAGAAATCACTTCAATTCTATTGATTTTAAACAAGAAATGGACAAAAAATTCTCCTTTTCCACTTAAACTTGATACCCCCCTCTGTTTTATCTAAAGTATCAAACCTTTGAAAATAAAGTGGATTTTTCTGATTCACAAGTCCTGTCCTGAAAGAAAAAATGTCCTTCTTGTGACAAGCAACCAAGCAGAGACACCCGCTGAATCCTAATATAGTCCTCTTATAGCCAAAGGTTGGCAGGGCAGTAAAAGCAATACAAATTACCCTAGTAGTTAAATTAAGAAGTCTTCAGAGGGCGCAAGAGTGCCCCAGCATGGCGCACAAAACGGAAGGACAGGCCACGGAAAACGCAATGAAGCAAATCAGTAGTGATTGTCATGATTGAACGTAAGATAGCAGTCGAAGCTGTCTTACAATAACAAAAAATATTAGGCCCTTTTAAAATTGACTGTGATTGAATTAAGTTTAATCAATATGCAATTCAAGCATTTTATGCCTATTAATAAAACAGCATGGTTCTTATAATTTTCCTTCAGTTAAATTGATTTTTCTAGAGTCTCTGCCAAGGCGAGTTATTTATATTTTGACCAATATCGTACTTCTACTCAAGCTGCTGTATGCTGTATTCTTGTATTTACCCTTTTTAAATTAAGCATAAATATTTCTCTCTTAGTTGCAAAAGACACCAGAAATCCGAAACTTCATGATTCAAGCACAGCCGTGAAGGTAAACTTAATTCACTGCAATCTTGTTTTAAAAATATAGTAAAAATCATTTTTTTGCAATTCTTTCTCATTTAATCGCTATATTGAAATATTTCATGTCAAGCAGTTGGCTTTTTCCCAAGAGAAGTTTTCTTGGAATGAAAAATGCGTTTCTGGTAACGCGATCGTATTAAACACAGCTTTTTTACTTCATGAAAACGGTCTTTCATAAGAGTTTTTTTTCTAGGTTTATAGAGTTTTTATACTTTTGTAACCTGCTTGAAGAATAATGAAGCACCAGTTTTTTAAATCACAACATACTGGATGTTTCAATGGAATTTTTGAAGAAAGTGAATGTTGCCTAGCAACATGTTTTGTCTTTGGTAGAAACGACGTGCTTTGCCCTAGGCCACTTTCAACGGCTCTTTATTCACTTTGATATCATTAACTATTGGCACTTGTTTAGACACATGCTAATGCATTTAACGAGGTTAGAAGCAAACTTATTTTCAGGTCAGTCATCTAAATGAAGCAGCCTACCTTTATATTATCATAATCTTGATATATTGGACCATTTTTATTTGCCATTGAGATAATTATTCTAAATAATTTATGTGTTTTGTAATAGTTGTGGTCTTATTCTTTAATGTTTTAGGCAAAAGTAGACTCTGACAATTCACCAAAAGACGGTATGGCTTGGACTGCAGATTCACATGGGTTCTATCAATCTGGAAGAGCAGGGGACTTCTTATTGCGATTCAGCGAGTTTGATAAAGCAGAAGAAATATTCGAAGAACCCTCTGATGAAGCGGTAATTTCATTCGATAAACTTCCCGGTAGAACAAATGGGAGCATATTTAGCCAGGAGAGAAAACATCCAGACATCTTTGTAGACGCTGATTGCGTTGAATTCAAGAAACCTGTTAATGGTGATACATGTCATATGATACAGAATGTTCCGCTGGTATTCATACAAGCACCAACCCCTTCGGATGTGTCGCGATGCTCTTCTAGTATTGAATCCTCCAGAGCAGCAACACCAGAGTCATTTTCTTGCGATGATATTGCAAAGGCTTCTGGGAACGAAAGCAATGGAACAACAGACAAAGCACCAGTGAATACAACAGACGGGGGTAACGCAGATAATATTGTCTCGACTCACGATTCGTTTGAAGACGTACACAGAGAACATGAAAACGATGGTGATTCTGTTGAAGACGATGTTCTAGAACAGTATTACATATTGCATAACAGATATAGCGAAGTAGAGCCCAACTCAGACGAACTAACAAAGGAAAAAATCGTTATGTTATCGGAAATGAAAGATGAAGAATCGCATGAAGAGGAAGATGCTAGTATCATTTTTTCTTCATCTTATAAAGAAACAGAAGAGCATGATGAATCTTTTAATTCTCTAGAACAAACGAACAATAGTTTACTTACAAGTTGGTCTGAGCAGCAACTATCGCATGATATTGCCAAAGAAGAACGCTCAGATACCCTAAGCTTTGTGCATCACGCGGCACAAAGTCCGATTATTACCTGGGAGAAAACGGTTCATACTGAGAACCTGGACTTTGCACCAGAAAATCTATCTGATGTGGATGACGATATGCTAAATACAACGCTTGGCTCTGCCACGGATTTACGTGAAATCCTAGAGAGAGCAGATACTACAAACGACAGCGCTAAAGATTATTGTTTAGTGGATCCAGATAACAGTGATGAGGATGTTTCGAATCGTAAGAACGGTTCTAAAACAAAGAGTACATCTAGTTCCACTCATGTTTATTTAGAAGAGGGTAGACATCAGCCAGATTTCTATAATGACGATGAAGCATCTGGTGCTGATATTGATGAGTTCGATGAAAATTCGCAGGACCCAAGCATAATAGATGACATGGAAGAATCTGATTTAGTAGGTGCCTTTGGCAGTCATATTAATGTATATGTGAGTGACAAAGAATTAGCTATCATTGATAGATCGGACGGCATTGATTCTGATGTACTAAACGAGGAAGTTGACCCGAACAAACAGGGTGGAGTTCGTGATGAAAAGGAATCTGTCCCTGAAATCGATTATGCAAGTCAGGATGAGCCATATATGGGAAACTCTGATCCCAATCAAAAAGCTACAAAGATCGATTGTGATTTTGATGTTTTGACGAAACCACAAGACGCTGATGAAGTGACTGATGAAGTTATAAGCAGAACTGATCAATCAAACTTTAGAGTTACTAAGGAATCTTTGCGTGAAAATATAGAGGTTGGAGATTTTAGACCGTTGTTTAATGATTTATCTCGTCATCTTGATGTTAGCAAAAGTGGGCCTAAAGAAACTGTTACGCATAAGGTTAGGTCTTGGGAGATACCTATTGCTGAGCTCTTAAATGCTTATTGCGAAAACGAAGAACTTTTCAAGCTAAACCGGTCGATTGGTTTAGAAAGAGCACGACTAGATGCAATTAAGGAGCTTCGTTTAGAAATGGAGGATAGTTGCAATCAATTACCGATTGATAAGATTCCGTCATTTGTTTATGATGAATGGCGAAAAGTGATTGAAGGCATAACCGAAGAGCAAATGGCGAATTACCAAGAGCTTGAGGCAGAGTATGAGAACAGTCTGCGACAAATGAGATCCGAATTAGACACACTTACTAAAGAAAACTTCGATTTATCCAAAATTGCAACCGAAGTCAATGGTTTTAAGCTTGAAAATGAATTGTTGAAAAAACAGATTGGAGGTCTTAACGAATATGTTTGCTCATTGGAGAAGCGAGTGGAGGGAAGAGGGAAAGAGAATGCCAAGATAGGAGAAGAAGTCGAACAGCTGCGAATTGAGCTATCTGCTAAAAAGGAAGAGATGAAGAAAAAATTAATCGATTTCGAGAATGAAACCATTGAGATGACAAGTCAGATTAATTTGTTAAAGAACGAAAATGTAACGCTTGAAAATGAGTTCAAATTGAAAGATATCGAATGTAAAAGGCTTTTAAATGAGAAGGAAAGGACAAAAGATGAGATTCATGACGATCTCGAAAAAATGAATGCAAACACAAACTCTCTGCGAAACAGAATCATTGAGTTACAACAAGAGAACGAGACATTGAAAACTGCAAACGAGGCAGATCAAACAGTTATCAAGCATCTGGAAACTAAGCTGGAATCTTCTGCTGACGTTACAAAAGAGCTTCGGAGTGAAAAGAGCAAACTATTGGTGCAGGTGCAAGAAGCAAGGGTAAAGGAGTCAGATTTACGAAAAGAAACGAAAGTTGTTCGACATGAAAACGATTCTTTGGAAAGGCAAAAGGAGAAGCTTGTGGAAAAGCTTGGTTTATTGAATAAAGAGAAGAAGTCAGTGGAGCAGCAGTTGAATGCGAAGCTAAATGAAGAGTCGAAAAGTACTGGGGCAATGTTACGAGAGTTAAAGAGCCTCGAGGCCTCTTTGAACTCAGCGAGGAAAGAGAAATCACTGCTAGAGGATAAATATAACAATCAGAGATTTGAGCTTGAGAGGATGTACAAGATGTTAGAGACGACCAAACAGAAGAAAGATGGTTCAAATGTTGATAGCTCTGAGACAAGTTTTGAGAAGACAGTTAGGGAAAATTTGGATAACTTCTCAACAAGTACCCGGGGTATAATGAGACGTCACCCATCATCAGACAATACTCAGTTGTATGAGAGTCATCGTCATTTAAGTGCAGAAAGCGCATCGGAACAGACCATTACTGCAGATGTGGACAGCGCTTCTGTTAGCCAGTCAATGTCAGAAAGAGCATCTAGCCATACTTCCAACGTTAATCGGTTTGGGAGAGCGTCGCAAAGTCTGTCAGGGAATCCTCACCCAGGTGATAAAAATTTGAACCCACATTCGTTACGTACCCCAAAAATATCAAGCACGTCGTCACTACCCGTGCACTCTGACAACGAGAGTGTTGACTCTTACCTAGGATTCCCAACTAGATCTTCAATTTTGGCATCAGCTTCCTTTCAAAGTAGTGAAGCAACATTTCCAGATGTAATGATCGTTAGATCTCCAGATTCAATGTCAAGAAACACAAAAAGCGTCTCCTCGCTTTCCTCCAGTCAGATGTATGGTGGCTTGCAAACCAGACAAGCTGCTGACGACTCATCGACGAAATCAAATTCTTATTCTGCAGACGATACGAGGTATGTTGTAAACTCTATTTGCCTTCAAACTTTATTTCTGTTACACAATTGTTATATAATACTTTACGAATAGTTGTAGAAGATTCTTATCAGGGATAAGTGCCTCTAAAAAAGCCAAGGTTTAAGAAAACTTCAATAATAATAATATAATTTTTATAAAAATAATAAAGATACGAATCTGTAAACAGGATTTTACCCTTCAACATGTTATGCTGTTATTAACGCGTTTTCTGATTTAATTTAATAGTGAGGATAAAAGCAAAGTAACTTTACGTACTATAAAAAATCTCTATAAAACATATGAACAAGGAAACAATGAACCTTTTATAAGGATGATAAAAATGCATTACATAAGTATTTAAAAGTGCTTGCTATAATGTAGAGTACATTGATTTTATCGATTGAAAAAATACATTGATTTTGATTATGAAGTGATTGATACCCGAAAAAAATTGTGGGATGGCAGTGGATTGGATGGAAAACCGAGCTAATAAAGGAATTTTTCGTTCTCTCTTTTTGGTTCATTATTGCGATTAAGTTCACGTGCAATAGTTTTAGCTCTCTTGCTGGATATATTGCTTAGTTTGTGACTTCTCGGGCCGTCATTTTTCGTAAATCAAAAGTTTTTCGATGGGGGCATGTTCTTTTGTCCGGAACCAAATATTTTCGGTGACAGCCCAACCAAACCCTTGTAAGAAGAGAGCACAGCCTCAGAAATTGAACTCATGGTAGCTACCGAAGAGGGTAGTTTTGGCCGTGAAAGCTTAATTCCATTTTAACCTTGTACTTTGATGGTTGGTTTTCTGTTTAGAGAGTTAAATACCTTTCGGAAGACGAAAAGCGAATATTGGTGGGTGTTTTCTCATTATATTCATGTCTCAAACAGCAACAATATCCCGGGCTTTCTTGCTTTCTTGTTTTAAACTCCATCATTAACTACCAGTTTTGAACAATTGTGAAACGCAGTTCCACCCGAACAATCTTCTCAGTTCTACCCAAAAAGGTCCACCTTATAGTGAGAAATGTTCCGTATTAGCTCTCCTTCGCAGCGGGAAGTAAAGTCTGCACGCAGGCTACTGTGATTATAGAACAACAAAAGTTAGTCCTTTGGAATGGAAATGCAGCAATGAATACATTTGCCTGTACAAAGTTATAGTCGACAAAAAAATATGATCCAAGTTCAGCTTAGAAGAAGAGCACTTAAAACCAAACAATATCTTGGTGCTGATATTTGTCCGCATGCTGACTGTTTTTTAAAGTTGACCGTGATCTTTATGTTATCTGTATTCCACTTGACTTAAAGGACTTTTTTAGCTATATTTACTTATCTTTTTTTCCAGATCTTGGTTAAGAAACATGGAAACCAAGTTGGAACAGACTGATCAAATTATCAAATCGATGAAGAGAAACAAACATGTCAACGTGTGAATACGCCTGGAGATAACCCAATTTGTGGTTTTATTATTGAAATGCTATGAAATAAGACATTATTGTTGGCAGAGTATGGGTAAATCCATTTTGCACGATTATTACTTTTTATCAAGCAACACTAATAGTTGAGCTGTAATTTTGTAAAACGGTCATTTTCCCCTTCTGCGTTCAAGCATTCTTTTCAAATTAGTTTGACTAAAACTTTGACTAAAACTCCCCCCTGTGCAATGTCAGTTCAGTAAAAACATGCGTATGGGAGCCTAATAAACTAGGAGGCTACTGCCTGAAATTTCGGTCCCAATTAAATTCAGCCTGAAAATTCGAACTGGTTCTTCATACCGATCACTAAAAAATCATCAGCGAGTAATCCATCAACCTTGGGCTATATATCTTGATGATAAACAAGACTTAAAACTTTGAGCTTTATATAGTGGGTATCAGAGATGCTTTTTAAATTCATTTTTGCTTATACATTCTAAAAGTGTTTGAAGATGTCGTTCCACGAGCATAAAGCTCTTAATTATTTCAATAAAACACTCAATTAATGCAATGATTTAAACCCTGTCATCAATTAAGACCAATTTAAGGATCTTTAAACTCTCATTTCCATTCGATCCTCATTCTATAAGAACCCTTTCAGACTGAGAAGCAAAATTGTAACTGAAACACAGTTGTTAACTGAAACTTGAAATAATCCATAGGTACTAATTAAAAATTGACTGCCTGAAGTCATGGAACCCCCTTAAGGTAATAAATCAGCATTGTATTGCATGAGACCATTAAAATTCAAGAAAGGGTGGCGGCTACATAGAGGGGCGAGGTAATATCTGATACTGTCGAATTTTTTTACTGCAGTATTTTGATGATCCAACTAATTTTGGTAAGGATTGCAGTTTTCATATTTTTAAGTTTTTATTTCTATCGTATGTTTATATTATAAAGTTGATATCAGATTTTATGAAGTAAAGTTTTAAACGTCATAAATCAAGCTACACGGCTAGTCAGATCAACAGTTTTATAGACTTTTTATTGCATTTAGCATCGTTCACTTTAAACACAACGCTTATTAGCTAATTGATAGAAGTAACTGTCAAAATTTGGTGACTTGTCGTTACGTAACTTGTGCGATGTGGATCGGTATTAATCGTGTTGGACCCAGAATGCGAGTACTGTATGTGACAAACATCACGCAGGTTAACCTCTCCATCAACTGAAGTTAGTTTGAGATCGTAAAAACCCTGCATAATTATCCTACAAGTATCAGTTTTGTCTGTCAGAACTATTTTTGATCTTGTCACAAATTCTCATTATTATATCTATATTTGTTAGGTATAGACCCTGAAAATTTGATCTCATTTGGAGAGCAAGTTTGAAATCTGTTTCCAATATTTAACCATTACTGCTATTTATTTTATGGATGTTATTTATCTCAATATATGATGTTTATATCTTCATATAAGGTATCACTCATTGCAGACTTGGTATGCTGATTTTTTTCTGAAATTGCCCGAAGGTACTTGCCGTGAGTCAGACATTTTATTGTTGCCCTTTTAAGGTATTCTGGTTTTTAATAGTTGTTTGTCAGTCTCGCTGCCTTGTTTTAATATCGTTATGTGCAAAACACGGGTAATTCTTCATTCTAAAAGTATTTCAACACCCGCATTTGTAAACTGTGATCATTCCAACCATCTTCAATCAATCCGCCTTTTCATCTTCTGCTATTCATAGCTCTTTTTGGAACCTCTTCAAATTTTATCATTCAAACTAAATCTCATAAAATTTCATATTCGGTAAGCGTAGCAAATACTCTTACACTGCTTGTATTTTATTGCTTTTTTGACATTTTACTGAAATTTGATAAATGCAAAAAAACCTATCCTGGCTTGGAATAGCACGATTGAGCTCTTGACACATAAGGAAATCATGCTAAAAGAGGTTGCTTTTGCAATATAAGGAAATCGTGATTAAAGTGGGTACTTGAATAATATTTCAACAGAATCTTTGTGAGTCTCTCTTTGAGAGTGATAATTATTGCACATATTGATTAGCCCATTTAAAGGAGAACCCCCCTTTCTATTAAACTGTATTTTCTCACCCTGGAATTGCACCTGCAAACTCACCGTCTTGATTCTCAGTCAAACCCCAGAGCATAACTAGCTTTCTATCTTTGCACTTCATTATCTTGACGATTTTTATGATTAGATTGTGACGTGTTTCAAGTGACATCTTTGTTGCGGACATCTTTGAAATGTTAACCCTATTTTAATTCCCTTAGAATCGCGATGATTCCTGTTCGTTTAATATTTATATAGGACTTTATCAAAGAAGTACTATATCATTGTGTAGCAGTATTGTATATACGTATTTGATACGAAAAACTACAAAGAAAATATTTTAACTGTTTCAAACCAGTATTTTTGTACCCATGTCTGTTTTAATGCTTTTGTAGTCAAACTGTATTTAAGATAAACCTGTAGCCGTGCGTGATGTACATGTGGTTCTTTGATTGGTTGGTCTATCCAACCACTGAGAAAATGTTAACAATTCTTAGCCTGGTTCCTTGAATTGGCAGGCCTGATTTCTCATTTTTCCATGACAGAAAAACAGATCACACCATCAGTGGGTAACGATATTTTATTGCCTTTTTTTCAATTCCTTATTGATGTGGAAATAAGGTCGCTCCTTTGTCTGGACGAGGAGTTCGGATAAAAGAGGGAATGTTTTCAGAAAAATAGCTACGAAGGCGACTCTGTTTCTGACGTATATAATCTGTTTCAGAATGTTACTGACTTTGCCTTGAGTGAAATACAGCCGAGTCAACAATGACCCTACCATTACTCGCCAAAATTAGTATCTTTTTGGTTGTAGAAACCTGAAGGTTCTCTTTGATGGATGAATTCAAAGCTGTACTTTAAACAATTCAAAAATAATCTTTCTTTAGACCTTTTGCATGCTTACCCCCCCCCCCACCCTTAACTAGCTACCCCTCAAATCCTTTTGGGGTCTGAGACACAGGCTACCCAATCCGTATTATGCTCCGCAGTTTGATTAACCAAGTCCAGCAATTCCCCACAATGCAGTTCTCCTTGAGGATAACCCTTTACAGAGAACTACGACTTAAGCCATCTGCAACGAAGCTTACTAGTCGTTATTTTTGTAGCATGTTTTAAATGTTATTACGAATTTTTATAACTGCCTTTTATAGAAAAGGTACACGGTTCAAAAACTAGGCGTGTTTACATTATTGTGTTCTTTTAACGATTTTAATGTATCAATGAGAACATTTTTTGTTTTCAGTTCTTAATTTTCTTTCGTTTAACGGTATTTTTAAGACGTAAACCGAACCAATCCTTGAAGGGAAAATTCTCCAACTGGGGACATAATTTAGCGGAAAATCTAGGATGCAATGGGTGTGCAATGTAAAAAATGATGGGAGCGAAGTTAGATTCATAAAATGAATGAAGGGCAACAGAGCCACTGCAATGTCTAATTTCGCCGAGGGCAAAGCTGGATAAGCAGAATGAAGGATCTTATTTTTTCTGTTATTTCTGAGCACGGAAGTTTGACATTGAAACCATTTTATTGATTTTGATTTAATCTTATCCAGAGGTGTAGAGCCTGGGGTTTAGGGGGTTGAGCCCTTCTTGTAAATGTCAAAAGGAGCCCTATTCTGCCTTTTGGTGTTGCACTGTTGTGTTGTTTCTCATTCTCGGATCCTTTGCTTACGTCACTGTTCGCCATGCGTTTCCTCCCAAGAATATGTTTATTGCCTGCTTTCATTGCAATTTTCGCTGATTCCCTTTTGCATTGAGATCAAAACAGACCGTAAAAGATGATCGAGAACGCGTCCAAATCTGATATTGAATTGAAAAATGAACATAAAACCCCGTCAGGAAATGAGTCCAAGGCAGAATGCATTCCTAATATCATGTTGTTTGCGATAAATTGATTAATTTAGTCCCTGTGAACATCTATTTGGAGGCAGGGACATCAGAAGCATTGCAATGTTGGGATGGCACATGTAGGAATGTCAATTTGCCTCAGAAAAAGGATAATTTTTCCTTAACTTCTAAAGAAGGCGCTTCGAAGAAGAGAAGCATTTTTCAAATCTACCTAAATCCCCCCTTTCCCCACCGATTCCGACGTCCGTGCTTCTAGGGTAGTTTTACCAACAGAGCAGCGTAAAATGTGAAAGTTGAAAAGGAGTCAGCTTAATAAAAGGCAGGCATTATTTATCTAAATGCCCCGCTTGTATTGGAAGTTATTGGAAGTACCTATTTATGAAACCACTAAGCAGACTCTTAAATATCTCTTTTGACAATGGCTGCGATTAGAAAGATCAAAATAATGGTCTGTAATGAATTGTGGTTTTGCAGATGAATAGTGTATTTTGAATTAAGAATGCTTAAAGTATGCATAACTGCAAATCTGCATCAAAAATCAGTTCTGATAATTTACCAAGGCCACGCTGTTGGATCCGTATTGTAAAACTGGTTTTGATATATATCTTCTAATTAATCTTTCCAGATTTCAATCACTGCTGTTTTGTTTATTTTAGTTTTTAATTATTCTCGTTTCTAGATTTTTTCTATGAAAAATCCATTTTCTATGGAACATCATTGCAATTTTTGACTTGCTATGATGACTCAATTGCTTTTCTGAACCTAGCATTGGAAGCCTTGCTCCCAAACCATAATTTGAAAGCATTGGTGACTGGTGTGGGTTTCTGCTGAAAGTGTTGCCTGCATCATACAGTGTTGCAATATAGCTTCTTGCTCTTGTTTCCCTTGTCGTGTCTTCTGCACACTTTCAAGCAGGTAGATGTGAAATGAAGAACTACCATTGATATATTGCTTTTGTCTCTAGGACCTTCAAACAGCCTTCGAGTCACAAATAGATCTGTTTTAAAGCTACCAGTGCATATTTAAGGAACAGTGTAAAAATGAATGCGTGTCACTTTTGCTCTGATGAAGCCCCGTATGCCGGGGCGAAATATTAGCCTTTACTGATTTACGTGTATTTATTGTTGTTTATTCTCGGCGTATTGCGGTGTTTCATATTTGCTACATAAAAACAAATGACCTATCGTGCATACACCTGAAAATAAAAACACAAACAGCTTCTAGGTGTCCTTAGCAACTATAAGCCCACAAGTCAGAACTTTGTTGCTTAAAAAGTGACTTGTGAAAGATTATGCTGACTTTATGCAAAACTTTGAAAATGATTGACTGTCAGTCGCAAGTCGCAAGTAGAATTGAGATGGCCTCGTTTCCATAAAGATGCGTAGTTAACGCATACGTCGGTCTGGCAACCCACCTCTTTTGGACTATCTCCAATTACTTGTTGATAAATGATATTTTGACGTTTCAAAACTCCAAGCGACTTCCTGTTTTGAAGACTACGATAACGCTGGCAAAAGATCCCAATTCACTACGTCCTGGAGTCCCGCAGCGACCCTGTGCAACCAGAAAGTAGGAAAATGGAGGCTGGCCGTTGGCCACTCGCTGTCCTTCAATCACAATACTCCGATTGGACAAGAGTTCAAAACAACGTGTTTATTTTAAATTTTTCGCTGAACATAAGGTGATTACTTGTCACTTGCTATAAAATTTATCGCTTTACAATCGGATATTGTCCGCAGCCGATGCCTCCTTGATCACGGAAGAAGTTAGATTCTGTGACATAGGCGCCGTTTACGTGGGGGCTCGGGGGCTCGAGCCCCCCTGGGAAAAATAAAAGTCGGCGCCTATGTCCTGTGAAAAAGTCTGGTGGCAAGCTTCACTTCAAACAATCCCTAAATTCGTCGTAGACTTCCTCCACTGTCAAACGATTTGCACTGCAATCATGATGAACATTGATATTGGAAGAATCTCTTACAGTTTACACACTTTTTCTATAAGAATACCTTTTATTTTTCTGAGCCTAATATTCTTAAACTCTTTTTTTTGATCCTAAGATTCCTAAATTATTCTTAAGCGACATAAGGAATAACCGGGTTGAATTATAGTTCAATGACTCCAAGGCCAGATACGTCTATTTCAAGGCATATAGCGTGAAACTCGCATTTGGTTTCTTTTGCAGAGACTCAAATTAAAAAAATTCTTAAATTTCAGTGAATTTTAATATTCTTATAAACTATAGTCTTATAACAAAAAAGGTCTGTAACAAAATGTCTCATTATCACCTAAGTTTTTATTAAATTTTATTTGAATTGTTACTGTTTCGTTTGTGTTGTCTTGTGCATGTGTCCACTAATTTACTACAAATTTTCAGCGTCGCCCTTTACCAAAATGTATGCACCCTCGTGTTCCAGTTTTTGCCCTCATTTGCGCCACCATAGGAGCATTTCCTCGAGCTACCAACATCCCCCCCCCCCCACCACAAAAAATTCCTTTAAAGATCCCTTGTAGCACCCAGCCCCGCTTCTAGAATTGCTTCTGTGACCCTGAAGTTGAAGTCTTTGTTCCATATGTTTGTATTGCAGGGCTTATCCATTGAATCCACATTCTTGCGTCTCAATATTGTATATGAAGAAACAAAATATTTGACTTTCACTAGGATTTTCCTTTGTCGTTGAGGTTATCGCCCATTTTTATTGCAAATAAAAAAGGCTTTGACTTTCAAAAAGAGCCAGATGAGACTATGACAGAAGACTTGATCAATAACAAGTACACTGTTTACCATATTAGTCCCAAAGCAATTGAGAAGCAATAGTGATTGGGGAGCAATTGCCCCCAGACCCTTTAACCTTTAGTTTAAAACAATAGGCTCTTCTCCTTCATTTAAATAAAAAAAGGCCCGATCCTCCCTGAACCCCCCCCCCCCACCTCAGCTAAAGTCCCTTCAAAAGGTCATAATGGGGCGTGGGGTTAGATATCTTTCTCGTATTAACATTTTGGTGTCTTGACTACCAAGATATACAGTCTCCCATAGCTTAAAATGCTTGAACTTGCACCATCGCCATGCAATTCTTGAGAAATCCGATTTTATTTTAAAATTGGCATCAAAGTAGATTATTTTTTAAGTAATCGAGCAAATGTCTAAGGGATAATAAATGTCGATGCACCACAATGACAACGCTTGGATGAAGCAAGACAATAAATAATCCGAAATCCTTAACCTGACGCTACTACACCTTTGCCGCTCATATTACATGGCTCAAGATAAATTAACCTAACAAATAAATGTTTTTCTGACTGAATATAGTTATATAATGCTAGTATGAATTCTACATTTACACTCTTTTTTGAAAAACTAGGAAAGATAAGTTAGTTCTTTAAGGCTTGATTGTTCTGAGTTTGTAAGCGGTGAAATCGCTAGCTTTAGTGCTGAAAGGGAGTGTTCAGGCCCCATCTACCAGCAATATGATTTAGCCATTCTTTATTTTGAGCCATCACTGATTTGTGTGTTTGTTGTTGTCTATTCTCGTCGCGTTGCGGTGTTCCTTATACACTACCATCCTTTATTTGCTGACAAAGCACCCCTAGATGACAAAAAGCCGTCGTTTATGAGATAGATTTTTTCAAAGGGGTTAGTTTTACATTTTAGAATACCCCAGCCTCGGAGCTTGATCTTCAATTTTGTGTAACTTTTGACCAATTTCGAGCTTTGAGTTAGATACCGCCACAGGAGATACCATCATAGAAAATTAAAAATTGCGCGATGTTGCCTACTATAATTCGCCCTTTCTAACTTTTGGCTTACTGGATGATAGGGCGAGAACTACAGAAAGGCCCAGCACGTTTTAAATATTTGTCTCGCTCTTGCTTTACCCAAGCCTGCAAAAAACTCTATGAGTTTCTTTTCCAAGTAACGTAGCATGGTATCAGCCTCTCTTTTGGAATACTGGCCAAAGAGGACATTTTATCCTGGGCAACGAGCCGCTGCTTAGACAAATCTTTTCGGCCACAACAATTCACGATTGTGCTCTGCTTAAAAAAGACCTAATAATCATCAAAAAGCTATTTCCGGGTACAAGAAAATCCAACCAAGCTCACGAGTTGCCAAGGAAAATTGCGCACCTCCGAAACAGGGTCAGGTGACACAAAGCTCAATGTGATTGATGAATTCTGTTATTGTTAAATAGTATATCCCGTAGCATATTCAAGCAGGCCGAGATTGTGAATGACTCTCTAAACTAGGTTGTCAGTATCAGCGAGCAATATCAAGACGTGAGGAGCAACTTAGTTGCCGCATTTATTGCAGTAGCAATTACTTTGTCGTGAGAGTTGGATTACCCATTCAGATTGAAGAAGTGGAGATCAAACATTCGCCTGTTCAAGCGTGCAATACCGAAGAACGCAAACAACAGAATTTCAAGACGAATCGCCAGGAAGATCGTACGAATATGTGCAGAAAAGCAATGTTTTGCCAGTTAGCAGTGGTTTTTGTCTTTCTCTCTGTACATAATGTGACGTCGCAGAAGTCTACTAGTGCAGCTGAAGATTCAAGGACGCCTATGTGCAGAGGGGCATTTGATATTTATTTCGTTCTAGACAGGTAAGGAGAATATTATGTATATTGGCCACGAATTATTTGCAACCTCAAATCACAGCTGAAATGGGGTGCGTAAGATCTAAGAAAGGATTGCATGTTTTAGATCGTGACTGTTCCTGCAAAGCAATCTGTAAACACTTGTGAATAAGGATATGCTGAGCAAACAGGCACGAACCAAGTTTACCGCCATACGGAATTACCAAATGAGAAATTGATTAAAGCCTTCTAATTACGCAATATATAGCAGAAACGAGATGCTTTCATCATGAATTGCATCGCAAATCTGGTCTTCAAAACATATCTATTTTAGATCTAGGAAATCTGATAGAGTTTCCTCAGATGTAGAGTATGGACTCTTTCCTTTGTATGGAAATTGGGTTAAGGGTTAAGGGATTTATATCTCAGACTGGCAAAAATCTCATTCACGTCTTGTGCTGTAGTCACAATTGGAGTGTGAATCAGTAGATTTTAAGCTCAAGTACGCGTTTCTAAAGTCCTGTCCTTTAATACTCAATTAAGAGGACGGATTCATGCTTTGCTTTGCTTTACAATTTTTTACTATGAAATAAAAGGTATACAATAATCCTCTTGTTGAAGTTGTGCCTCGTTTTCGAATCGCTCTAAGCGCCTTTGCCTTCACGCTTCATGTCATCGAAAACTCATAGAAACCACGTAAGGGAAGGATGTATGTGTTGAAATGAAGCATTTGAGCAGGGCCTCCGACGATGGGGGGGGGGGGGGGGGGGGGCTTTTGCGGTGGATCGGAGGCCATGATCCCTACTATTTTGACCCTCTCACTTTCCAACCTGTGTTGGAGCAAATGTTGGGGCTTGACATCTGGCCTTGAAATATCTTTTATGGTTCACACTTCTCAAAACCACAAATTAATCAATCAGTTCAGCCATTGGCGGACTAACTAATTCCAGGTTCGGGGGCCTGAGCCATTTTATGTCAAGAAAAAGAAGATTATATTTTAGCCAAGCATTAGCGTCATTAAAATTTATTGCAAAACTTGAAGCAACAATTTTTCATGTACGGCAATTACAAATTAGGATAAAATATAAGTACAATAATGTCAAACATTAAGTTTGCGCAATAGAATGCTCATATCAACTTGTTAGAGTTTTTAAAAGCTGCAAATTGAGAAAAAATGTCCTCCATCGAACGCACGTCCTTTACACCATGTTCGTTGTTTCGGAGAGTCAAGCTACCCAGTCGAGTCTGAGTTGAAATTATTTTTGTTGAATTTTTTTGTTAAAGAGCCAATTTTTTTGAAATTTTTTGCAAGTTTCTTAGACATTAATTTTTGTATCGACCAAATTCGAATACTTCTCGGGAAATTATTCAAAAATCTGTCGATTTCAAATTAGGTTGGAACGTCTATGCACCCCCACACGACGTGATTGCAACGGGCTCCCAAAAAGTGCGCGACCTCTCACTGAAGACAAAATTCATTTTTAGTAGAGCCGATTAGATTCAGGGCCGAGGGGCCTAGGCCCCATTAGCCCATAGGTAATCCGCCACTGAGTCTAGTTGGTTGGTACAGCTTTAGTTTCTTGTTTTTAGCACTACGTCAACGAGAAACACGTGCCTGGTTATTCTATCAAAAGAACTTTACACTGATTTGATTAGATCCTGAAACAGTCAACCAAACCCAAACCTCTGTAATGTAATTTCATTCTTGAGTCGTGAGCATCCCACGCCACGCCCTACCTAAAATAAACTGCGTCTTAAACAAAGTAAGTTTAAGAGTTCATTGCATAGTATCTGCGTGAACCAGCTATAAATTGAATGAAGTCCCTCATAAAATATGCGCCTTCTAGTAAGGCCTAAAGTTTGGAGATTTACAGTTGCTCAGTGGTCTCAATTTATTTGCTCACAATATCGTCGTTTAATATTTTTCACTCCTTGAATGAATGTTATAGGTTCACTAAAAGATTTCTTTTGTATGAAGTAATGAAGGCTGGTATACTCAAGGAGTAAAAAGTCTTTTGACCACGAGGGGAATATACTTTCTTTCAAAATAATCACTGTATTATCTTGGTAGCACCGTTTTGTAATGAAAATCGATTCGATACTCTGCCAGTCAGCACGTTAGCGGTGCCCCAAATGTAGAGTTAATCCTCGAGTGACAGGTTTACAGCCTTGGAACATATAAATAAAATTTCAAACATCCAATTAAAAATAGACACGTTTATCATAATCTCGAAAAGTTTCGAATTGTGATTACAAAGTTGATACTTTCTTTCAAGAAATCGCTATTTAGTTTACTTGCTAGATATATAGGGCTAAAATATGAATAAAAAGCTTCCAAATGTTATGCAACAAACTGAATTTGTCACTATTTTGTGGCAAAAGTTTTTGAGAAAGGGCTTTAAGTTGACAGGACTTTGAGATAGAGGGAAGGGGTATTATTAAGATTTGTATTGAATTTTCATGTAAAATTTTAACTAGTATTTCAATTTGTAAAAACCTTCTATTACAAAGAACAAGGGTCCTACGCCATGTAAGTTTAAAGGTGCGAGGATGGCTCAGTGGTTAGGGTCGCCGACTACGGATTAAAGAGTCTATATCTCGAGCCCTGACATGATGACCCAACTTTTCCTTAGAGTGAGGAGAGTCACCAGCTCTCTGCAATTCCAGTATGTAGGAATCACGAGGTGTTGTCGCATCGAGAGGAAGGACCAGGACATCACTCGAAAAGCATAACTTTTCAGTGTCCTAAAAATTTCTTGGGAAGCAATGTAGCAAACAATAAAAGAAGCTTCATTAACATTGACAATTCCAGGAAATTACAGATATGCTAGGGTATACTTGAGATTCTCGGATGTTAACTTAGGCTTCATTTACGCCTGATTCCACTGTTTCTTTCTTTTCTAGCAAAAGTCATTGTCATTTCATGGTTCCTTCTCGTCCCTTCTATCATTAAGGCTTTCAAAGTCTTTTTGTCATAATTTTAAACTTCATGCAGTTGTGCAATGTTTTTAAAACGGCCATTTTTCATAAAATCTTTAGGGTACTGATTACAGGAATCCCTGTCCCTTGTTTTGTAATTTGAACAGATGGTTACAATGATACGCTTGACCATGACCCTTGACCAGGGACGTCGGAACCTTGGGTGCCCGAAGGGCATGTGCCCCCCAACTGTTGGAAAATACGACATGTTGCCCCTTTCATATCTATGCCCCTCAAATTTTGAAATGGTTCCGACGTCCCTGCCTGACGTCCTTATTTTGCTTAAGGAAGTCATGCTATTTTCTGAAAAAATATTGTGGCATACTTGGCCAAGTCTCGTCCAAAAAGTTTCGCGCTTAAGGTATTCTAGTACTTTACAATTTCTGTCTTATTTGACTGCTAATGAAGACATACAATATTTAAAGAACTTTTTTAAAAATAGCTGAAACTTTTATTTGTGTTACTTTCACCAATTTTTAGGTAATGAAAAATTGATGTCAACTTAGTTGAGGGAGCGGTGTAACTTGATAGGGGCCAAAAATTGGAGGGAGGGGCCAAAAATTGATAATAATTGACGGGAGTGAGGAAAGGTGTCTTAGAATGGGTAGAAAGAGGTTGACATAACTTGTGAAAGCTTCCTAAGAATTTCAGTCACGTGTATTGATGCAGACACCAGTTTCTTGTATTAAAACCGTCCGAAGTGATTGGGGAATAGGGGTTTGAAGTTCATCAGACGCCTTACTTTTCTTGTACAGCCAAGATAAGCCTGTGTTCCAGACCTCCAACCTGTCTCCCTTCCAGATTTCATTCCAATTAGATGATTACGTCTTATCAAACCAAAAAGAAAAAACTTGAATATGGTCAAATAAGCCCTCAAAGTGTCTCAAATTAATTCCCTTCTGCAAATTGCCTTATTTTATGCGGTTACCAAAAAGCAAGTGGCCATGTTTACTGTGGTAAGACCAAGTTTTGGCACGTATCAAGCACATCTACGTAGTACTGCAGACCCAGTATTTATTTAAATATATTACAATGATGATATTTCTCCAGTTCTAAGAAATCGACCTCACTCTTTCACGGGCTCTATCTCTTAGCATTAAAACTCTTTATCCTAATGGACTCGATGCGTTTTAATTTTCCTGCAATGATTTTTCCTTTCTATTTTCTACTCTATTCTTATATATCTCCTTTTCCCTGTTCTGTTTTCGGTCACGTTGCATCTCGCATTCTTTCATATTTGTCGAATCTTTGCTCGGCTCATTTCTTGTCTAGTCACTTGAAAATGAGTACATGCTTGAAACGTTGTGTTCTTACTTTCAAACTAATTTATCTTATTCTGGTACTCAACTTATTTGTTTACTTTATCATAGTTATTTTGGATGACGTACCACACGCAACGTACATATTATATTGGATCCATCTCCCCCTTACCACAATGGTATTTTCATTTTCACCTTCCCCCTTTCCTTTCCCACCTACCACAGGCCAGAGGTGGTGATTCTCCTTTCACCCCCCCCCCCTTCGTGGATGCCCCTGGTTTCTTCAGTTCTAAGACATTGCTATTTTTACGTATCTTTTCTATTACAAAACAATTCTAATTCAGTCCTTCAAAGCCTGAAATCCTGGAATTGCTAGTATTCATGCCAAGATGTTTCTAATCCTGGCGAGGCACTGCGTGTTGGAATTTTCCTTGCTGACATAAAAATACACATTTGCGGTTTTCATTCAAATGTGTCACGCGAAAGATGCCAAACATTTGAGTGACACCAAAACCAACAACTTGTGTGTGCGTGATATCTCATTCAAAAGAGGAAATTACCTTGGATTGTCACAATATGTGTGTGTAAAGCCTGATTTACACGAGACGAATTTTTTCATGCGAAGCGAATTTTTCGCCAGGAATGCGCGAAAATTATGCGCAGAAGTAGAGATTAGAAAATTCGCAGCGAATTCGCTGCGAAAAAGTAGAAACCATTCCTACTTTTTCGCTGCGCAATTTTTCGCCTTTTAAAATAAACCAATCAGAACAGCTTTAGAAGACACCTGACTTCTGTTTTGGTTTCAGACTTTAAAACGTCAATAAAATAGATTGGTAATTATTCATTTCCTGTGCCTTGTACACAATCCATGTATGTGGATTCATATCAGATTAATATTCAAACTTTTGAAGTTCAAATTGACGAAAACTGGCTTGAAAGTTTCATCAAGCTTCGATGGCGACCTTTGAAAGTATTTGAAGAAGTTATCCTGGTCTTATAAATGTAAACGTTAATCTCTTTTACCGAAAGATGGAATTCCCTCTTCTGAAGACGTCCTGAATAAATTTTTCTAATCCAGTATCGCTTTTTGCTGTTTTGCTCGCTTTTTGATAAATTTAAAATTTAAAGCTTTCTGATAAGAGCACTCTTCGGACAGTCGCTATATTCTTTTGTAATACTCGCAGCGAATTCGCATACAAATTTCTGCCAGTGTAAATTGAACTTTGAATTCGAGAGAAAAATTCACAGCTAAAAAATTCGTGGCGAAAAATTCGCTTCGCGCGAAAAATTCGTCTCGTTTAAATCAGGCTTAACCCTTTACAATTCCGTAACATAGTTGCCAAGCTCGATAAATTAAAACTCAGGTTTTTAGTCTGTCTTTCCTTGGTGTAAAACGGAAGGACGAGAATGACTTGACAGTTGTCATGAAACGCGATAGCACTTTTGTTTATTGTTTGTTGGGAACTACCTTTGATTCTTTTAGGCCGTAGTACCAGGCTATCATGGCCCCCAATAATTTCCAAGTTAGGACCAAAGGAAAGTGAGTTCAACATTATTTATTTAAATGTGCCCTTCTCCAAATTATTTAAGCAGTGCTACGGCTCTGTATGAGTATCCTTTCTTTTCCGGAATTTTTGATAAACCAAACTCTATCTCAGCCTCGTTCCCACAATTTTACGGGGCGCGAAAATTTCTTGAAACCGGGGTAAAGTATTGTAGAATGCTGAGGCAAAGTTCAAATTTTTAATTGTATTTCTGAGACTAAATTATGGAGATTCTGGCACCCAGGGTAGCGTCTGGAGGTCTTTGCTAGGGTCTGTTATTTGAGAACTTTAGCCGGCCCACTGAAAAAAAGTGAATACAATTTGCATATTAGTGCGTCTATGCTCTGAATTTACAATATTATCTTTGTCAATGTTATGTTAAAACCTTTAGTTGCAAAATAGGGTTTGAGTTGCAATGGGCATTTCATTCCACAAAAGATATCGCAGGCCTTTCAATATAACAGAGGATTCATATCGGTAAATTTGATGGCAAACATTTTTATAAGATTAAAGTGCGGTTGAACTGATATACGAAGCTATCGAATACTGATATGCTATAAAGATATTTACGATTTTTGCAAGCTTTACTGTTGGTGCAGCTATAAGCTAAAATTCTTCGATCTTTCCGAGATAATTCTCTACCTGCTCTCTGTACCAACCAAAATATAAAACAGAATACTCGAGCTGCCAAGGGAAAGATGAAAATGGCTCGTTTAAGGGAAGGTTTAAGGGGAATGCAAAAACAACCTGATGAGTTATCAGAGGCTCGTGTTATCCGTATAAAAGTTTATTTCAATATCTTTTCAATGTCAATATCAATATCTTTATTTCAATGTCTTGTTAGTATTTTTTGGTTACGACAATCACTTGATAATTTTATGGCGGTACAGAACTTGTAAATGGCTTTGAAAAAATGTCTTTGGTATGTTGTGAAATGTTTGCTTTTTGCAAAGCCATTTACAATTATTTGAATTTAAACACTTTCAGATCATCAAGCGTCAGCAGGAAGAATTTCCAAGTTCAAACCGTCAACTTCGTCCACAACATCACAGGTTTCTTCATCAGGTAAATTTCCCTTATTTTTTTTAAAGCAAGTGTTTAAAATATTCAGTTACCTCTTCTATGTGGAAATGTTTATTGTTGCGCATTAACATAAACTTGATCTGATTAAATTCATTTCCTTTCTCAAGCCCAAAGATGATGATATCCTTGATTTCTTTTGCAACAACAGCAACCACCGATCTGGAGTTAACGGAAGACAGGTAATATCATATGCTAGTTGTTCTGCATATAATACTTCAAAACATCCTGAAATACTTTACAGTATAATGAAATATGGCATAAAATCATAAAATCTTTCAAAACTACAATCGTCGCTAAAATTGGGCGTAACCAGTGGTAGCGCTAGACCGAGAAGTAGCGGTCCAGAAATGTAGGAACTGGTTAACATCATTAAAGTTATCGTTACAATTTTCGTTACAATTATCACTACAATTATCGCTGCAAGTATCGTTACAATTATCGTTACAATTACAATTATCATTACAATTATCGTAACAATTATCGCTACAATTATCGCTACAAGTATCGTTACAATTATCGCTACAATTATCGCTACAAGTATCGTTGCTAATGATATTCTTTTTATTCAATAAAGGCAACTCATAACCAATGGTTTGATCAACTTGCGGAGGAGAATCCCCGAAGGAAATACTTATTTGCATTTGGGACTTCGAAAGGTAAACACATTTTTTGCTTGACAGTTTCAAGAAAGTTTTTTAGATCTAGATGCTCCCTAAAAGTTGTGGCTCAGCCAGACAGGTGTTTTTACATCGCAAAAGAAGCTGCATGAACTTGAAAACAAAAACAATTGCAGTTGTCAATGAGTCATTTTCCGCTTTTTGTTAAAAATAAGACATTTATCTTAAACAGCTTAAGGGCAATTTTGTCACGTGTTTATAATATGCTCTCAAAAATACCGGTTTTTAACAAAGATAAGTATCTTGTCAATGACCTCTAACCTAATTTTGTTTCTTATTCAAAATATTTTAAAAGAACTGTTTTTTCAGGCTATTGAACAGATCCAGAAACAAGGTCAGTCTCTGGTTCAAGATTATCAGAGTAGATCTTTTTGATAACACTTGTTGCTGCAGATTGACCTAGAAAGTAGATATTGTTTCTACAATGCCTGCCAAAAGTACTTGGAACACCCAGCAATTTACGCTGCATTTGATATCTTTCATTCCTTTCATGAATTGTTGCTGCAGATTGACCTAGAAAGTAGATATTGTTTCTACAATGCCTGCCAAAAGTACTTGGAACACCCAGCAATTTACGCTGCATTTGATATCTTTCATTCCTTTCATGAATTGTTGCTGCAGATTGACCTAGAAAGTAGATATTGTTTCTACAATGCCTGCCAAAAGTACTTGGAACACCCAGCAATTTACGCTGCATTTGATATCTTTCATTCCTTTCATGAATTGTTGCTGCAGATTGACCTAGAAAGTAGATATTGTTTCTACAATGCCTGCCAAAAGTACTTGGAACACCCAGCAATTTACGCTGCATTTGATATCTTTCATTCCTTTCATGAAAAAATTGCTTCTTCCGCCCCCTTCCCCCTAAAACAATGTTGATGATTTAGAGAAACATCATAAAAGAAGTGCAAAAGAAAGTGCTTCCTAAAATCCAAACCCGTTTGATAGTAAACCATTATTGGGGAGGGGGGGATGATTGATTTTTGACCTTGGAAATTGATGTCAGTGTTCCAAGACTTTTGGCAGACATTGTAGTTCCTTGTTCCTAGAAAGAAACTCATGATGAAAGCCAACTAACAGTGCATTTTCTAACATTCTAACTAAGGGGCAATTATACCTCTACTCCCAGTAACCTTCCATTGCTAACAACAATAGGCTATTTCTTTCTCTCCATGTAAAAATAGCTTCCCCTCAGCTGATTTCCCTTCAGAAAGATTACGAGGCAGTAAGGTATGAGTTGAGGAGGAGAGCCTGTGTTCCAGACCCTTTTTCTCTTCAGATTCGGGGTCTGGAGCAGAATCTTTGCTACATCCAGCACTGCAGTCTGGCACGCTAACCACGTGACCATTGAAGCCTCTTGGGGACAAAACAAAGATTATATTTTAGTTACATTGGTAATACGAATGCCAGCAAAATTCAGCAACTGGATTTGTGGCAGCATTTATTGCAACCATTAAAATACATACTAGCGGCAAGAGCTCTGAAGTACTTAGGGAATGCAGGGCCTCCGACAAAGGGGGGTCGGGGGTCCTTGGCCCCCCCACTTTTTTGCAAAACAATAGAGTTTTTTTCAAAATCTTTTGTTATGGGTGTTAAATTTTCCCTTGCCCCCCCCCCCCACTTTTCAACCTTTGTCGGAGCCCATGGAATGTATTTAAGGTTTAACTTCTTTGTGGCGTTAGACTTTTAAAGATGATGTTGCATTGTGGATGGATGTATAATTTACTCATTATAATTCATAGATCGATCATCAGCCAGTGTTATCATTGTTTTGACTGATGGTGAAATCGCTCAGTATCGTGACAAAGCTATCCAGTCGGTATGCAGTGAATATTTTTAACAATTTATGAAAATGTTGAGCAATAAATCCATCACAATTTCATCATTATTTTCTGAGAGAAAAGAAAATAAAAGAAATGCATCATTGATTTCTTGAATTCAAGAAAGGAAAGGCTTCTTTTTTTAAAGTTAACCAACAGGTTATGATGAAATTCCAAGCACTGAAATAAAGCGTTTAAAACCTTTTTTCCAAGGAAAGTTTTTCAAACAGTCACAGCCAAAACATTTCGTTATTTGGTTACATATTTAATCATAGAATTGAAAGCTTTAATATCAGAAAGAAATAAAAAATTTGGCAGCCCGGCAGTTATTTGACAGATAGCGCAAAAATGTCATTTGCGGGTTTGGTTATCACAGTTATATAGCAAGATGCAATAAACAGTCATTTCTCGACCCAGATGCAATAGAAAACCATCCTTTGCTACAGAGGCCAACAGAGCAAGGATAACTTGAGAGATAAGGATTTTATATACCACATTCTTACGATTCTTGGATATTTTAATTCATCAGATGCCCCCTAAATTGAATTTCTAGAATCAGAGACTACTATGTAAGGTACAATAATCATGTTAAATATCATAAAAACAAATGCTTCACAGCAGCATCGTGTGCAAAAAGCTCTTGAAATATGCTTAATGGTATTTTTCAAACAAAAATGACCTTTCTGGTCCGAAGCGAATTTATCCTCAAATTGTTTGAAAGCATTTCAGACGATTCTCCACGAAGCCCCCCAAGACCTTCTCCCTGCCAAGTGTTCCTTGGGTACCAGAGCCACAAAATTTCGAGCATGTAAATAGAATGCCATGTGGAGAAGCGGAGGAGCGCCTTGCTGAGAACAAGGAAAAGTGGCGCTAGTACCCAGAGCTCTTGTACCTAGAGCTCTAGTACCCGTCGATGACCACTTTTTCTTCTTCCCAAATAGACGCTCCTTTGCTTCTCCACTCCTATCTTCTATTTCCGCGCTTGTATACAAGGGGCTCGGTTGCCCAGGATATGGTATCAGTACCAAGGGGAACTTCAACTAAATTTTTTTAAGAGTGTTAAACTAGCTGACTTACTGATATTGGTTTGGTTGAAAAACCTGTATTTTGCAGAAGTTTGAAAAGGGAGAGTGTGTAAGTTGTCTGCATTAAATGTACTTTTCTCATAATGAATGTCTAGCATATGATGTGAATGTATACCATTTTGCAGTGCTTTCTCATTGAACACTGAGACTGGTTTTAAGGTTGCCAAAGAAAAGGTCAGCAAATGGACAAAAATGCTTTTCTTTCCTGGGAGCTAAACTATGTAATAACCTTCCTGCTGAGTCCAAGACGACATCCTCCCTGGGTGGTTTCAAAAAATCAATACAGGGTTGACTAGTTTCCATGTATAATACCATGTAATTGTAAATAGGTTTTTAATATTATGGTTTTTTGTTTTCTAGTATTTTAATTATATATTGTAATTAGTTTTTACTGGAGGGCCCCTTGAAAAACAACTTCCGTTGAAAGGCAACCCTACTTAAATAAATCAAATATGAAATATATAATAAATGTGAAGTATATTGAATGAGGATTAATGACATAACATGCATTTTGCCTATTTTCCACTACCGTAGTCATTAACACAATAAATAAGTGCATGATTCAAAATGCCCAGTCTTGTACAAGGTTCGTCTGGTAGCTCTCTTTACAATCATAACAACGAGCTATTATTCTATCCGTTATAGAAATAGAGAGTTCTACAGATATGCGATAACTATTGGAAACCTCTATTCGCCAGCCTTTCGAAAACCATTCTTTTCATAGGGAATAAATGAATCGTCTGTTCAGCTTTTAAAAACATCTTAGAAGTCGTGTGGCTTACTTAAAGGAAAACACTTGGTACTGGGTTTGCCTGGGGCTCCTTATGGTTGCGTTGTTGTTCGATTTCACTTCGATTTTACTTAAGTCTTTTGCCCCGCAGACAAAAATATATTAGAAATGAAGAAGTATACCTTAAGAAAGATATGTCGAGAAAGCAAAAAACAAAGTTTAGGATATCGACTTTGCCAAAGCATACAGAAAAGTGTTCTATTGATGATTGTAATAGCCGATAGAAATATCTATACACAGAGCCTCGATGCGGAAAGGAGGCGATAAAGAAACAACTCTGATTTAAAGTAAGGTTACAAGCGACAGAGAAACTCTACTCCAGTGTATTATCTATGCTTGGACCCAGGCACAAAGAACCATACATTAAGAGTCAATGTGAAAAAGAACCGTTGTGGGTGTGGCTAGAACATAACAAGTCCTTTGTACCGTGTGTATGATAAAACTGCAAGATTCTGCTGAAGAGAGGCCCCAGTGTGACAGAGTAAGAATCAAATGAAATAGGAACGGTGTTGGATGTAAAAGGCATTATATAATACGATCAAACGTAGGCAAATGAATTCAATTAAAATCATTTCTTTTTCAACAGGCAGTACATGCAAGACAACTTGGTGCTACAATCTACGCTGTAGGAGTTGACGATTATAAGAAAGAAGATGTAACTACTTCAATATTTGTTTCTTGATTTCAAAAATGCATTCAACCTTTGATAATTCACAATTTCAAGGAATTTCCAATGTGTTCGAATAAGCTAGAATTCAACAAAATTTTACTTTAACGGAATAATTATGTAATTATCGGGTTAGGGTAGTAATCTTCTTGTTTTCAAAAATATATTTTTGTGAAAACTTAGCCAGTTTCATAATCTTATTTATGAAAACTTTTACGCAAACAGGAATAGTCATAACAGGAAAATTATAATAATCTCAATTTCAGCTTTATCGGCCCTTGTTTTTATTTTGAAATTAAATTCCAGCCGCTAAAGTTTTTAACAAGATTTGTTAGAACAATGAGATAACTTTGATATATACAGTGAGATAACGACCCACGTTTTCAAAGGCCACTGCCCCACTACCCCCACTACCCCCACTGCCCCACTACCCCCACTGCCCCACTACCTCCACTGCTCCACTACCCCCACTGCCCCACTGCCCCCACTACCCCCACTGCCATATTTCTGTAGCCTGTGTTCCAGACCCTAACTTTCAAGTTAGGGGTCTGGAGCACAGGCTATATTTTTGTGGCATATTTGATAAAATTTCATTTTTTGTTTTGGCATTTGTTGCTTTTTAGAAAGTCCCAACAATTTAATCTGATCTGCTTCCCATATTCCTTACTTTTCAAGTACTTTCCTTTAGCCAGAATTGAAAGATTTTGCTTTCGTTATTCTATCACAGCTTGAGGCAATTGCAAATAGGCCCGCAAAGGATTACATTTTCACTGCTGGTGGCTACGATTCACTGAAAAATCTCGTTACTTCAGTGAGTGATTTTTCAAGCTTGTAAAACATGAAGTCAATTTATTGCCCTCTTTTAGAATTAGTAGGTGAATTCTTCTAAAGCATGGATTTACTGAAGATGCTTAGACCTTTCCTTGATTTAGCTAAAACTTTACTGTGTATAATATCCTACTATGAAAAGCTTCTGCAGCCAAGACCCTTATAAAATTCTTTATTTTATTTCAGTCTTTTATTTTATAAGAATCTTTTTAGAATGGAACAATTTTGCCCGTACCCTCGTTAGGGGGCATGGAACATATCTTTGATGTAGACTGAGGCCCATTTGTAAGTTAACACAATATACAAAGTAAATCTGTGAGGTGTCATGAAATTTGGACTTCAATCTGGCTTGTAGGGGAGGAATCTGGATCAATCTTGAGGGTGTAACAAAGGGCTGTTACGTTGCTCAATATAATTTTTTAGAATAATTTTATGTTTTCTTCCATAGATTGTGGATAAGACATGCATTGAGATATTAGCTGCTGAGCCTACGCATATTTGTGCTGGAGGTAAATTTCAAACCATTTACTTCAATTAGGCTACTTGTTGCATAATACCGTTTGCAAACGTATAGACATATCGCACATTCATAGGATTGTATTATATATACTATTACATATGTACCGCATAATATAGTATTATATCATAAAGTATTACATTATATAATATTACGTCATATATGTATTACGATATATATGTATTTCGTCATATATTTATTACGTCATATAGTATTACGTTATGTAGTATGACATCATACATTATATAGAATTACTTCATAATGTATTCAATTAAATATATACAGTATTGCATTATATAGTATGACATCATATATGTATTTCATTATGTAGTATTATGTCATATAGTATTAGATGAATGTGAAGGTTCATTTTACCGATGCAGTCTTTTGCATACAAATTTTTGCATACCAATACAGAAAGAGTAAAGCGTTTTCAATTCTTGCAACACGGATTTTTATCTCTTTGCTGCTTAGTTATAAATCCTTCTTTTACGTTCATCATTCATATTCAACAAATATTCAATGGTTTAACAAGGCGGCCAAATCGTCTTAATTTTCACAGAGCATTAATGTTGGACATTGTTCAGTGGATTGTTGAGAGCGTTTAGTCGGGGCCTAAGGATTTAGAAAAAACAAGCTGGTAGCCTAGATTAAAATCGAAGAGAAGAGCATTGTTTCTGCCATATTTAAAATTTAACTTTACAAAGAAAAACCTTTATGCATTTACAAGACTCAGTTAGTTGTAGTATCATTATTGATTTATTTCTGAACAGAGAAATTCAAAGTGTCCCTTACTGGTTATGGATTCACGAAAACCAACAATATTAGCAACGTCTTTTGCAGATTTCAGCAAAATGAAACACATTATCAAGGTATGTATACATGGTTTGATTTTTCTATGATATATCTGTACCTATAGCCTTGTCATATTCTCAGTTCTTCAGTTCCATGTCGAGTATGATGTTTACGTATACCTTCTTTTTGTCCGTTTTCGATAAATGCATCTCCTTAGAAATGTTTCTAGCGATAGCAAACAATTATTAAGGCAAATTTATACGCAGGTATGCTTCAGGCCCCGCTAATTCTTGTTAAGTAGCTCAATTACGTTTATATAAAAAAGCATTATACTCAATTACGTAGCTAAACTACGTAGCTAGATATATAAAAAAGCTTTATAGGACGTAGTGAATTGTCATCAGATCCATTTTGAATTTTAGGTATTTCAGCCTCTTGTTATGTCTCATAACCATAACTATGTTGGGGTTAAGACTTTATGGACAAGCGTTGAGTATGATGAAAAATTGTACGAATATGTACCTAAAATGCAGATTCTAATGCGCACTTCTGACAGAAGACATTTTATGTTGCTGGTTGAGGGTCGTCACTGACACTTCATTCGAGCTACAGAATGTGTCAGTAGCTCAGTTTTTACCACGTGAATACCAATCGACTAGAGATTCATTTTCATATACATTAATCTAACTTTTGCAGTCACCAAGCCATCGAAAGTCACCTCGACTCATCTTATGTGCCCTTCTCCAGCCATTGATGAGCCTCACAGGTAACAAAAAAGCTGGTTACTCATTTTTGCTTGTTCTTTAGAAGCCTGTACTTCCTACTGCTATAGCACTTTTTGAATTATTTTCAACTCAACCGTTCTAAAAGCCATTAAAGGTGCAGAATCTATTGAAGGTGCAGATTTGCCTTCCTGTCTTTGTTTAATATCTTCTAAGGACTGGCGTGTAACGATAAAAAGAGGCAGAGAGCTGGCGACTCCCTTCACCTTAGATGAATGTTTGGTCATGTTAGAAACTCGAGCTCCTGGCCCTTGGATCTGTTCTCCGCGACCCTAGCCACTGAGCAACCCTCGCATCTTACCTTAATTTTGAGGTAACAGAATGGAAGATTTTTTTCTTTGAGCACAGACTTGCTTATCTGCGCTCCTCCATGGAAGACTTTTTACGTTTTGGTTCCATCGTTGGTCAGTAATGTATTATTTGAGTCAGGCAGAAAATATCGTGGAATCCCCGTGACACTCGTTTAATTATACCAGACCTTGACATCTACAGTTGCTTTTCTTGTCAGTGGGCTGTAGCCGCTAAATATTGAAAATGCCAGCTTCTGATTCCGATTTTGAAATGATGAATTTGTACGTGTATATATAAATGCAAGATTCTTAAATGACCCACTCTTATTTGGCACTCCTATTTTTTTTTATCGTGAAGATTTCAGTTTTTAAATTGGCGATATGAAAATGATACACATGATCGTATCTTCTAAGATTATTGCCCTGATTATCCTGCAGTTCTGTTGTCCTCCAAGTCTCAGTCAACGGGAAAACTTTCGTTTCAAGCAATGTGACTGTTACTGCTGTCAACTGCCAGGTATGATAATATAAGCTTTATGCATAATTATTCGTAATGCATAATTATAATCTTTTTAACACAATAATTAATTATGCTCATTTTTGAAAAGACAACACTATTATCGTTAGGAACGCTATCTTTTGATGAAATTTTCTGTCATTTGCTTGGTGAAAAAGGACCCAAAACGAATCTTAGATATGTAATAAAACTTCAGATTAAACAAAGTCTATTAGATATGCATTGTAAACAGAGCTCTTGTGTAAAGAACGCAAAAAGGCATTACTAGAAAACATTTTCTCGGCATGGTAATACCGAGCCTTTACGTGTTTGTCGCTTAACGATTTTACCGGCTGTTTTAGACGATTGTACAGATGCTTGATGATCGCATTAAGCATAAAACGTAGAGTAGCAACTCAAAACCGTCCTGTTCTATACACCAAATAGCGAGGTGGAAAATTGTATAGAAAAAAAATACCTTCATGCTGTTCATCTTTCTATGCTGTTTCATGTCCTGTCTGATCGTGGTTGAGATCTTTGTATATCTTGCTTACAAACAGACGTCTATTTGTTTGTTTTCTTCCTGCTATGCATTCTCACTCTTTGAACTAAAGTAGCAAATGAATAGATATATTATGAATAAGAACTAGGGTGTGAAATAGTTTGCACTTTGAGGTACAAACGCCTACTGATATCCAAGAATTGATTTCATTTGAGTTTTTGCTTTAGAAAAACTTTCAATGTTGCTGTTTAAATCCTTTGAAGTTTGTGATTAATGGGTCTCTTTGATATAATATATTCTTACTTTGTTTATATAGAAAACGAAGTCTTCGAAAACAGAAAAAAGTTACGGAAAAGCCCTGCTGATTCTCTTTCTGGTTCTGCTCTTTCTATCCTTGGTCTTAATTTGGTGGTTTTGGAAGCTGTTGCCTTGTGTGGTACGTTAACTGAACATATTATTACATTGCAAATGCAAAGCATCAGATGTAAAGGTTGAGAGAATGACAACATTTCTTATAATTTGTAGTATTATTTGAAATTGCGAACAGAACGTCGTCATCTTAAAATGAGAGGAAATTTCTTCCACCAGTGTTACTATTGAAACTAATAATGCTTAGTGCCGTTGAGAAAGTTAATTTTTTGAGGACAACCTTTTCGATCTTAATTTTGTTTAAAGTGTACTTCTTCATTTTCTGTTTGGTTAGCGAAAAATCCTTGATAATCAGATTTCAAATTAAGTTTGTTGATTCAATGCTTATTGTATTTTTTATTCAAACCATTCTAATTTCTAGAAGCCTGACCCGAGTCCCCCGTTCATTGACACAGACGATTCTGAGGTGAGGTTTTTTCATGAACCATTTGAAGCTATCAGTGAGAATAGATTTACAAGAAGTTTTGTATATTTTTACTGATGAAGTTAAAGCTAAACACCAGAAGAACATGTTTGGTTGAGAATCCTATATTAGATTTCAAACGTTTTTAGTTACGGGCCGATAAGCAACCTAGTTAGTAGGATTAAACATGTAGAGATGTAATTAGAAGACTGGTGGCTTTCTTGAGTACACGCTTGACTCTATATATTAATAGATATGTGCATATGTAAATATGTAGAGTATGTAAAATATATATTGTTATTTGTTAATATATAAGAACAAGTATGCGTTCTCTATTCTGAAATACGTGCTCATCAACACACTGAAGTACAGAGCAATAAACACTTTAGAAGTCAGTTTACCTTTTGAAAGAATCTGTCTGATGAGCGCGCAAGGATGAAACTTGGAGTACATTGAACATGTCTAGCCTTTAATCGAACTTCTATTATGAATTTGCAAAAATATATATTTATTTTCTCATCAACATGTATGTCAAAGTATTCAAATATGAATCTAAGCTCATTACCTTGGATGTGGTATCTGTCGTATCAAAAATTTGTTTCAATTATTCAAGGCGAAAAAGAAGAAATGGCCTACTGTTGATGCTTCGTTTTATGGTGGAGGTGGAGTCGGGGGCATGAAGCCTGTCAGGGTGAGTATAGTGAGGCCTTCCTTTCAGAAACTGTAACAATGGTTAGATTTAGGAAAGCTTGTGTGGCTAGGGCCTAAGGTAAGAAAACTCGGCTAGGAAAAAATGTAATGGACTGACAGTGCAAAGTACGAAATGAGTTTAGGCCTATAGGGATAAGTAAGAATCAAATAATTTCACTGAGCCTACCAAACTTAACCTATGTTCCAGACCTCTACTTTCAAATGAGGGGTGTGGAACACAGGCCAGCCAAACGAGACATCATAATGACAAACGGATACCAAAATATATAGGCTTTTCATTAAAGTTACCCCTTACTTGGAATATCTAGTCGATTGCTCTCTAAGCTCGTTATCAAGGAAATTTAAACTACATTTAGCCAGAAAGTAATTAAAGGTCTCCTGTCTCTGAACTTCTGTGCGGATGTGGGTATTTAGAGCCCACATACTCCAAAGTTCAAAGATTTGAGGATCCATGGTGCCCTTTTCAATCGTTTCTGACCCAATTTTTTTTGGGTTGTCTACCAATCCCTCGTAAAAGAGCACAGAATTCGCAGATGTTGTTTTCAATTCTCTGTGTTATAAAATTTCAAACCACATTTCCACCAATATCCTAATCACTAAAAGCCTTGGTCTTTTTCAAACCTTGGTCGACTCCGCTTATAGTCACACCAAATGTTACTTGAAATGCTTCGACAGTGAGTTGAGTGTGACCGTAAACGGATTTATGAACGGATTTAAATTTTATGTAATCTTAAAAGGTATAATGAGTTTAAGTGAATGGACTTTGAGCGGAGGCGAGTGTAGTGTAGCAGAACAAAAATTATAGCAGGATTGATTAATTTATAAAGTTAACGTTACTGGCAGTCTTCATGATTTTTACTACTACTACAAGTATGTGAATTGAATTGGGTGTTCTCCCTTCTAATAGATGAATTTGGTGTTCTCCCTTCTTAAAGATCAATTGGGTTTCCTCCCTCACACGACCACTCCCACGACCACTCCCACGACCCCTCTTTTGCCCCTTCCTACAACTCCTCCCACGACCCTCTTACGACTCCTCTTCTGACTCTCCTTGCAAGCCCTTCCAAGACCTCTCTTACGATTCCTCCCACGAACCCTCTTACGACCTCTTCCCCTTCCAGTTATAGAATACTCTTCTCTGCTCATATATAAATGTAACGAATTACCTCAAACATTTTGGTGTTTTATAGGTCAACTGGGGTGACAAAGGAGCCACAGAAGCTGGAAACAAGCTGGCAAAACCCGAGGTATTTAGGACCAATAGCATTTGTTTCTCGATTGCATAAGAAGGTAAACTTGATTATATGAAGAATAATTGAATAGGAAGAGAAGGGGTGTCCACAATGATTCCATGTTTTTCTAGAAGAGAATTGTGCCAGCACCACAAAGTGAGACCATACGGTCTTACCGGTAAATCTTTACTGTCAGTATGAGAATCGTTTTAAATACTAAATATAAAAGTAGCTTTATTTAAGCGCGCCTGTAATATAAAAGTAGATTTTTTATTGAAATAACAACTGTTTATAAAGCTTCAAAAAAATCTCAAGAGAAGATTCACGATTGAGCTGAATACAAGTGTTTATTGTGCAAAAAGTTGACAAAGCAGAATTCCTGACTCTGTTATATACTGTAATCTGTCAATCGATTTTTGTCTGAAACTCAAATAAACCAACGTCAATTTGAATGTGATTGTCATTGTTTATAATCAAATTTTATACAATATATAATAAGAAGATATGCATCCTTTATTAACGTAAAACTTAAACTCAGCGTTTGACCGTAGGCAAATGAGCCTTTTACCTCAAAGACATAAATTATGTTAAATTATGCGTTTTATGAAATTGAAGCTGGCTTGTCATGCATGGCTCGAAAATACGTATGATTTTAAAAACTGTCTTTTTTAGCTTAGTATCTAGTTTTATATGTTTAATTATTTATATGTTTGATTATTTATATGTTTGATTATTTTTGTACGGTTTCTGCATTTGATGCTGTAATTGTCTTACTGTGAAATTCATTCCTTAGTTCTACGATATTCGTCTTTCAGGATGCCAAAATTATCGTTGATTCGACATCAGAATGCGGGGATATGGGAGATGCAAAGCCGAACTGTTCCACAATAGCGAAAGTAAGTTGCTACCTCTGTTTAGAAATCAGAAAAAGTGCCGAAGAAAACATTCTAAACATGGTTAGATCTATAAATACTTCACGTCTTGAAATTTCCCACGACCGCAGCTGTTTCAATTATATTTTCCAAGGCCTTATTTAATTTAGAAATTACAACATAATTAACAGGACTAAATTTTGAGAGATAAAGCAACAACGGGATACTAATAACGATTTCAGCGAAGGCTTTGCTGGGTTGTCTAAGATTGGTCTGTTTCAAATTTGTAACAAGTCGTCCTTGCTCTATCATTCTCTGCTTTCATGTGTTTGCATATTTTTAAAAGATCCATGTTAAAATAAACTCACGCAGCGTGCTGCTTGCAAATCTAAATAAATCTATATGCTACAAAGGGAAGCATCAGCTAAAAAGGCTGCTTCAATCACTAAATTCATTATTGTATGCTTGATTTCAGTGTTGAATCGTAATCATCATAATCATAATTTTTACTCGCAGATCCAGCTTCTTGCTCTATGTGGTTTCTTCAAGGGGCTTTACAGCAGATTTGCTGCCCGAAGACCAATCAAGGGAGGCCTAAACGTGAGTTTTCACGTTATATTAGTACAGGGAAACTTCTCAATGTAGACAATGGGTAGAATTGCCCCGTTAGAAAATTTTCCGTCGCTTATTGAGTGTCAACTGTTGAATTCAGCCTTTAAGGAAGCAATGATAGTAGCTTCAGATAAGGCTACAATAATGTGTAACATCAACTTTTTTTCATTCTTTAGAAGCTGTACACATCCAAGTCAGAAAACTATGAGCGTGCTAGGAGTGCACTCAGCTCAATCTCCAGCCAAACCGCCTAGAAAGCATCTTTCAACTCGACCTGATGTGTGCGAGCTGCTGCTTTTCGTGTTTAAGACATAGAGAAGGCTTTAGATCAAACGGAAGAGATAGAAAAGAACACGCAGAAGTGACAGACAGTTGTGATGCCCGCTAGTTAGTCTTTGAAAGGGCTGCTTGATGAGCTTTAGACTAAAATTTCACTTCTTATCAGAGTGAAAGTTTCATTTAAACCGTTTGCTAGAGATTAAGCGATTTTTGTATGTTCTAGGGTTACAAATTTCCCCAATTTATTCTCCCTACCGAATGTTCCCCCGCCCCTTTGTACACTGATTATGCTGAAAACTTTTAACACTTATCATATATTTGCAGTATTTTACTATTTGATAGCTATCTGAAGGCTTTTGTGAACATTTCCTCAACTTTTCTGATCGTCCCTCTCACTCCCATTTATGGATCTTTGTCACCCCTTATATACATTGCTCAAGCTTTAGGCTCCAACGAATAGAGCAGGGTACTGAATTCTGGGTCTCGTTTTTATGGTCCATATCGCAAAAATCGCACACCCTAACACAATGCAACAAAATATTTTCCTGCCTCCAAAGAAAAAGACAGTCTTTCTGCTCCAAGACATTGTCAATGACATTTTGCTTTAACATTAAGTGCTTGTTGCTTTAGTCCAAAAGGGGAATGATCCACACACACTGTCCTATAAATCATTTAGTACAACGACAACAATATCAAACTTAGAAGTTAAAAAAGTCTTTTTGTTGAAGGGAAAATTCCAGTCTTTGGTAAAAAAGGATCTACCCGAGTTCACTTAGTTACAACTTTCCCTTGTCAATCACTGCTTAATTAAGTTCTTTATTAAGACTTAAAATATTATAATATCTGATGTACCCGTAAATCTTAAAGTACCTTGATAACTAGGATGTATTTGAAGAACATGCTTTGTAGAAGCACTTATTTGTTTTGAATACGTAAAATATTCAAAGTAACGTTGTAAATTAAAGTAGATAATTTTTTGTCAAAGATGTAACCTGTAAGATTTTCGCATTTTTAGAATGTGTAAAAATTTTATTAATTTATTAGGCTTTCACTTTGTATATTGTTGTCAGTTTCTGAATATTTTTTTGCGTTTTATCATTACGTTTGTGTTTTGATCGGCCTGTTTGTTTATCACAATCTTTCCTTCGCCAAACGAATAATCTAAGCACTCCCCTTTCACATCTTTCGTAAACAATCACTTTTTGTGTTTCCCCACCTGATTAAATGTTTACCGTGCATTGAAAAAAAACAATTTATTTATAATGAACTTTATTTGAAGTTTCGAGTATGAATCGTCGATGGAAAATAATTTCAAGGTTTATTTTCTAGACAGTCTATTTCTTCTCAAAGTTATATTTGGAGAGTTTTTCAAAGTATTTAAAGAAATTTTGAACTATATACCAAATTGATTTTGTATTCATTGAAATATTCCGTTTGTATGTCTCCAAACCTTTTCAATTGCCACTGAAAAATTTAAACAAAAGCCATCGCTTATTGACGCATTTCTAGCCTGCTTACCTGAAACACGGACGGTTGCTATAGCATTGCATCGAGATTTTCAACATCACTCGTACTCCTTTTTAAATGATAACGAGAAGATCAAAATTCATGTGGAAAATTGACCATTCTATCAGTCTTTCCACAGTCTATGATTTAGCTAAGCAAAAAGTTGATTAAAATAAAAACAGTCTTTGATCGATCATCGTACTTCATATGAGACATTCAAGTCATTACAAGGCTAAATCATTGTGTTTGAATATAGCTGTACCAAAAAACAAGGAGCAACCGAATGTGTATCATACCGGATTACAATAATGATGCCATGTGACAAAATTGCTACTTAGAAAAATAGTGATGAATAAGAGCCAGATAGACCAGATAGAGTACAACGAAGAATCGTGGACTTGCTGGAGACAAACGGACAACGAATGCAATTGCTATCTCAATATAGCCATATTTTTACCACAATATAGCAATTGCTATCTCAATATGCAGCAGCAGTTTTAGGGACTGCGGGGCCCGGCGTTAAAACATCTGTGGGACCCTTTTTCTTTACAATTTCTATCTTTTTTCTTAGTTGTAAGGCCCCTTTTGGCTAGCATCATAAGCGCGGGGCCTGGGGCAATGGCCCCCTAGACACCCCTTTAAAACCGCCACTGGCTCTATGTTCTTATTTTTTGCATAATTTGAGGCTCGATTTGGCGTTTGGAAATGGATGGTTCGTAGTTGCAACTGGGTGGTGAAGGCCTGTGACGCGCAGGGTAGTTCTTGTCTTATTATTATGGTCTTGTTACTATTGCAAATCGAGCCACTGTGTTCTTGTGAAGTGTGTTCTTATTAAAAAGAGTTTATGTCCGTTTTTAGCTTAGTTTAATTTACTAACTCGTGAATAAAATACCAAAAAAATGAAGGGAAAAAGCTCCCTCAGAAATCATGCCCTAGACATCAGAAAATCAGTCATGAGGCTACGTTCCCACATCATCGAGAGCGAGTTGGGCCGTTGGTGCATCGGCGCAAATCGCTAAACCTACCACTGATTTAAACAGGAAGAGGTTACTTTGGAATTTTCTATAGTAACCCCCAAATTTAATTGATAAAGGGGAGGGAATGGACAAGAAAAGACTCTTTTCTCCACTAACAGCCGATGCACCAGTCCTGCCTAATAGCATCCAAATAAATGCTAACAGCATAAAGGAATGCCTAAAGGTACGAGAAATTTTATTGAAGGCATCAAGAGAAAAAGAAAAAGGGAGGGGGGGGCGGGAAAATAAACAGCACACTCTATTTGTCGCCTTTCACTAAGCAAAGTGAAACCAACCTTAAAATACCCCCAAGAATAACCTAGGGAATGAAAACCGCCATAAATCTTGCCCTAGCATTACTAAACTAAACCCCCGGAGGCCAAGACTACTTCGCAATACCAATAAACGAGTAACGCAAATGCAAGAGAACCACGAGAAAGCGTGGCACATGAGACCAAAAATATGAATAAAAGTCAATAATCAACTCAGGAGTAACAGCCAATGCAAAAGCCCCTCGTGAAATTAACTCTCATTAAATTTCATTAAATTATCCTTAAATTCAATAAACGCCTCCCTTTAACGCCCCTACCTTCGAGAGGAAGAAGTTTGTTAACGCTCAGGGCTAAGCAATGTACCTGTCCTTTTAGTGGGTACTGCGGGGAACCAATGCGCCTGTTCTGCTGTGGTACGATATCAGATGATCTGATGCTGGCCGTCAGAAATGAAAGTTGAAAGACACGGATAAAGGACGTCCTTTACAAATAACACGGAAGCTGGAGCACGAGTATAATCACCTTAAATTTGGTTAAAGATCGGTCTACCACATAAGAATAAACAAGCTTGTTATTTGTAGATGTCTACCCTGTGATCAAATGCTACAAAATGAAGGCCTAAGAAGAGAAGATTCCCAAGTCAGGGCACAAATATTGTGGAAAAGAGAAACCGACATTTAAGCCGAGACTAAGGAAAGAAAAACAGTTACCAATGAATTATTTCAAAGGGTTTGTTTCAAATGTAAAAGGTTTTTACGATGGCATCAACCCTGCAACGCTGACAGGGGCCATAGATGTAATAGTAGTACGTCAGGAAGATGGAAGTCTTGTTGGGAGTCCATTTCATGTTCGTTTCGGAAAACTTGGTGTCCTTCGAGCTAGAGAAAAAGTGGTAAGTTACACTCATTTTCATAGCATATGGTATGACATCTGTGTAAAGATAGGACGTGTCTCAATTTGCAAATTGGACGTTACATTACATTGCTGTTTTTTGCGCTACAGGTATTTTTCATAAACAGACACTTTAAAGTTAACGACCCCTGACCTGGCTATGAATGGACGTGAAATTCAATATTATGTTCACTTTGATGTCAGGAATATTGCCATCACGCAAGACAACTTGATTTTGAGTCCAACTAATGTACGCAATAGCTCTTGCTTTCTTTTCACCCTCAGGTCCCGTTTACGAATAAAGGAGGAAGCGACATTTCTCACCCAAGTTGTAACTGATTGTTTTGCATTCCAGAGATTAGATTACGATGCGGAAATGTCTGTGAATTATTTCTCTTCTTTGGATTACTGATGCGTTATTCTATCACCATGCCCAGTGGGTGGTGCTAATTTTCATGGAATAACTGTTTTTCTATAGAAGAATTGTGAAGATAAAACAAATGTAATTACATGATTGTCTCACAAGGTAGAATCTTAGTGGGCTTTCATCATATTAAAGCAATTGGAGAAATATTTAATCAGCAATATCTTCTATGTTTATGCACAATGATCAAATCTGCAGAAAGGTTCTTGTGATATAGTCAGGAGTATAGCATCTAGCTGTTGCGGAAATTCAGGTTTCCATTTAGTGGGGATGTAGCTTAGACCAATGATTGTCTCACAAGGTAACACCTTGATGGGCTTTCACCAAATTAAGTGCCAAATATCTTATAAAAGCTTAAGGCCCCCACGTCACCATTTTTCCACCATTGCATCAAGGGGTCAAAGCGGCTTATCTCCCCAATTTTTTTCTAATCTTTGAACTTGCGAGTTGCTTTGCCAAAACTGTCTAGGAATGTTTTTGTCAAGGATTTCATCAATCTCTCCACAATAAATACTAGCATGTACAACAGAAGATAACATTTCTTTAAACAGTGGAATCCTTATTTTAATAAAGGATCAACTCAAACAACAGCACAGCCTTTTTTACTGAAATGATAAGGATTCCCTTGAAGTGGCAAAGTCACAAGTAACAATTCCACCAAATCACTTACAGTAACAGTCCATGTTTCTATCAAAATGCTGAGTAAATAATTTCCAATTTTTCTCAATTTCTCCAATAATCTACACTGCAAATCAGCTCTTGCTTCAAGGTTGCAGCTTAATGTGAAACATAGTAAAGCAAATCACTCAGACTGGAGAGAGTGTCTATTCAGAAGCCTGTTTGTTTTCAACTCTACCTGTTTTTTCAACACTGCCTGTTTTAAGAATTCAGTTATGTTTACTGTGTAATCATATTGTAAATAGCTATGAAACTTTTCCTATATCTTCCTTTTGTTTTATATGTTTTTGGTATGTATCACACAGTTTACAAGAATACAACCATGTAATATTAAACAACCATGCTCCCGAAGCTTTACATGAACATTGAATTTGTAAATCAATCATGTAGCACAACTGCAAAGAAAGAAAACAGAAGAAAGTGACAAATCTTAATAAATAAATAGCAACTGTTGACTGATTTATGATTTTATCCATCCTTGTTCAAGGTTGATATTTCTGTCAATGATCAAGATGTTGATTTACACATGAAGCTAGGAGATGCTGGTGAAGCATTTTTTGTCCAAGAATGTCCAGAAGAAAGTTTTCCCACTGAACTGGCAACTTCTCCTATTCCTTCTATGGATGATCTTATGAGTGAAGGTGTGAAGCAGCTGCATCAGGCATCAAAAGAGCAGGTAACAAGTTGCCTGAAATTATTTCAGGCATTTGTACCCCCCTAAGTGTTGTGCGTTCTTGTATGAATCTTGTTCCTATTTGGTACTTGTCTTTCTATAGAAGGGATGCAGCAGCCACTTGAGATGGACTGCCATAGACTTTTATAAAGAATTAAGGCTATCTTTTGTCTGGTTCTTGGAGTGTAAGAATCTTTAAACAAGTGATTAGATTTTTAAGATCAATTATTGTAATGTTAGATAAGTTGTTGAAACCATGGGATCCCTTTTTTGAAACACTGATAATAAGTTTTGTAAAAAACAGTTGGATCAGTTGACATTCTTTCCTCGTGATAAGTTTTCAGAGACCAGGCTATAGCATTTTCTGCAACCTCATCATAGACAGAGTCCATAAGAGAATAAATAATAATTAAGCTGTTTTGACCTGGAGGCGTAATTCACCTGTGCACAATCAACAGGTGGTGCATGATTTAGTCTTTTAGAAAAGTAACCTTATTGGTGTTATGGTCACAGAAGAAATACTGTGTAACCCATAAACTAGCAAACAACCAGCATATCCAGAAGCAGCTAGGCTTTAAAGGCCAATCTCCATTAAAGCAACACTCAGTGATCGCTTCGCGCAGCTGTAAGCGAACAGCAGTTGAATATCCATTCTCTCCTCTGATCGCTAGCAAAATGTAGGAAAAGATTCGCTAGCGATCCCTCTTCATTTCTCGTGACTTCAGGTGCATTTAATCAGAAAAATAGTAAATATAGAGTCCAGAAACGGAGAAAGTTATTTTGTGAACGTTAAAAGAAAGACAAATTTCATCACATTATTTTGGAGATGAAACTTTGCGATCATGAGTTTTTCTTTCGATATTTTCACCTAACATTAAAAATGTGAGATCCATCATTTCCATATTTTCTATGGTGTCCACAGATCAGCCTTGATCTGTCCGAGAAAACAACTGTTCACAGCTTGCCATCTTCCAATCTGCATATAGTTACGGAACCTTTCATTGGCAATCACCGAAAAGTTCAACCAAATTGGACTACTGAGCAGAGATAACACAGCAGAGAATCTTTAGCATTAATGGAAGTATATATAGGGTGTGGCCATAGGTGTGGTCTTGGGTATGGCTTCTAGAAGTTGGTTACAGTACAGCCCCCCTTTCTAACTTTTTAGGAAGGCATACCTACTTAAAGGGTTTTGAAACTTTATATTTATGATGTATGCTGCTGTCTTTAGCTGTCATTACTTTAAGTTTGGGACTATTGCATACAAAATTTAAAAAATATTTCTATTGACAGAAATTATTTCAGGGAGAGATGTAAGGAAAGTTTCATAGATATAGTTTCATTAGATAGGTTTACCTGATATATTTGGATATGCTATGAACTTTGTTTTATTGGTTTTGATTTATTTTTTGTTGGTATTTATTTATTGGTATTATTTGTATACTTTAATGTATTTTGAGAGCTTAAAGTCAAAGAAGCAATTGCTTTTTAATTCATTTGATTATAAGCTGGCTGACACCAATTAATACTACTAATGCCTCTCGTTTATCTAAAAAATACATATGTACCTAAATCAAATTCCTAACAAATGCAAAGAATATGTTGCCTTGTACTAATTCCCTTTTTGTCAACCTTTTGTTAAGGATAAACTGGAAATTGAAACCTCAACCCAAGCATTTACTTATGGTAGCTGGGGTCAAGAACCAGGTGGGACAAGTAATTCATTGAGCGAGGAAGGGCTTTTGGTGCCAGTAATTTCTGCTGAAAGGAAACAAGTTGATGAAAACCAAGAAACAAGTAGCCCTCCCACCCCAAAGAAAGATGGCACACCGTTGGATAGTCCTGAGAAGCATCAGAATGTGGTATTTATTCTCCTTATCAAATTTAGACCTCAAAGTATTTGAATCTTGTAGTATTTGTGCAAAGATAAGATGGACAATCAAAAATTAAAAAGCCGCAGAGTCATAATCATTATTTGTTGAAAGATTATGCTGCTTGTTTACCTGCTGGAGATATTGGATTATGAGTGTTTTACTGATGTGCCATTAGATGATACACTTGATCTAAATCTAGAAACTTGTTAGTTTGGCAACTCCAGCTTTTTCCTTTGCACATACATTAAATAACATGCTATCCTAAAGGACAGTGGTTCATATGTTCTGTGAAATAGTATATGCAAATAATGTGGAACCTCTGCTATACTACTTTTGAACATTTTCAATGCCTCTCCTAGTAAAATATGCCACAAAAATCATCTGAAGAATTTTCAAAATGGATAGTTTTAGAGCACTTTTCCCTAAGGACACTTTCATAGGTCCAGCCCATCAAATATTTTGGTAAATTATTATTTGTAATTTGATAAAAATGAATGAATTTAAGATCTTGGAATATTTCTTATTGCAGAGTCCTGCAAGGGCACTTCCAGATGGACCTACACCTTCTGTTAGCATTCCCATTCCAAATGGAAACAATAACAGAGTTAGAAAAATGTCTGACAGTGATGATCAGGTATTTTATGTTAAATTTTCTTAGAAATAAAGAACTTCTTTTTTGCTAAGATACTTCACAAGTTTCATCTCTAAAGATTTTAAATAAGCTAGCTCTTTGTTATTTCTTGATTTGTTTAACTTTGGATGACCTCTACTTCTAAGAAATTCTCTTATTTTATATGATTCTTATTTTTTCTACATTTGTTTTATATATCAATAAACAACTAAAACTAACAATTAATCAATTTGAATCTCTGATATATAGAAATTTACAAGGTTAACAATCTAGAAATAGATCCTAAAATTCTAACAGTGCTAGTTATGATTTGTTCTGAAAATTGGTTGAATTTTTTAAAGAACTGCCCAGTTGCATTCATATTAATAGATTTAGCATGCCAGCTTGCATCCTCTATCTAAACCTTTATTTATTCTTAATTGCAGCTCTCCATTGCTTGCTCCCCTGAAAGTCTGGATTTTTTGACAGGGGAATACCCATTTTCTGATATGGATGTTCCCATTGGCACTTCAGTTGGGACCACAAAGTAAGATTTCAGATTCCATTTTTTATCTACCAAGCCTGGTACATCCAAGTATGCAGGAGTAAAAAAAAGTTGTATAGAAATGGTAGATGGGGGTTTGATCAGATAGCAAAGAAATTTTTAATGGGAGGCTTGATTACTTGATGCTAATAACTTGCTCTTAAGCAATTATTTTGGAATATATGAAATAGCATACACATATTTAGATGAAAGAATTTCAAATCTTTGTTTAAATTGTATCTATAGATTTATGGTATTATGTAACAAGTGGTGAAACAGGAATATGAGAAACAGGGCAGTATAAGAAGCAATTACCTTTGTATCATTCAACAGACTAATGAATAAGATATATTGCCTGGATGTATATAATGTGATACCTGTTTCCCATTTCTATTTGCAGTAGTGGAAAAGAAAGGGTTGATCCAAGAATGGTTCTTAGTGACACTGAGGCAGAAATTGCCACAGCCCAACAGAAGGAAAGAGTTAAAGCTGATACAGATGTCACTTGGGAATGGGGAGAACTCCCTCAGGTACCATATCCAGTTTCTTTTTTATTTGAATATTTCAGAAAGCAATGGCAGTGTGAAATGAGAGAAGCAGTCTCATAGGCTCTTTTGGACATGTTAGCCACAAGATTCTTACAAATTTGATGGTTGGGGATGAGACGTTTTCTCAGTTACCAGAAACAAATTTGATGCCCCTTATGGTGGAAGGCCATTTGCAACTTGGTTTATGGAATGTCAAAAATGTAGATTATCAGTATCGTCAGATATTGTCAAGAACTAATCCGATTTCTTAAATATAACCTTACACAACAATTTAGCTCACTGTATTAACGGGGTTAGTAGGAATGAGTGTTTAATTGATTGAGCTCTTAGAGTTTGCTAGATGCATTGGAGGCACTTGATCAAGCTTGGGTGTCTCTCCATGCAAGGCCTTTGGGTTGCTGGGGCTGCCACTGTCAGAAAATATGGACATGAATAAGAAATGATTTTCAAATCAGCTCAGATACAGTTTTGGTGCAACTGCCCCTTTGCTGCTATCTGGTTTGAAAACTGATTTTGTATTGATGTGATCAATATTGACAAAATTGAAAATATATAATGTTGTGTTTTGATCATACCTTAAGTTTTTGTTTTGAATCTTTGTTGTGAGCAATTACTCATTGCAGGGTCCAGTGAAGATTGAAAGAGGGACACAAAATGAATCTGGTTAGTTTTGTTGTATTCCCATGTCTTCAAGTACATAGAAACTTCCTGATAACAGAAATCATTAGAATCTGATACACTGGTGATAGAGGGTGTCCTTTGTTTTGAATATGCTTCTACAAGACTGCAGAAATAAAATGGCTAGAACATGTGTCTAAAAGGTTGCCATCACTGTTACACCCTGTTTTTTTTTGCTATGCAATCCCCTCTCTTGCCAAAGGTTGTACAGGGTCTCTAGTAAGTAAGTACCAATTGTAAACATACTCTACAATGAATTTGACTCGTAAAACTTCATGCAGATATGGGCTTTTAAGCTCTTTGTATACTCAGGTGATCTTGTTTATCTAATTATTTGTATGTTAGTTTAAGTTATTGGCTGTTTATATGTTTATTCGAAGTTTATTTCCACTCAGGAAGGAAGAAGCGCTCCGAGAAGACATCAAAGAGCAAATCAAAGGTGAGAATCTATTCTGTTAGGAAAAGCCTAATTCTTAGTACAAATATTTTTGTAAGCCACTGTCTAGAGCTTTGAAATTAGATCATCAATTTGGTAATACCAAACAGCAATTTGGTAATACCAAAAATATTGATACAGCATGAGAAGTTTGTGCTATGAGAAGTTTTCAATGTCTAAAATAATTTAGGTTGGTTACTCCACAAGAATCTGCTGCTTCTACTTAGAAAATAAAATTGTTAGATTTTCTGCGAGATTTCTTGAAATAGTATTACTTTAATAAATACTTTGTTTCCATTTCCGAAAATATTTTTCCTTTGTTTGCTACCAGCATCTCTCTGAGGGTCTCTACCTTGACGACGTTTTACAAGCTGATGCTGAAGTGGCTGCATTGTATCTCAACAGGCAAGTTCTAATTTTTTGTCAGTTCAAGGTTCTAGCCAGGTCCCATTTGCTTTATAATTGGGACATTTTTGGTTCTTAATTTGTATTACATCGGAACCACATATTTCATGAAAAGTCTTCGGTACCTTTAACTGGGAAAAATCTTCGGTACCAATTCGCATCAAATGACCTTGTGCAAATGTGACTATAACCGAGAAAGTGTTATTTTTCAGAAATTTTGAAGAGCATAGAATCATTAGCGTACCTTAATCTCCCTGGCCTTTCTGAGAAAAGGGAGCTGAAGGACTAGGTAAAGTAAAATTTGTCGATGAACACATAGGTGATGAAAACTTCGTCCCTTGATTTTACTGATCAACAACCAATTTTACCAGAAAATTGGAGGGCTGTCAGACCTAGTTTTTTCGTTTCAAATGGTTTTGCTTTAAGAGTAACTTTCAATATTGTTTCTTTTCTCGTTGCCGGATGACTTATTCGGTTTACTGCTTATTCTATGCAATTTTAACTTTCATTTTCTATTATTGAATATGCAGGCAATCATCTTATCCAGAAATAGATATCGACTCTGGAATAGGGCAAGACTCCAAACCTGTGTCTCCTATTGAGAGCTATAAAACTACAGATAAGAAAAAATCTAATCAAGAGAAAGAAATTGGGTGAGTCTTGATTTAACGAAGTGCAAGAAGTTAAAAACTGAGTTTTCTTGGGAATGCTGACAAGGACATTTGTCAGTCCTTTTTATCAATTTCAATCCAGTGCTGGTTTTTTGGAGGAAAGCTATTTTTAATTTGTTTTCAGCGCATCCCATGTTATCATGAGTTAAATAATTTCGAAACTATTTTTTTTAATTATTTTGTTGACTATGGGTAACACCAAGAATTATTCTTTGCAGATTCGATGCGAGCATATCTCTATCTCTGTGCGGTGACCTAAAGCGTGGAAAAGTTGACTCAGGTAACAAGCTATGCATGGTGTTCAGTCATTCTTCGTTTTCAGTTCTTTCAATCATTACAAATCAACTATTTGTCTTTCTTACGCTCTTTTCAATCTATGCGATTACGTCAGGGTTAAAAACGTATTCAGCGTATGTATTGCAAAAACCTATTTTTTGTTTGTCTCATTTCAGAGAAATTCAGGGAGGCTATGGTGTCATTTGAAGAGTTTTGCAAAAACCCAAGCATCTTAAATGACCCCAAACTAGTCATTAAAATGAACAACAAGTAAGTTAATTGATGAGTCAATCTTCTTAATTGTATCCGTTTGTCTTTTACCACGAATTTAGCACCCTCAATTTAGTAACAATTCTCAGTCAAGCAGAATTCAATCAAGCAGCTGGGTTGCAACAGTTAATTGAGTAGGGGCGTATTAAGTGCGAGAATCTTAGGATAAATTTTAGGGACATACTTTTTATCTTGGCTTTGAGAGTATCTCAATTTATCTTTGTTTCTGATTAGGATAATGGCATTCAAAATCTTGACAATTTGGTGGGATTGCTCGAAGAATTTGTTTTTTTTCTTCAAAGAAATGGTCCAAAAGAGGGGATTATTGACACCCCTCCCTCCTGTGACCATGCCACTGAAGTTGTAATGAGGTGCACGTGTCTTGAATATTTGTTGTTGTCAAAGGAACATCTCTGTCGCGTTTCTGTGTATGACGATTTTCATGTCAATAGGTATTTGATGTTTGGTATCAAAATTTTATGTTTATCGTCTGTCACAGGTATTATAATTGGCAAGTTGCAGCTCCATACGTCATGGCATTAGTTGCATACAGAAAACCACTACATAGGGTAAGTATGCATTTAAATGCTAAGAGGTATGGATTTAAAGTTACAAATGATATACGTAATACGGAATGTAGACAGACGTTGGAGTTAACTGCAGTTTACATCGAGAAAATTTTCTTTCTTCTGCCGTCCAATCAGCCAAAGCTTTGAAAACCTACCCCAGACAACCAACAATGTGTGGTATATATGTGCTAGTTGTGATTCGCTTATTGCAAATCGAGGGGCAATTCACTCCTGCAAATAGCGTACGAGATTTTCCCTAAAACAAAAGGATTTCTGGGGATTTTTAGATAAAACAATAGGATTTTCACAAAAGATGTACAAGATTTTCTTGGAGTGATTTGCCCCTCGTTGTAAATGGCCTTATTTGTGTTGTCGGCCGTTTGACTTAGCAGCCAATCCTTTTGCGCTTTTATTGTCTTAGGAGAATTTTAAAAGGTCGAGACGGGTGTACAGAATTTATTGCCTGACATTGTTATTTCTTTTCAGGAAACAGTTAAGTCATTAAAACAGCAATATATGCCTAGAAAAGTGAGTGATCTTCCATTGAACCTTTAATATTTTATGAATTATTTTTGTTGCTTTTCTGCAAACTTTTATCAAAAGCCGTGTTTGTTTATTGAATTAAAAGTCCTAAGCAAGTAAGTTCCCTCAGTTAAGCTCAAACCTCGATCAGTTAGCATGTGGCAAATGTGAAGGTATTTTTGACAACCTCGTGGGCACCAAAAAGTAAAACAGCCGAATTTAAGACAGAGAAACCTAGAAGATTATGTTGATAAATCTGCAACCCTTTTATAGGTCAATCAGAATTGACTGTGTCACTGAAACTGTTTAATCTTTTTTTCCCAAACTCGTTTATTCGAAGTCAAGATAGTAAATTGTATTTCCTTGAGCCCCCCACCCCTCCCATATCCTGAGATATCCCAAATCCATCTGCTCTAAACCTTAATGGGAAACAAAAATTCCAAAAGCAAGATAAGCGGCCTTCTAATATATATGAGAATAATTGTTTGATGCTTTTATTAACAGAGAAAAGGCTGGTTTTCTTGGCGCACTACGAACGACGAACAGGTAACACTTACCGTTTGCTGCTTTGGGTGTCTTCTGCAGATATCTGAAATGAATGAAGTGAAATCAGATTATTACCCACAAACCCCAACCTTAATGAGTCAACTAAACAGATCATTACAGGTTGATTTGCAATGTTTACAGTGCTAGGAAAAAGCAGCATCTTTTTATCGCAACTCTTTAAGTTACCCTTAAGAAATTTTCTTCTAAACTGGGCACTTCAACCTTTTCAATTAGAGGAGCTTTATAGTCACATCACTGTCTTATGTTTAAGTACAGTTGTCCAAGAGCATTCTATAGTGTTCTAATAATGTCTCCTTGTTTTTTCTCACTAGTAGATTAAAACACATGCAAAGAACGGTTCATTAATTTTCAGTATTACCTCAAATATTTTGCTGCCTATCGGCGACGTCATCAATTATTTGATGTGTTGCTTAATTTGAGACTATGTCAATAGGTATAACCTCTTTCGTTTTGTGTGTCTTTATCAAAATTGCTTTGGAAATCTTACAGGGTGAAATAAAAGGAAGATACAAATAAGTTTATGGGATACTTGTGAATGCAACAAGAATTACCAGGTCTTTTTGCCATGCTCATACCCACCCAGCTTTATTACAAGGATAAAAAGTTCTCCTTGTCTCCTGACGAGCAGAGTCCGATGTGAAGCGAAACAAGCCTTTACCATTGTCGCATTAACACCAGACTCAGCACATGACCCTACTACATCACCTAAGAGTTTCAACTATATTCCTGTTTCTAGAGGGATTTAATTATAAGGTTTTAGAAGATTTGTTTGCATTCATTTTATTCAAAGTTATATCTACAAATTTTAACAAAACATGTAGTATGTAGTCAACTTTTTGTGTAGTAAATATGTTGTGAAATATATTTTTTAATCATAACCCGTGAAAATGTCTTATGATTAAACGTTTTTCGATTCCAGGACTCATCAGATGAAGACGAAATCGGTGCAAAGAAAGCTGAAAGACCCCATCGGGTCAGGTCTTTTAAATCTGATACGTCTACAGAGTCTGATGTCTCACATCACGATCAAAGAGGAAAAACAAAGGATAGATATAAAAAGGTTACAAGGCTGTCCTCGAGTCAGTGGGCTTCGTTAGGCCTTAGAGATGGTGAAAACAGTATTACGTTTTCAGTCACTACTCAATATCAGGTAGTTTATTTTGCTTTTTTTCTGAAGTTGATGGTTTATATGCCTTTGTTGTTTTCGAAAAACTTTTCCTAGCCAATTAGTTTTTCTAACTGCTCTTACTAGTTTTCGAAGGTAGTTTTAGGACACCAAGATACTTGTAGAGTAGTGTCCTGGCCCTTCCTCTCAATGCGACTAAACTTCGGCAGGGACGGAATAACTGGGGGGTATAGAAGGTGCGATACCTCCCCATATTTTTGTGTCCTTCGGTAAATTTTACTGTGGTTCGGTAAAAGCCATTTTTGGCGGTCAGTAGTAATAAAACAATGCAAAAATTTTCCTTATTTATCTTCTTATCTTCTTTACCGTTAAATGCTTAATTTTTAAAATGGGCGTTTCCACCATTTTCCAGTCATCTGAAAAGTGTAGCACCAAAAGCCTATCATTATTTAACACCCCCCCCCCCCCCCCTTGACCCTTAAATCCATCCCTGCATCTCGAGATTCCTTCAGCTGTAATTACAGAGAACTGGTAACTCTTCTCACTCCATCTGAAAGTTTGATCATAGCAATGACTCTTTGATCTGTAGTTCGCGACCCTAACTAACCACTGAGCCATCTTTTACATAATACTGTCAAGTTATTAATAAAAATGATCAGCGAGTTAATCCAATCTTATGTACTAAATTAATCAAAGTAGGGGAAATTACTCCACTTTTTCACTTTCTTCCCCTCACCCTCCCTGGATTCGCTGTCTTTTGAATGCCCCAATTCACAGTATTCTTCTTAGATTTGTTATCTCAAACCTACAATTTAGGACATCTGTCTTTCGTAAATGCCTTTCACATTTTTCAAGCATGCCGTTGCACTTTTCTTGTAGGGCACAGCCTCTTGTACTGCAAAGATATTCTTATGGAATTGGTGTGACAATATAGTGATATCAGATATAGATGGGACAATAACAAGGTCGGACGTTTTCGGACAGATTTTACCCTACGTTGGAAAAGATTGGTCCCAAGCAGGTGTGACTGGACTGTTTACTAATATTGCAAAAAATGGCTACCGGTTTGTTTACTTGTCAGCTAGAGCAATTGGCCAGGTTTGTTGCGCATTCATTTAATGCTTTTGCCATTCTGAATTGCTTCAATGTAAAAGGCGATAAATAACATTTTCTTAGCTTGAAACCTATCACCTTACAACAATTCTTTTATGAAGATGTAACCCCAGATAAAATTGTCAAAATATTCGATCGAAAAACAGATTCAGATAACTAGAATTTTATGCAGTAAGGTGTAACATCCTTTAAAGATAGTTTTATTCTTTATGGTTTGCCGTTGTCATTTCATTGATACTTCTTTGCGAAGGGTTATCTTTGAAAAGTCTTTCTTGTGAGTTTGAAGCTACCTAATTCACTGTGAATTTTAATTTGAGTTTGAAGCTACTCAGGCACTCGTGTACAATTTGTAAATTTGTGTCAATGAACAAGCCACGCTTTTTAGTTTGTATTATCACTCTTTTCTCATCTGTTTTACACACGAGTATTTTTTCACGCATTATTTACTATACATCTTCACTATACAACCTTTTTGACATATTTTAACCTGGTTTACTTATAATTATTATCAAATACACACTGTTTTGCTTTTTAGGCTGAACTGACCAGAAATTTCCTTCGAAGTGTTCAACAAGGAGAGTTGAGACTTCCCAGTGGACCAGTTCTCCTCTCACCAACTTCCCTCGTAACAGCTTTTCAGAAGTGAGATAAATAATTTCCTTGCTAAATTTTCTTTTCAGACCAGCCCAATCTAATTTGTTGGGATCCCATGAATATTTTCTATTTCTTAGTAAAAACAACATTTTCAGACACAAAATTGCTTTTCCTCAGGGCTTAAGGTTCAAAATAAACTACCAATACTATTTAAAAGGTATGACTATTTAAAACGGAGGATGAGTACATAGAGGGGAACAGTTGCAAAAAGCCACATTCAGTGCCCATCTATTTCTTCTAATGATGTCACAAAATTATGCCTTGTTATAATACTACGATCTATTACTGATATCGTATACCAACCAATGCACTGGCACCTTTAGCTTACTTGGTTTCAATACACTGAACCTTATACTGGTATCGAACACCAGTCAATCACGTAATGCACATTAATGTCGACTGTGAAGAAATTTTTTGACCCAGGGCTATCAGAAACATCGTTTGCTTTTTTTAACCCCCACTATTTTGCTTTTTCTTTCTTCATGCTCATGCTTCATCTCTATGAGGCAGGGTACGTGTGTTAAGTGCTTGAAGAATTTTTCGAACTGAGTGTTATTCTGTAGTATAATAGGTCAAACGAGTCTAGTATACGCGAGTTGGTTTTTAAAAAAAGGATACAAATCTCAATTACAAGGCACGTTCCCATCGTGTCTTCCCCTCGCAGTAAGTTGCCTCCATTTTATTCCGTGACAAAAATGTAAAATTTAAGCACCAAATGTTCATATTAATCTATCTGGAGATTCGTTTAGGGATCAGGAGGTTTGAGTTTTGTGTACAAATATTTTTATTCATATTTTTCTATAACTCCAAAGCAAAATCTAAATGAATTGAATTTGGGTTTTAGAGAAGTAATTGAGAAGAAACCGGAAGAGTTTAAAATTGCATGTTTGAAGGACATAAAAAAAATATTTCCACCAAACAGAAGCCCTTTCTACTCTGGATTTGGTAACCGAGTAAATGTGAGTCTTTAACTACACTTTTTTCCTTACCAAATTTTAGACACATACTTGGTTGATCAATCCTTCTTTCTATTTTGTGTTAATTATTTTGATTTGGGAGAGGAGGGGTGATATGGTGGAACTTGAATGTATTTACTACTTAAAGGGAACAACTTTTTCATCTTCTTCTCCAAATATAACCCAAATATCAACATCTTCTTTAAAATTGTAAGTTCCTAATCACGTTTTAAAAAAATCTGAAATTTTTTACCAAAACAAAGGCATACTTATATCCATAGGTGTGCCTGCCAACAGATCTGCTCCTGTTTTTGTGACATTATTCAGCTTTTTAAACAACCAGTCCGTTCGCTTGTTAAAACAATTTTTGCATGATTGTGCGAGTCTACATTATATAAACGTGAAGATCAAATTCAACGTCTTCTGCGGAAATAGCTTATGCTTATGTTTTTTCTTAACAGGATGTTTGGGCCTACAGAGCTCTTGGCATTCCGATATCTCGAATTTTTACGATCAATTACAAGGTACTGTTCTGGCTCTTTGCAAGTTTTCATTTATTTTAAGCCAAGATCTTTCCGTGAAATCTGACAGATCAGTAGATCAATCTTATATCCCAGATTCTGAAGCCCTGCCCCTTGAACATTTGCAGGGCTGGCATGATTACCCTTCAAATGCACAATGCAACCATTAAAGACAGGTTCGAGCGTATTACGAGGGAAAATTTTCCTATTTGACGGCTTTTTTTATCTTTCCTATTTGACGGCCATTCATTTCTCTTCTCCGGTAATACCGTTAAGGAAGGTATCATTTCTTGGAAGTCTTAGTACCATGCGTAGAGGATGGGGGAATCTCCTTTTTGTTTCCAAAAACGTGCGTGATTTTGAGGCTCATCGAGAAGGTGACGCGTCTTTTGACGTCAAAACTGGAATGGGCGTGGTTGAATAATTTCGCAATCATTCGATAGGATAAAAGGCAAATGTGGCACGCCGTAGGATAAGGAGGATATTTTGACTGCACAACGTCCGTAGTTTGATTCGAAACCAGTAATGCTTGTTCTACGAGTTCTTCATAATCACGAATCGATGGAGTTTCAGGACTCACTTTCTTAAAAGAAAGACAAAGGAATATTCCGAAAGCATTGATTCAGCAGGTAAATTCCCTCTGATCAATCTTACTTAGGCCATAATTTTGATAGCGGTATGGCCTAAGAATTCGACACTTGACAGAGCGTTGCCTTTTAGTCTTTTTATGTAGCTAGAAATTGATATTTGTATATGTAGCTTGAAATAGCCAGGGATGTTGAATTGGGTATGCAAGGGTGTTGTAGAGAGATCAGGGGTCATTTTGAAAATTTGGTTTCGGTCTTCGAAAAAAGTCACTCGATGGCAGTTCAAAAGACCTATTGACTCCTAAACAGAAGAAGAACAGTGTTTGTATAATCGAACTGTTTGTGAAGCTCTCGATTCCTGGTACTACTTGCCAATATTTTCACCAAACTATAACATATGTTTATTTATGAAGATCTGAAATAAGAAATTCGTTTTTTCCACATACTGCAACCATTGTTGGAGGTCTAGGCTAATTCGAGCAACTGACTATACCGGACTACACCGGAAAAATTGAAACAAGCCGAATTCAATGCATCGTACGATACTTTGACCTTTCGAACACCATGGTCTTTCAGGTTCTGTCACCTTGGACTGTCTTTAGTTGACGCCCTTTGTCGACCTGTTGCATAGTTCAGTAGGCTAGGAATAAAGAAAATTAACACCTTTTTTGGACACAAGACTCGAGGTGTGAAAGTCCCTTTGTACAAGAAGACAACAAGATAGCTATACTTTTTCGTTATATTTCTGCACCACATCCCCGTATGCAGTTTCCTAAAGCTATTTTCCTAAATGATTTCATATATACATCTTACATCTGCTTTCTATTCCGGTGATTTTGTTAAGTAAAGTTTAGAATGTTTTTGAAATTTACAATTTACTGTTTTGAGAAGAACCAAACATCAAAGATTAAAGAATCCAACTTAAAGATTATATTTAGGACTACAATCTCGCCTCTCGACTAACAGAACCAAAATACGAAACTAGCAAGATTTCGTTCTTCCTTCAATAAACTTTTCAGATAACCATCCCTAATTTAAGCATATAGTGTAATGTTTATTTACTTAGTCAAAATTTCCTTGATGTATTTCATATCTTAAAAAATTACTTGACCGTTTTCTCTGTTTTAGGGCGAAATCAAACATGAGTTGACATGTGCATTCTCATCTTCGTGAGTTTTCAATTTCATTTACTATTTCTGTTGCACATCCTAGATTACGAATAATGCATTATTATTGATTTATCCAACATGTTGTTATTCAACTATTAATAGACAGGAACTTCACTGATTTTCAAATTTAGGCCCTGTCTCCTCCTTCGCCTTCCGTAGTGTTGTTGACATTACTCGCATTTCTAGGCTCAGTACTGAAAATTCCATAACTGACGGCCACATCGGAATACACAAAATAATACTGACATCTTGACATCTTGTTTAACCTATTGCTTCTGACGCACAAGTCAAGTAAGAATTAATAATTGAAAACAAATGACGACCTTTAATCATGTAAAGGGTTAACTCCAACTGAACAAAACTTCATCTTTTTAATTGAAATATTAAGTGTAAGAAAACAATTTTAAGATTCATGTAACTCTGTTTACTTACCGTTGCCAATTGTGGTTGTAATAATACGAAATGTTTGCATACAAAGATTCAGTTTTTTTTCTTCCTGAGGCATCTCCCATCCAGTACACCCGTGTAATAAGCTCGGCGGAGATTTTTTCCACGAGGATAGCCGGTATATATGGCTAGGTACAGAATGACGGGGATTGGGGTGTCGTTCAAAGGGGGAAATTGAGACTGCCTGGGACTAAAAATCTCAACTTGCAAGGGACGTGGGGAAACAGTAAAATGCGCGTGTTATTCGATTATTCGAAAGGGGACTCCCCGGTCAGGAAATTTTTATTTTCACCGGGCTTGTTACACAGGGGTGTTCCATTATTAGAAAGTTCCAAAGTTTTTGCCAATTCGAGTATTACCTATCTTTTAAATCACGTCCTTATCAAAAAAGCACGTATACGTGTTTGAAAGTAGCATGCTTGTATGTTCTCAAGCTGTTATTTGCTAGGCCATATCTATTATCACCATGAAATATACCCTTTAGACTTCTACACCTTCTTATTAAGCCCAGTATAAATGGAATAAATGTATAAATGTCTTTAGGCCGACAGTAGCCTGCTGACACTTACAGGACAATTTAGGACAATTATCCTGTTTTGTTTATTGCAACCAAATGCTCTCGTTGTCATAGTTCCTTTGCATGGTGTTTATGCCTTTGTTGCACGTAGCCAATTTAAGATAAAAGTATAGAGATAAAAGTGACTGACTACCATTTTCTTTATCATAGTTCCATTTTTAGCAATGATTTTTAGCGATAATTTTTAGCGACGCTTCCCTCTATTTCAGGTATGCAAAGCTTGATAGCTTGGTTGATCAGATCTTTCCACCAACCATTGACTCAGTGGCTATTGATGAGATATGCTCAGATTTTTCCACTTTCAATTACTGGAAAACACCCTTCCCTGATGTGGGTGATAACCTATCCATATCAGATGACGAGAATATTGGTCTATAATGAATTGCCGTGAGTTTTTATCAGATTTATTTTCAGATACTTCGTTATTTCAATGTAGCAAAGGAAATTTGACTGGTTGAAGAGCGGGGGAGTTTAGCTACGATTTTAAAAACACCTCCGATTTTACTAAGAATTTCGCTCCTTCAGTGCCATGATTATCCTTTTTAAATTACTTCGATTGAAAGGCCCAGTATGATAAAATCTTAAGCATGCTGAACCTGTCTAACCAGTTGTTACCTTACCTTATCTTCCACACCTCAGAATATCTTGCTAAATTCACAATTTTTGCTTTGAGTTTTTTTGTTCCGGGTAACAAGCGTTGAAACGTTCGCATTGGAGCACTGGCCAATTTTAGATTTCAGAATGATTTTCTTAAGAGATTTTCTCCGAAACGTTGCTAATAACGCTCTCGACACCCGTGAAACATTTTTAAAATTTCAATGTACATTAAATAGTTCTTCAATCAGTGTCGAGATAAATATCTGCCTCTCTCTATTCTTGACAGTTATTTCAAAATCTTCCTTTAATAAGTTGATATAAAATCTTTCTTACAGACCTTCCTTACAAGTTATATACTTTCAGATCTTCCTTACAAGTAACTTCCACTCCCCCCTTGCAGTAACAGAGTGAGTGGGAGCAAAAAATCTCTTGAAAAAGGGCGTTTTCTGGCGTTCCAAAGAGCGCGGACCCCAACTAACCCTCGTTCAGCTCGCCTTCCCCCCCCACTCCCCCCATCTTACCACCCTGGCTACGCTATTGCTTCCTTTGAAGTTATACCACATCTTTCTTGCAAGTTTCATTGTTCCCAATTTTTCTTACAAGTTACTTCCACATCTTTCTTACAAGTTGTTCTTCCACATCTTTCTTACAAGTTATTCTTCCATATCTTTCTTACAAGTTGTTCTTCCACATCTTTCTTACAAGTTGTTCTTCCACATCTTTCTTGACAGTTACTTCAAGATCTTTCTTACAAGTTACTTCCAAACAGTCTACAGTCAAAGTACATTATGCGCTGTTACCTCTATATATTCTCTTTATTTCTCATCTGCTTGCAGATTGTTAACATATACGCTAAAGTTTTTACCGTAATATTTTTACCGAGTTGGATATCTGCTCGTTTGGCTGTAATAATTTCAAACAGAAAAACAGATAATGGTCGCTTGAACTTTAATAGTAACTTTCACTGTTGGTGTTTCGTCTTTTCATTCTTTTCTTGGATTAAACCCCCGGCCCTGCTTTTCTTTCTCTTTTTGGTAAGCTGTATGATATAAAGGTATGGGGACAAACATTAAGTCAAGAGCACGGGGGGGGCTGCTCATAATTGAAATTAACAAGGAGTAAAAATGCAGGAGTTGCAGTTAAAGCTCCAATATAAGCTACCCTCCCTGTTATCAGCCAACCAAGCCTCCCTAAAGCGTCAGCACGTCTTTGATTTCTTATAGCATTATTACCTTCTTGCGTAGTGTTTTTTCTGGCTGTGCATTCCACCCTCAGTTTGAAGCACCAAACATTTTTCTCGTGTAATAGGACTGGAATCCAATCGCTAATTCATGCTAATTATGCTTATGATAATCTTCCTGTTTGTATATATTGTAATCGCTGTTTAGAATCATTAGTAAGTTCATAATTTCAATACGAGTTGCACGCAATCTCTCACTGTCGATCTAATAAAACCCCATTACACTTGAAGGGGGAGGGGGGCTAGAGTCAAGTGATACTGGATTTTATTATCTTTGGTTTTCAGGTATTACCTTTTGTGCTTGAAATGTAATTCAGATAGTATTTTTTTAAACTAGTATATCAACATTGCAGCAGGGACAGTAGAAGCAGGGGAAAGGGGCTGAAGGCGCTAAGCCCCCTAACGATTCCCTAAATATTCTTAAAACCAAACAGTGGCATGTTGGGACCCCAGAACATTTTAGCATCCCCCTCAATCAAAGATATGCTCCGCCACCCTTGCATTTCACAGTCGTCGAAACTACTGTCCTGGTCGTTGACAAACACTTGATATTGATAGATTTCGTTGATATTTCCATCAGTTTTGCGGATACCAGCAACCCAAAAGAACAACGCAAGGGGCGGTCAAGATCTCTTATCATCATAAATAATCATTAATAATCATGATCAGCTCCTATCAATCATCATCACCGTTGCTATTGTTATCGTCATCATCAGTCATCATCATTACATCAACCAAGCACATTAGCCAATCAGTTGCTGTGGGTTATCATATGATTGTCATATGACTTCTTGACTGATTAAGTGATACCCTTGTGATCACTGTTAGGCAATCACCAACTAGGATTATTCTCGTTCCGTTTCCAAGTTCTTAATGTTAATTCTACTGTCAACACCGTCTCTGCTTTTCCTTTTACCATTGTTACCTGGTTGTTGCTCAACTCAGACAGATTTGCAGACACTGTTATTTGCAATGAAACTTTATCCCCATGTCAATACCCTCTCTTTTGCTTGAGCTCTTTCGTAACGAGATTATCTGTGATTTATTTAATTTAACTTGCCAATCTGTTAGATGTCTGCGATAAAGTTGTTTTCAGAATCCTGCCATTTGTCGATAGCAAAAAAATTTCGATTGAGTCTTTCAGTTAGTTGTTAAATTGGGTTTCATGTTCAGCTGAATATTAAAAGAGAATAGACAAAAGTATCATTTAATTGCTGATTCACTTCAACCATCTTTTGCAATGACATTTTCCCGTCCAACCCCTTTTCACCTCTATTGATATGCTGAAATCAATCTTTTTACTCAACACTTCACATGCAGATACTCAACAGGGGAACCCTTTATATGAGACTTTGACCTGGGTGAACCCCTTTTGCGTACTCCATTTTGGCTTGCATTGCTGATAAACCGGAGCCACTCCAATCCCTGAGTACCTTTCAAATGAAAGTAGAAAGGTAATTAGAGAACTATTAAACTCCAGTACAATCTCCTGTTTTCAGCGTCTGATTGATTGCACCAGACATTTGACCTAGGGGTACCAACCACCCTATGAGATGGGGCTTTTTAGTTGGAAATATAACGTGTCACACCCATAAATACCATTATTATCTATGCACTGGAAGTATCAACGTTTTTCTCTGTTTACAAAAGATCACTTTTCAAGCTGATTATTTCTACTGATAAATAGAACCTGGTCATCAAGAAAGTATTACCTGTGACAAAAGCCACCTTCGAGGGAATAGTCTGCGAGTGGGATGTCTTTTCTTGGAGATGCAGGCTAAGCAAGTGCAAATATTTGATAAGACTGGGTTTTGTAGGGAATGGCCTCAAGTTAATGTTATCCTAGGCTCTGTTTGTTTATGTCTAATGAATAGCTATCTAAGAGCATCCCTTTTCTCCTCAAGTTGGAAACTTGTGTGTTTCTTTGAGCCATGACGTCATCCTTGTTTGCCCACAGTCCTCTGAACCACATGTGATTTACCCAAAGCTGTGTCTGATTCGAGATATTTCAGACATCTCGTGCCTTTGACGAAGACTTGTATCTTAACCTTTGCCCTGATGTTCTAACGAATGGTTAAATTAGATTGTTTTGACGTCATGAGCTGCCCTAGGTTTCAGACACCGGCTGTTGTTGTTTTTGTTCTCTTCTCGTTACAACTGGTTTTATCATGGTTTTATGCATTCAAGGATTTCGGCACTTTGGATAGACACTTTTTATCTTTTTGATACAGTTCGTGTTCTGTGACCACGTGGTGAAGGAATCTTTCTCGTTCTTTATATGACCTCCTTTCGTTGATCCTCTAGCCAATGATCCAATGTAAGTGCTATTTTTCCATAGTCAATGGGGCCAGGGCGCCATATTCCCAGAGATTAAACCAACTCTCTGGGTTAAACAATGCGTTTTTCGAGCAGTTTGCAGCAGAAATTTCAGACAAAACCCCTTAACTCAATAAAATACCCCTAATCTAAGTTTTTTTGGAAAGGACTGCTTTTTCCCTCGCCACCCTTTAATCCTTGTAAGAAAATCTAGCAGTAGTTTTGAGTTACAAACCGGACCGGCGCCTTGCGTTACGAGAGAGATCATATGAGCTTGGTCTCGTCTATGCTACTTATGCTAGCTTGCAATTGAGGGTAAATTCCCAATAGAAATATGCAAAACTTGATCAAGTATGGAAGTTTGGCTTATAGAATCCTCGATATATCTCACATGTATTCACTAAATGTGAACCTTTAATTTTTACTCTCAGTTAGTTCTGCTGTCTTTAGTTCTTGAAACTCTCAAAGGCCTCGATCCAGTCTTTTTGTATTCGCAGCAACGCTTCTGTATACGCAGCAACTTATATATTGTGTGACAAGTTGTGTGTATTTTCAATATGGTGATTGTACTTGCAGCAATTTCCATTTTTGTTTGCAACAAGTTTTTGATAGTTTCATGTTCCTTTTATGCCACCGTAGAGCGTTCATTTAAATCACTCTCAAAGGGGCGTTGCTCAGTTTTCGCGCCAACAAAGAAAGTCCATCAGCCTTTATTTTCCCTAAAATTACTTTTTTTATTTATAGGTATCTAGGCCAAGATAGTCTCTGACTTAATTACAACACATGATAGAATAATTCATCGACAAAGTTGACAGGAGTATTCTTAGGGAACTGGAGTTGAAACGCAAATTCTGTTACTTTATATTATTTTGACTTATTTACTTTTTGTTGTATCTTTTTCAGACTATGCAAAACTGACGACCTACTGTGGCGTGGGAATATCAAATATCACAATCAACTTCAGCTCACAAGCAGATACAAATTGTCAAATAGAACAGAATAGTATATGAATCGTGCTGAACACTGGCAAAATGATAAGGGGCTGTTCCACAATTACGTCACACTGAAATAGCCTTTTTTGAGGCAAACACCCCCCCCCCCCCTCCTCTGCCTAATAAACTCGAAATTTTAGTGTAATGATAGGGATAGAAGATAAGGTGAAGAAATCTTATTCCTCTTTCATATGTTTTCTAACTACAGTTTGTGCCAATAAATCAAAAAATCTAGTTTGTATAACTTTATGTCAACGTGGCAACAGCAAACACATACCATTGTTATCAGTCACTTGTCCAAATTGGTTCTATATCATCCAATACAGGGTTCCACTTTCATGAACTATATCTGAAATATTACCCTCCTCAACATCGATAGCATGCTACTCGAACTGTTGAACGCCATCACACATCACTTTTAGGCGGCGGGCGGATTTTTTTTACCGTGATGCCAAGAACTTGAATCAAGTAACACCCACCCCCACCCCTAATTTACCATCAGGGAGAATCACGAAAAACGTGTTGAGCCACCTACCCCCAAGGTGTGACTTTTTTTATTGAACAGCCCCTAAATAGAATGTATAGAAATCTTAAATTCAAGATATTGTTGTAAATACATTAACTGATATAGGATATTGCTTTCAAAGAGCTTTTTAACCCCGTCTGTTTACCTTTTATGCAACATATCTGGCGAGTTCTACTTTTTAGCTTGTTTTCTGCGTTTTCGCATTTTCGTATTGAGGACACCTAGAGATTTTCCTTGCACTTCAGCAGGCTACCTGCCATGCAACATAGACCAAAATAAAGCAGCTACCTAGCTCTTTATTTACTGTGCCATCAAGAATGTACAGAAGGGATATTTATCAAAAACTGTTTGTGGAAGCTGTGTATAATATAGTGACTAGTCTGAAATCGTCTTAACCTAACTGTATTCTAGCGCCCCCTGGTGTGAGAAGTGTTTTTTTAGATGCACATCCTGATGTGTAAGTAAAACGACAGCTGTACAACTATTGAAATATCCCTTATTCAATCAGCCCCGCCACCAAGTTCTGGCTCTGTGTACTGGCTGTGATCTGTTGAGAATTCAAGGGTGACACCGCTGAATTCATACTGCCTTCACAGTCCGAACACAGACAATGGAGTTATGATTTGGTGCTTTTACCTGACGATAGGCGTGCTCGTCAAACTCGCCGGACTCCCCAGACTCGCCAGACTCACCGGACTCGCTGGACTCACTGGACTCGCCGGACTCACCGGACACTGGATTCGCCGTTCACGAAAAAAGAACCCACTACCACGTGCACTAACCTAACAAAGACACTTTCACAAATATTCTTATACCACATAAATATTTTCTTCCTTTGAAAATCTTTTAGAGTTTTTAACCAGGTTGAGACCTGCCTTGCTTACTTCACCACGACAACTTTTTGGAAAGTGAACACAACGATAAACACACTGGTGAATAGAAAGGACAGGAGGGTTTTAAGTTGGTATATGTACCTTGCGATAAACATATATTTTACAAATGCATATATCTAGTAAAAAAATGCATATATCTAGTAAATAAATCAAAAATGACCTGCAACCCGCGACACGGGTGAGTTGAATGCCTAAAATAAAGCGCATGGCGGGTAGCATGGGTGTTAGGCATAAAAGCTCAGCCCCTTTGCAAACTGAGCTGAGCTAAGTAGGGAAGTGTCAGATATTAAAACTTTTTTCCACTAGTTACTTTTAAGTGATTGTTGTTAGATTTAGAATACCCACAGGGCTGTCGGAACCTGTTCCAAAATTGAGGGGCATGATGAAACTGGGGCATCGTTTTCTATTGTTTAGAGACAGAAGTAAGTATACTTTAGATGAAATAGGCACTTTATGCAGATACTTGGATAGGGGTCGATAGGCCAGGCGCTTTTTGGTTTTTCCATTTACATCTTATAAGCAAGTCCAGGCACTGCTAGTCATCTACTTTTCCATTTTTTGTATTATTCATTAGGCTATTGCTGAGGGGAAAATCACTCTAAGAAAATCTCGTACACCTTTTGTGAAAAGCCATATTTTTTTATCTGAAAATCCCCAGAAATCCTTTTGTTTTAGGCAAAATCTCGTACGCTGTTTGCAAAAGTGAATCGCCCCTCGGCTATTGCTATGTATTCCACATACATAGGGCTGTGGAAAGCTGGGGTTCTACGGTGCCGGAGGAAGTATTTCGCAGGGGGTTTCATGTACTGCAGCAGTTACCCTTCTCCTCTGTCAGGCCTCCCATTATCAATTTTGTTTCAGTGGCACTGACAGAGACATGACATTAATTTACAGAAGTTTTCATAAGAATGCCAGAAACTGTTGAGTCTCAATATTCTTGAAAATTGTCACTATTGTGCTCAAGAAAATTCCTAAATTATTTTTAATTGACATCATTGCATATGAAAAAAATGGTTTTTCTTTACATAAATTGAAAATTTAGTCTCGAAGTCGCACAAAGTCGAGCATTTACTCATTAAAATGAACAGTATTTCGATGAAAAAACTCAGATCAGCAAAAGACCGTGCTTTTGGTGACCTTTGAGCTTGGCAACTATTCTTAATTTATTCCTAAAACTTTAGCAGCTTTGAGCCTTGACATTTCTATGGACTTTATTCTCATATAAAAGGTGCTATGTGAATATCGCACAGAAAGCTGTGGTCTGTTTAAAGTTTTTGTTTTTCCCAAAGCTACCACTGCCACTCGAAACTTAAAGCTGTAAAAAGATTTGAATTAAATATTGAATAATTAATCGAAAATTTAAACTAAGAGAAAAAGAAATAAATCTTCGAAAATTTAATCTAAGAGAAAAAGAAGTAAATCTGCAGCATGCAAAAGATAATTAGTTTATTAGCAGTCAGTACGTTTTCTTTGATGCAACTATCGCAAATTTATATACAAATAAAATGTGCCATATTTTGTAAGCAACTGTGTGTAAAAAGAACCCATTTTTGTGTCAGCAACTTTTGATAAGAAAGTTAGGAAGCTCAAGTGCCCAAAGCAAAAAAACAAGAAACAACTGAATTTTGGAAAAAATACAGAACTACGACATAAACCTTTTGAATCAAACAGTCAATATTCTTTAAAGATCTCACGAATTCTTCTCAACCAGAAGGCTTCCCTTTCTATGTCCCTTATCTTCTCTTATAGTTTCCAATATAAGGAATGATTATTTCTTCCCAGCAAAAAACGTACATGACCTCCTTTGCTTAAAATTGCCGCCATTTTGATTAGGAAATTGCCACAGCATTTAAATCGGTACCCTGGGTACCAGACTCACTGTATTAAATCGGGAGCACTCGATGTGGAATTTGGTGTGTACTTTCTACTTTTAAATTTTCCATTGTTTCTGTTTCTTTCAGCTGAGTCCGCATTTTACATGTTATTCGTATTAAGGGACGAATTTAATTGCCGCACAAGAAGAGGCTTGACAAAGTATACTTTTCGATTTTTCCTTTGAAAGCAAGTAAACACAGTAACAATGCACTCCAACAAATTTTTCAATGATTATTAATCACAAGACATTATTATTTATTTACATTGATTTATATTTATTTGACTATGTTTTGTTTGGGATTTTTTCTGTTTTATGAAGAATCATAGTTTCGTTGTGATCTATATTTTCATATTTACTTTCGGTTATTGTTCAATGAAAACTTTCGATTATTTTCTGATAATATTCTTTCTGATTCTCTAAGCATTTTTATATGAATACGTGAGTAAAATCAGTGAACTGCGTACGTTACTCTTTCCCCCCGGGGGATACTCCCATTATAGCCTAACAGGGGGGTCAAAGAGGGCCAACGCTAAAATGTTAAAAAATTACTCTCAAATGGTAGTATTTTTTGACAATAACCCTCAAATGGTAGCATAAAAACTGAAATTATGTCCATGGTAGCATCCATTTCTTTGTGCTCCCCTGGTCCTTATTCGATAAATTTATTCACAATTAACTGTTGTCGTTTCAAGAAAATAAAATCTTGTTCATTATCTATAATAAATCGCAAGCTAAACTAAGCAGTTTAGTTATTATCGAAAATGGACCAGTTGGTAGCCATTTGGTAAGACCCTCAAACCGACTGGACTTAATGGGATTACCCCTCCCCCGGGGCTCTTTTCCAATGAAACATGGTGTCACCTTTTCTTTAGAGCTATAGCTCAACCTGCTCAAAATCTCCAAATTATATCGCTTAAACGAAAATTCGTTACCCCAGTAACACTTTTACTGGTTTTTCCAGTAAAATTTTTAGTCTCAGATACATACTTTCGTTTCGAACAGTGACGCTTAGATTGAAGAAATTTGAGAGTTATGAACTTAATGTTTAGAAACTAAAACGGATGCTCAAAACCACGTCCTTTGCCCTACCCCCTTTTATGATCGTATTTTAGTTACTATAGAATGAATTTTAGTATGCAGCCCGAGAAACCTAAATACCACTAAAAAACAGCAGGGGTGACTCTGACCCCTTTCCTGAACTCTAAACTAAATTGAGTAATTTTAACTAATGGTTCTTAAATTCGTTTTTGGTATCCAACCTGTAAAACCTGATCGCTATCGGGAAATTGACTTGATTTCTAGAATTTTGGCAAAAACATCGCAATTTATGTTGCAAATAAAGATCATCAACTTTTTCTGGCAAGAGAAGTTGTGCATAATGGAACTCATCTGCTTTTCCTTTGTGTGCAAATTACAAAGCCATCAAGTTTGACACTTGCAACAGAAGAGTAAATTTCTTTCACTGCTGAATGCAGAACAAATCTATCCACGTATAAGCAAAAATTCCACGATCACTCCAACTTTCCAGCAATTTTTTGACAAAGGATAGGCTATTTTTGGGGTCCGTTTTTATGTACGAAGAAGGGCACACATCTGGGACAAAATTTTCAAAATCTGGCTACAGGCACAAAATTGGCAGTGTCCCGGTCTTTAATATAAAAAAAGACTAAATTTATGACCAATATTGATTAATTTCCATAACCAAATTTGGCCCCTTGAAAAATCGAATTTTAGCTAACAAAATCCGAGCAGCAAATCATTCATTTGAAGAAATTGGTAAACTTCGCGAAATCATTGTGATTTGTGGAAATATAGTTTTTTCTTTACAAGTGAATTTCCCCTCGGGATCACGGTAAGTACTGTAGTCCAAGTAATTTATGTTTTCCGACAAATCAATGATCTTTCCGAAAATCAGTCAAATTTTGAAAGCAGGGGGGCCACGGCCCTGCCCCTGCCCCCTGCCCACTCCCCCCACCCACCCGCTACCCACTCCTTCTGAAAACTGAATTGTAGTAGGTTTACCCTCTAGATCACCAACTTTACTGATATGTTTGAAGGGCTTTTGTAATAGCCATGAAATGCCACCTTTTTGTTTTGGTTAACTTTCTGTGTCTTTTAAAGCATTTGTAGTAAGGTACCAGTTTGCTTGGGTTTGTTTTTCATTTTGATGTTTACTTTTAGATCTGAAAAGCTTTGTAATACCAGTAGAAACTAGCCATTAAATTTCCCAATACATACTTAAAACTTCTAGCTTTCGTTTCTTGGCGAGTTGAAAGGCCATATTGGTCTAGAAGCAAATGTCAAAGGAGATAGGACAAAGGACAATTCTTCAATTAAATCTGTAGACTTCCAACATGAAATATTTAGCTTACCTCGAGCATTATTAAACAA